CATAATGGCCATCTTCCTGTTTCTTAAATATGCCAAGCTCAAACATGCCAAACACATAACACTTCAGGGTCTCTGCACTTGTTTCTTCTGTCCAGAATGCCCCTCCTCCAGAAAACTGAATGGCTCACTTTACCATATTTTTCTTATTATACTTAAATGTCATCTGTTAAAACAGATCCTCAGGCTGGGGATATAGTTCATTTGGTAAGAGTGCTTGCCATGCATGCACTAAGGCCTTGCATTCAATCCCCAGAACCACATACACTCAAAAAAAACGATCCTTCATTACCACCAAATCTGAAGTAGCACACTCGGTCTACTTCAGATTTGGTGGTAATGGTTATTCTACTTCAGCTTTGTTTTTCTTCACAGCACTAATCACTACATTTTTTCCCCTTAGTGTCTGTTTACCCTAATAGAAGGAAAACTCCATGAGGGTAAGAACTCTTACTTTGCTCACTGCTGCATCCTCAATATCCAGAGCCATGTGTAGCACAAATAAGGTACACTACCTGTTTGATGGCTGATTGGCAAAAACTCACTCCTCAGTGAAATATGCACTCATCTATTGTAGTTTATTAAATTAAACAAGGAATTACTAATTCAGAAAGAAGTATGATTTTACAAAATTACCTCTTGACCAAAAGACTACAAATTTATAACATAAAATATCATTGCCATATCAAGACTCTTAAATCCCTCAACTATTATAATTAGGTACAAACTAACATTCACATTAGTTCATCCAAGTCTCTGACTTCAACTACCTGCTCTCTGAGTCTTTTAACTTAACTAGTAGGTCCACCTAGACATGAATGGCTTACCTCCTTAAGTATTAAAAACCCTATTCACCTTTACTGAAATGACAACATGCTTCAAATGAAAATAACATCTAATTCTCCTAGACAGAAACCTTCGTTTTCTTCCTACCTCAGGGTGAGTTAATAGATCTTAAATTCTACTTAAAAATTTCTCATCTTCCCCCTTTCCTCCACTCCTGCTGCATTAATTCAATCTCTTAATTCACAACTCACTTGGACTTCTCATGCACAATCTCCATACCTTCCATTCAGATCTTCCTTTTGATGTACTCACTAATATACCTCCGAATTGAATTTTACACAATGCAAATCCAACATCTTTGCCCCTTCTTAAAAATTTCAGTAGTTCCATGTAGCTTTTAAGAAAATTTTGAGCCAGGCACAGTGACACTCACCTGTAATCCCAACAACTCAGGAGGCCAAGTGAGGAGGACCACAAGTTCAAGGCCAGCCCCAGGGACTTTGCAAGGGCCTAGGTAACTCAGAGAGACCCTGTCTCAAAAAATATAAAGGGCTGGAGATGTAACTCAGTGGTAATGCATCCCTGGGTTCAATACAAGTATCAAAAAAGAAAAGAAAAGAAAAGGAAAAATTTTAGGTTGGGGGTGTAGCTCAGTGGTAGCCCATTTAACTAGCATGCGTTAAGACCCTAAAACTCTCTAGCACCACCAAAAAAGAAAAAAGAAAAAAATAGAGAAAAGGCAAAAGAAAAAAGAAAGAAAGAAAGAAAATCAGGTGCAATGGCACACACCTGTAAGCCTAGCATCTTGGGAGTCTGAGGCAAGAATATCACAAGTTCAAGGCCAGTCTCAGCAACTTAGTGAGACCCTATTTCAAAAAATAAAAATGACTGGGGTTGCAGCTCAACAGCAAAACATTCTTGTTTAATCCCCAGCACCACTCCCCCCCAATACACACACACACACACACACACACACACACACACACAAAATATTCAACTCCTTCACCCTGCTCCATCTCCTATTATTGATCATTGCCCTTCTATTCCCACCCTCAAACACATCATACTTTGTTACTACAGACATGGCAAACTACAAATACACCACTTCTGTTTTGTTCTTTATTGTCCGATATCTTGTCTATCCCTCTACCTGAAACACTTTTCTCCCATTATCTGTCTGGCAAAAGCTTTAACACTCAACTTACACAAAGTCATCAGGAAAACTTTCTGATTTAGACATTGTCTGTCCTCCCACAACTCTTACCACAATTACCATATGTTGGAATAAATACTCTTGTAATGCAATATACTATGAGTTTTGCTTTACTGTTCTTGTCTTCTACTAAATTGTGAACTCCTTGAAAGCAAGTCAGATAACTTATTCATGTTCATTTCACATTGCATGACACATAGAAGAGGTTGTTAAATGAACAATTTATAAAAGAGGGGCAAAGGCAGAGGAAGGAAAGGATAAAGGGAGGGAGGGAAGGAGAAAAGGATGTAATAAAGAGAGAAAAGGGGAAAGAAAGAGGTAGAAGGAACATGTGCACATATATAGGGCATTAAAAAAAGAGACATTTGTAATCAATCCACATTTTTACAGGGTCTAAGCCAGAGTTATTAAAGAAATAATGGAATATACAAAAAGCCAATCTACCCAGATTTTAAGTACAACTAACTAAATCACGGATCCCCTAAATCCCCTAAGATGTCTGGCCCATTTCATTCAAAAATACACTGCATTATAAGCAGATGCTAACAAAATACATAATATGAAAGCAAAAAAAAAAAAAAAGATTTCATTAGAAAAAAATTAGAAAACGAATCTTGACACAATCCTAAGAATTATTTACAAACTTTAATAATTTACCACTTCCTTCTAATGTGCTATCGCTGATATTGAAAGGTTTACCACAAGTAGGAAAAGCAAATCCAACAGAGCACCAGCATTATGATCTACATAAGGCATAAAGTGCTTTAATGTCACAAGTTATATTTCTCAAAAAACACACTGCAAAAATATCAAAGGATGGAGTATGCTAAGCAGTACAGGGCTTTATTTAAATAAATTCTTTTCTACTGGAAAACTGGTACTAAAACATAATACTTAGAATGACGTATACATTTTCTTTATTTGGGGACTAAAAGGCAACAAGAAAAGATTACTATGAAATATAGACTTAAAACCCTACTTCAAAGCAGAAATTTGGTTAAGAGCCAATAAATGGTATAAATCCTCTACAGCACAACTGTCACCATAATACAAAAACTGAGAACACACTAACACAAAAAAAAATTAAGCCCAATATAATCAACACTAAATGCATTTCCAATTGCTGTTTTTGCTATAAAGCAAAATAAAAATCATGAGCAGTTTATCTTTTACCACATAACTTCTAAGTTGTTAATACTAATGATTACTAGTAAATTCCCTAAGAGAAGACTTGCTATACAGTTCTTGGTAAAGTTGGAAATTTGTTTTCATAACCTTTTTCCTGTTAAAAAGTTACTATTTTCTTTTTAACTTTAAGAATGGAAATGCTAAGCACTAAAATTATTAGTTCTAAAATTATATCAAGAAATTTGAATTTGCCTAATACCCTGAAACTTTTAAGGCTAAAGTTTCCCATATACTTTCATTTTTTTTAAACTGACAAGTTTAAAAAAGGAAACGAAAGGAAAAAAAAAGAAACTTTAAAACTAAAACACCTCTGCTTACTATATATCTAATAGCCAAACATTTACAGAGAACCTATAATGTACCTGCATTAATGGTAACTGCAACACAATACATTTATTCCAAATACTATTCAGCTTCTGAACTTGTTATCTATTAATCAACCCAAAGTTTTCTTAAATTCTCATCCAACATAGACACATGGTTTTCCTAATAAATTCACTTTTCACTGCTTTACACAGATCACAGGAATTTTAACTAGCATTTGTGACTAACAAAAGGGATTCATTCTGAAACATCAGTGTTTGTTTTCATTTACATGAAAGTGAGACAGGAACTCTGCAGATATAAACTGTTCTAGGCAGTCCACAGCACCCCAAATTTAAAAAGAGGCTTAAATTAGACTAAATTACTTTGTTCAGTAGATAAATATTAATATCCACAGCTTTCACTGTCTCCCATAAACACAAGCATTACAAATTTTAATTTGGATGCATTTCTTTAAAAGTAGTCTTTACTCTGAAGAGAAGTGGGGAAAAAAAAAATTTCAAAGCAGCCAGGGATGGTGGTGCATGCCTATAATCCTAACTACTGGGGAGGGTGAGGCAGGAGGATTGAAAGTTCCAGGCCAGCCTGTGCAACGAACCAGACCCCATCTGGAAAAAATAAAAAGGGCTGAGGACGTAGCTCAGTGATAAAGCACCCTGGGTTCAATTCCCAGTATAGCAAAAATAAAAACAAATAAAATAAAAAGTATTCAAAGAAATAAAAGTAGATGAAGTTTACATTCTAACATACTATCTGTTGCATATCTATACTTGTGAACACTCTACCCTTTAAGCACTTCTGAATTTGTAATCAGTGAAAAAATACTTGCTGGTATCTAAGTTACACCAGTGAAATCTAGACATTTCCAGTACATAAGACTTGTCATCCCTGATAGTGTGATCAAACCAGACAGAATTCGTTCCCATGTTCTTTAAAGTGAAAAGCCGGGTACTTCTATGGCTTTAATTTCCTCCATCAATTAAGCCCTACTAGACACAGTATGTACTGAGTTAACAGGTTTACTGAAAAGGAACTAGCCATCACTTTTCCATAAGACACCACAGAGCAATGACAACCTGCAGAGGCACACATGAATAAAGGAAAAGAAAAGATATAACCCAAAGTCCCTTCCAAAAAGGAACAACTGTTGTCTCCGCAGTGTGCAAAGATCACCAAAATCCTTCTAAAATCTTTCCAATAAGATGAGCTTTGTGGTCATTAAAAAGGTCCGCGGCTAGCAACCCATAGCAGCGTTCCCACAGCGGGCGAGGTGCTCCCTCAGCGGCGCACCCTAGAGCGCCCACAGCTCGCCCAGGTCAGGTTGCTTGGCCCGCGTCCCGCAGCTCCCAGGCGCTGCCTGCACGGGGCCAGCCGCGCGGAAGCGGGGCCCCGCACCGCAACTCCGCGGCCATCCCCGCGCGGGCCCCGCACACGCCTCCCGCGCGGCGCCCGCAGACCTCGGCCCTGCCGCAGCGCTGGGAGGCAAGCTTACCTTCATGGCGACTCCGGGTCGGCGACCCCCGCGACCACACCAGCGTCACCTGCACCTGCGGGGAGACAAAAGGCACGGCTCAGAGCCAGGCAGCCTGCGCGGCCGCCGCCAGCAGGGCGCTCGGCGAGGGCCAGCACGCGCCGCACTCGGCCTCGCCGCCTGCGGCCACCCCACGGCCCGCAGCTCCGCGTCCCCATTGTCGCGACCCGACGGAGCCCCGTCTCCGACGATGACGCCATTTCTGTCAGAAGAAACTCGCAACGCGCCAGGGTCCGGCGCTGGCGCCGAAGTCCGCCCCCACGGGCAGGCACCCGCGTCGCGCCAGGGCCCGGCGGGCCGGGGCCGAGCAGGACGGCGCCGGGGCCGCGTCCCACCCGAGTGGGGCCCGGCCGCAGGGGCCGAGAAGCCGCGGCCCGCCGCCCCCGCCCGTCCGGGCCCCCCGCGGCAGGCCACCGGGCGCCGAGCTGTGGCCGGGCGGGGGTCCCGGGAGGCAGGGGCCGCGAACACCGGCGCGGAGACAGCACCGCAGCCATCCGCCCCGCTCCGCGGCGGGCCCGGGGACAACGCCAGGGACGGTGAGCACCCGGAAAATGCCCCTACCTTCCGCGGAGGCGAGGTCCAAGCTGGCGCGTCCAGAGTCGCGCTCCTCCTCCCCCCGACGCGGCAGGCCCAGAGAAGAGATGGAGAAGAAGGGCGGCGGGTCCAGCGGCGGCCGAGGCTGAAGCTCCGGCTCCTCCTCCTCCCGCGGCGGCGACTGGTACCTTTGTTTGGCGGCCGCTCGGGCTCCCTCGCTGGGGGGAGGGGGCCGACGAAAAATCCCTCCCGAACTGGAGGTCCGGGCCCCCGGGCGCGCCGCCCTCCAGAGGACGGCGGCGACGGACCCTCTGCGGCTCCCTCCGGGCAAAGGTCCAGGCGGCGGCCGTGACGGCGGCAAGCTGGGGCTCCAGAGACTCCTTCGCTCCGGCGCCCGAGCTCCTCACTCCGGACTCGACTGACGGGCAAACATCGCTTTCCCCCCACCCCGGCCCCCCCTTCCCTCCTTCTCCCCTCCCCTTGATTCTTTTCCCCTCCCTTACTTCTTTCCCGGATGGCCTCTTAGACGACCTCGGATTGGTCGAGGTCCGCCAGAGCCCGCCTTTGCCCTGTTTCTATTGGCCCCCAGCATACAAACAACGACGCCATTTTCCCACCAGTTCTATGGAAACAGAAAGTTACGCCCCAAAGCATCTTGGGAAATGTAGTCCAGTTCCCGGGACCAATGCGCAAATCCTTACCCTGCGAGAACTGCAAGACCCGCAACACCCCGCGCCTGCGTGAGACGGAAGCGGGAGGAAAAGAGGGAGGGGCCACCTGGAAACGGGGAGGTGACAACGACGCCTGCGCAGTGTGACCGGGATGGCGCATTTTCTTGCTACGAGTAATGCGGCGTCGCTGGCGGCTGAGGAGGGCGGAGAGTTTTGTGGTGAAGTAGGAGGAGAGATTTATGAAGACGCCGGGAGGAGCCTTGGTCTGAACTCCGGAGTGGGAAGTTGACATGAGGTACTGCTGCTCCCGACCGACGCCGTAAAGTCGTGAGATCATCGTGAAACCGTGAACGGCGGCGGTGGCTGGGGGGACCCGGATGGGACATAGCGGGGGCGGGGCCGCAGCCGTGGGGAGAAGAAAGGAGTGAGAGGACCCGGATGCTGACCCGGCGCTCGGGTGACTGCCAGAGCCTGGCAGAGGGAGGAGGAGCGGCCCGAGCGGGCGGAAAGGGATGTCTCTGGTGACCCCCGGGACTCGAAGTTCCCTGCCGATGGGCCGCGTCCCTAGAAGTGGGAGGGCTCCCTTGCGCCCAACCGCCGCGCTTTTCGTCTGTCCGGGTTTAGTAATTCTGAATCCAGACCTTCCCCTTTAAAGAAATGCTTTGCGCGGAAGTTCCAGTTCGCTGGCGCGAGTGGGTGCTCTGCAGCCCTCCAGGCCTGGCGCGTGCGGTGGGCGCCCGCCGTGAGGCAGCCGGGCGGCCGGCGGGAGGGCGGCCGGAGCGCACGAGCGGGCGTGCTCCGAGGAGACGGGCGAGGGACAGACTCGGTCGCGGTGCGGGGCGCGGGGACTGGCGGAGGGGCCGGCGAGGGCTAGGAGGAGTCGAGCAAAGGACCCTGGGGCCCTGAGGGAGCGGCGAGCCGGGCCGGGCCGGCCCTGCGGTGGGGCGCACGGGGGCTGCCTCGGGGACTCTCCGCTGGGAGGAAGAAGGCCCGCCGCGTAGGCCCTGTGGCGGCCGTGGTTCGCCGATGCAAGGGTCGAACTCACTGATCCACTCTGAGCACGTTTCCGGCAGGTTCTAACTTTTAAAAGTGGGAGAATAGTTTTGAGACTCTGGCTGGAGCATTCTGTAGTTTTTCCACCATAAAAATGAAAGCCGGATTTGCGGCTCTGATAAACTGAGACTGTTAAGTAAAAAAGGTGGGCGAGGCAAATAAGTCCTTAGACCTCCCCCCCCCCCGTTTGTATTGGTACATTATAATTGTACACAGTGGTGCGGTTAGTTATTACCTGTTCATACGTGCACCCAATAACATTTCCTAATATTGCCCCTTAATGGTCCCCTTGGACTCATGACAAGACGGCTGCAGTTGTGGCTCAGTGGTAGAGCGCTTGCCTGTCACCTGTGAGGCACTGGGTTCGATCAACAGCACCACATAAAAATAAAGATATCATGTCCACCTACAACTAAAAAACTATTTTAAAAAAAACAAGACAAACTGATTTTTCGATACCTACAAGAATTGAGATTGGATTTCCATCTGTAATCTGCCTTTAATAAAAAATTAAGATGGAGCCAGATGCAGCGATGCACACCTATAATCCCAAATCTGGGGGCTTAGACAGGAGGATCACAATTTCCAGAACAGCCTGGGCAACTTAGCCAGTGTGTATAAGAGCTGAGAGCATAAGTTAGTGGTAGAACATCCTGGTTTAATCCCCAGTATCCTCCCCTTCTCCTACCAGAGAAATAGTTAAGATAATGGGTTTTATGTCTTGGCCTATTATGCAAACACCAGATTTGCTTGATATTAAAAGTATGAAAATATTCTTTGAGGATTTTAATCTGAGGTGTAGGTAAAGCATTCAGGGACTATGTGATTCCTGAAAAGTTAGGTACAGGTTTTATTTTTGTTGCTGTGCATATGTATGTGGGAGGGAGCTTAGTGATTTACACACTGGCTTTTTTTTTTTTTTTTTTAAGAAGATCCATAGCTTTTATTATATCAAAAGGTTTCTCCTACCCTTGAAATAGTTTATACTTGGTGGAAGCATCCAAATACTTGCAGAGTTGATGGTAATCTGTGTATTTTCATTTTAGCTCTCCTTTCTCACAGGCCTTCTGTCTGCCTCACAATGACTAGATAATGTAGAGGTTTTATTCTTTCCTCCTGTTGGCATCTCATTCCATAGTGGAAAAACAGGCACGATGGGGTTCACACCTTACCTTCATGTTAGGTGCCTGCTAAGGCAGGAACATTAGCTGGTTCTTACAGGTTGAGCAGTTGCATCTTTTCTATGTTCTTAATAGCTTTTAGAAATCATTTACTTTTGTGGCACTTTGTTAGTATTTACTCAGGAGCTTCAGCTCTGCTTAGGAGTATGGATCAAGGCATCAGTGTGTTCATCTACTGAAAACATGTACAAAGAGTCTTGTATTTTATGGGTTAAACATGAGACTCTTCTAAAGTTATTTTACATTTTTAAATTTAATACCTGTTGGGGCTGGGGTTGTAGCTCAGTGGTGGAGTGCTCACCTCATATGTGTGAGGCCCTGTGTTCAATCCTCAATACCACATAAAAATAAATAAATAAAGGTATCATGTCCAGCTAAAATTTTTTTAAAAATTGATACTTGTAAGCAGTAGTAGGTACTAGAATTGCCTTATCCATGAGGTGGTGGATGATGAGATCATAGTCTCAGATGACTGGCTTCAAAAAAATGGGCTTCATATTTAATTTTATGAAGTTACTAGAGCAGGTTTAGAAATCAAGGAATGCACCCTCAGCATTATAGTAAATAAAAGTATGAGCCCATCCCCCTTGGTTGTGTTGTCATGCAGTATGATGAAGCTATCTTCAGACCCTCTACCATTTTCTCAAGCAGCTCCTTAAGAATTGTATATGATGCATATTAAAAATGAGGATTCCTAGTCCTCTTCCCAGACTTAGTGAATCCGAAAAAGACCTTTGACTAGGCAAAATAACACAAAGTATACCTGATTTCATAAATGTGACACTTGGGGGCTGGGGATGTAGCTCAGTTGGTAGAGTTTTTGCATAAGTACCCTGCACAAGGTCCTGGTTCAATCCCGAGCACCAAAAAAAAAGTGACACTCACCAAGTGAATATATTCTTGTGCTTTATTCAAGCATACTAAGAGAACTCTAAGTTGCCTTCCAGTTCCAAAATTCTATGATGTGTAATGCTTTCAGCAGCACTAATCTTGAACTGCCATACCATATTAGGTTTATTCTTACGTTTTTATATTGTCAATTAAGCCAAAAATATTGATTAGAAGATGTCTTGTGATCCTGGAGACCAAATCATAGTCCCAAAAGGCAAAAGAAAGAGGACAAAAATGATAAACTCCTAAAATGTGACAGGTAAAAATAGAAATAGATTGCCAGAGAGATAGAGACTCAGCAGTAAAAGAGGACCCTATAAAGACCATGATACTCTTAAGAAATATTGAAGTAAGCCTGGTGCAGTGGCACATACATATAATTCCAGTGACTTGGGAGGCTGAGGAAGGAGACTACAGGTTTAAAACCAGCCTCAGCAACTTATTGAGACCCTGTCTCAAAACAAAACACAAAAAGGGCTGGAAATGTACTCAATGGTTGAGCACCCCTGGTTTCAATCCCCAGCAACAAAAATATTAAAGTACATACAAAATTCCAAATAATAAAACATTACAGGGAAATGTTTTTAATACATATGATTACATTCAAGTTAATGCATATTTTAAAACAGAGTCTCATATTTTAGAGCAAATATGCGTACTTCCCTTTAAATTATAAATATATAAACAACCATCTTGGGACTGGAGGTACAAAACCCAGCCAGCCAAGCACAGTGAAGCATGGCTGTGATCCCAGCTACTCAGGAGGGTGAGGCAGGAGGACCAGCTCCAGCAATTTGTTGAGACCCTATCTCAAAAAGGGCTGAGAGATGCCGGGTGTGGTGGCACAGGCCTGTAATCCCAGGAGGCTTAGACAGGAGGATCACGAGTTCAAAGCCAGCCTCAGCAAAAGTGAGGTGCTAAACAACTCAGTGAGACCCTGTCTCTAAATAAATACAAAATAGGACTGGGGAATTTCTAGTACCCCCTCCCCCCAAAAAAGGCTGTGAATGTAGCTTGGTGGTAGGGTGCCCCTGTGTTTAATCCCCAGTAACAAAATTTTTAAAAAAGCTATTTTAATGTTCATAGAAGGAACATGCTTACTAATTTATATAATCACTTAATAAAGAAAATATCTAATTCTGTGATTTGTTTTGACATTTGTTTGATTTCAATTATTTAAGTCTTTTATGGTTGATGAAACTAGGCAAGGCATAATAATACATTATGTATCTAAGAAAACCACTTAAATCAGCTGAACTCTTTGACCTGTGTAATCATTTCAATGAAGAATTGTATTTTTAAAAAAACATGAGATGTGATCTATATACCGTATACCAACCATTTAAAGTGTACAGTTTAAGCAGGATGTGGTAGTAACTACCTACGTGGGAAACTAATGTGTAATGATTTCTTGAGCCCACAGTTTTAAGAACAGCCTGGGCAGCAAAGTGTGATGCCATCTCACACAATCAAGAAGAGTAGACAGTTCCATGGTTGTTAGTATATTAACAATGTGCAACCATCTCCATATTCCTTTTTTTTTTTTTTAAGTTGTAGATGTACAGAATATTTTTTTATTTTATTTTATTTTTGTACTGGGGATTCAACCCAGGAGCACTTAACCACTGAGCCACATCCCCAGCCCTTTTTACTTTTTATTCAGAGACAGAGTCTTGCCAAATTGCTTAGAGCCTCACCAAGTTGCTGAGGCTGGGTTTGAACTTGCAATATTCCTGCCTCAGCCTCCCAAGCCACTAGGATTACAGGTGTGCACCACCATGCCCAGCCCCACAATCTAATTTTATGGTTTGATGCTTCCCAAAAAAAACATTACTCACTAGCAGTTAGTTCTTGTTCTTCCTGTGCCGGCAACCACTAATCTACTTTCCATCTATATAGGCATATTCAGAACATTCAAATTTTTTTGGTGGCAGGGGGCTACTATGGATTGAACTCAGGAGCACTTGACCACTGAACCACATCCCCAGCCCTGTCTTGTATTTTATTTAGAGACAAGATCTCACTGAGCTGCTTAGTGCCTCACTTTTGCTAAAGCTGGCTTTGAACTCACGATCCTCCTGCCTCAGCCTCCCAAGCTGCTGGGATTACAGTCATGTGCCACCTTTCCTGGTTTAATGTTTTCAATATTTTATACATATAAAAATTTTTAAACCAGGCGCTGCAGTTGTGGTTCAGTGGTGGTGGAGTGCTTGGCCTAGCATGTGTGGGGCACTGAGTTTGATTCTTAGCACCACATATAAATAAAGGTCCATCATCAACAACTGAAAAAAATTGGGTTAAACCAAACTAAAGGTATGCTATTCCCAAAACACCTTGAGATACAAATTTCTTGGCAGTTTAATGCTTGATAATTTGGTTCATAAGATCATGTTTCTGTTTCTTCTTTTCTACAGATCAGCTTTGAAATTTAAAAACAATGGAGAAGACGCAAGAAACTGTCCAAAGAATTCTTCTAGAACCCTACAAATACTTACTTCAGTTACCGGGTAACAGTTCAGTTACAGTCTGTATAGGATAGTTATCAGACAGTAGTGGTCATTCAAATGTTAGCAAACAGAAAAGGTTAGCTTTATCAGCCTTTGAGATTTCCTGCTGAAAGTGATATATTAACTATAATCCCAGCAGCTCAGGAGACTGAGACAGGAGGATCACAACTACAAGGCCAGGCTGGACAACTTAAAGAAAACCCTGCCTCAAGGGGCTGGGGATGTGGCTCAAGCGGTAGCGCACTCGCCTGGCATGCGTGCGGCCTGGGTTCGATCCTCAGCACCACATACAAAGATTTGTGTCCACCGATAACTAAAAAATAAATATAAAATTCTCTCTCTCTCTCTCTCTAAAAAAAAAAAAAAAAACCCTACCTCAAAATAAAAATTAAAGATGTCTCAGGGCATAGCTCACTGGTAAAGCACCCCTGGGTTCAGTCCCCAGTACTGGAAAGAAGGAAGGAAGGAAAAGGAAGGGGAAGGGGAAAGGAAAGGGATACATTAGAGAAAGTTTACAAATACAATTTTATAATTATTCACTCCTAAAAAGTAATTTTAAAAATATCCAATGATGGGCTGGGGTTGTGGCTCAGTGGTACGGTGCTTGCCTAGCATGCGTGAGGCACTGGATTTGATCCCCAGAACCATATAAAAATAAAAAATAAGAGTTTTATGTCCATCTACAACTAAAAAACATTTAAAAAAAAAATAACATTGATATACTTCAAAAAATAAATACTGGGTCTGGGGTTGTGGCTGAGTGGTAGAGTGCTTATCTCACATGTGTGAGACACTTGAGTTCAATCCTCAACACCACAGAAAAATAAATAAAGGTATTATGTCCAACTAAAAAATATATTAAATAAATAAAATTTTAAAAATAAACATTTTGAGGCCTCTTTGGATGTTTATTCTTTACAGATAACCGCAAATTCAAATTCCGCCCCTAACCCCCTCCCCGTTATTTTTTGCAGTACTGGGGACTGAACTCAGGGCACTCTACCCCAGAGTTATATCCCCAGCGCTTCTTATATTTATTTTGGGACAGGGTTTTGCTAAGTCTCAAGTCCTTGGCCTAAGACTTGAGATCCTCCTGCCTTACCTTTCCAGCTGAGATAACAGGACTGCACCTCCAAATCTGGCTTTTTCACTATTAGATATTAGGGGAAATCTCTGATTTGTATAACAACAGAAAATTTAATTTATACTCCATGTTAAAGTGTCCCCCTCCATGTTCATGTCTCCCACTATACAACTACTGGCATTTCTTACACTATTAGTTCCTTTGAGAACTAATACAACTAAGTCACTTTATCTGGAAACCTAACCATATTATTTTATATAAGGGAGTATCACCTGAACACAGCTTTCTAACTTAATGGCTGCCTTATTATGTTTATATATAAGGTTGTTTTGTTTTGTTGTTTTGTTTGTTCGTTGGTACCAACGAACTCAAGGACACTTAACCACCAAGCCACATCCCCAGCCCCCCCCCCTTTTTTTTTAATACGGTACTGAGGATCAAACCCAATGCCTCACACATTAGGCAAGTGCTCTACCACTGAACTACAACTGCAGCCCATCCCCAGCCCTTTTTATTTTTTATTTTGAGACAGGGTCTTAGCGAAGAGATCCTTGATAAGACCTTATCTCAAAAAGGAAAAAGGGTTGGGGATGTGGCCCTGTGGTTAAGTGCCCCTAGGTTTAATCCCCAATACAAAAAAACAATTAATAAAATAAAGCTGGCCTATTGGCACTCAACTGTAATCATTAACTTCAGAAGCTGAAGCAGAAGGATCACAAATTTGAGGTCACTCTAAGCAACTTTGCAAGACTTTTAAAATAAAAGGGCTGGTGGTGTAGCTCATTGTTAAATACCTCTACGTACAATTTCCAGTAATGAATAAATAAAAATTTAAAAAGTATTTGGGGAAGCTAAAGGATGTAATTCAGTGGTAAAGTACTTGCCTAGGATGCATAAGGCTCTAGATACAACACTCAACACTATAAAACAATTTGGTTTTTGTTTGTTTCATTTACAGCAAGGCACAGTGACATATGCCTGTAGTTCCAGCTACTTGAGAAGCTATGACAGGAGAATTGCTAAAGCTCAGGAGTTTGGTGTCAGCCCAGGCAATATAGTGAGACCCTGTCTCTTTAAAAATAAAAAAACTTTTTTTTACTTATATAAATGAGTTACTTGGAAGTTGGCACGCTCTTTCTCATAAAAATAATATAAGAAGTGATGGGCATAGTGGCACACGCCTGAAGTTAAGGCCAATTACAGCAACATAGCAAGACCTTATCTTAAATTGAAAAAGGTCTAAGAGTGTACCTCAGTGGTAGATCACCTTTAAGTTCAATCTCTTGTACCACAAATAATAACATAAAAGGCAATTTGAAACCTTAATAGTCTATTTAGTTCATAGTGTAGCTAAACTATAATCATGCTTTCAATCACAGTAGGGTTTTTTTTCTCTTCTAAAGTACATATCTTTCTTTATGACCACACCACAATGGTAACATGCTTTTCTGTTCTTCCTGAATCTGGGTAGGATAAATATAGTTATGAAAAGCCAAAAGAGAGCCCAGCATGTTGATGCACACTTGAAATACCAACAACTCAGGAGGCTGTGCCAGAAGAATCGCTTGTCATTTTTCAAAGCCAGCCTAGACAACTTAGACTCTATCTCAAAATAATAAAGGCTGGTGATGCAACTCAGTGAAACAAAGGGCTGAGGATATAGGTCAGTTAGTAAAGTGCTTGCCTCACATGCACAAGGCCCTGGCTTCAATCCCCTCACCACAAAGAAAAAAGGAAGAAGAAAGAAAAGAAAAAAAAGAGTCAGGCTCATGCCTATAGTCCCGAGTACTCAGGAGTCTGAGGCAAGAGGATAGCTTGAGCCTAAGAGTTTTAGGCCACCCTAGGCAACATAATGAAAACCTGTACCAAAAAAAAACGCCAAAAGAATGCTAGCTCCTTAGGTACACTTAGGTAACTATCATGATTAGTAGTATTTCTGTTCTGGCACACCCTAATAGAAACTTACCTGCTAATGTTAATTCTTAAAAAGAAAAAAAAAATGGAGTGAAGTCAGAAATGTTTAAGAAAACCCAAGCCCCGTGTAAGGGTACATATCTGTAATCCAGTGACTTAAGAGTCTGAGGCAGAGTTTTGCAAGTTTGAGGCCAGTGCCAAAGAAGAAAGAGAAAGAAAAAGCCAGGAAACTGGGCACGGTGGTGCCCTTGGCTCAGGAGTCTGAGGCAGAAGAATCATGAGTTCAAAGCCAGCCTTAGCAATTTAGCGAGGCCCTAAGCAACTCTGTGATACCTTGTCTCTAAATAAAATATATATTAAAAAAAAAAAAAAAAGGTCTGGGAATATGGCTCAGTGGTTGAATACCCCTACATTGAATCCCCAGTACCCAAAAGAAAAATCCAGGATACTGCTTTTGAGTGATACTCGCTCTGCTGTTAGTTCATTCACTTATTTAAGATGTTGCTCAGTAGTTTAGCGCACCTCTGGGTTCAGTTCCCAGTACAAAAAAAAAAAAAGAACCATGCCTTGGACAGATATGTTCTTGATCTATAATAATATAATCTCAAAAGATTTTCTGTGCTGGGTTCAGTGGCGCACACCTGTAGTTCCAGCACCTTGGGAGGCTGAGGCAGGAGGATTTCCTACAAATACCCATTTCATTCAGAAGTTGTTGATGGCAAGTTAAAAATTAAAGCCTACTGGGCTGGGGTTGTGGCTAGGTGGTAGAGCTCTTGCCTAGCATGTGTGAGGCACTTAATACCGCATGTAAGTAAATAAAGTCCATTGACAACTAAAAAAATATTTTTAAAAAATTAATGCATACTGCCGGGCACCATGGCACATGCCTGTAATCCCAGGCTCGGGAGGCTGAGGCCAGAGGATCATGAGTTTAAAGCCAGCCTCAGCAAAAGCCAGGTGCTAAACAACTCAGTGAGACCCTATCTCTAAATACAAAATAGGTGTGGGGATATGGCTCAGTGGTTGAGTGCCCCTGAGTTCAGTCTCCGGAACCAAAAAAAAAAAAATTAAAGCCTCCTGAAGTGCCATAGAATCTATCTAATCTTTCTTATCTGCTCTAATTCTGAAAGGTTATGCACTTTAGCATGTTGATTTCAGAGGGATAGGGTTGGGTATTTAGCAGTGAAATATAATCTCTGCAATAGGTAATGGGTTGATGGGGGTGCATTTGCCAAATCTGATGTGTTTTGAAGGAAGGTTGTGTAAGTAAATAATTGTTTTATTGTCATATTTTTTAATTGCAGGTAAACAAGTGAGAACCAAACTTTCACAGGCATTTAATCATTGGCTAAAAGTTCCAGAAGACAAATTACAGGTATTTAGGCAATTCTAATCTCATTCTCAATCTCCCCAAATTAATAGATTTCTCATGAAATTACTTTTCTTAGTTTTATGCTCATCCACTATTGTCTTATGTTCAGGTTGCTAAATAATTTCTCATTATGAAATTTAAGACACCCGAGACTTCCTTAATCTATTACTACCACTAAATATAAACTGTTTTGAATACTTCAAATAATGTGAAGTAATTTTTTTCTTTTTTCTTAGATTATCATTGAAGTGACAGAAATGTTGCACAATGCCAGTTTACTCATTGATGATATTGAAGACAACTCAAAACTCCGACGTGGCTTTCCAGTAGCACATAGCATCTATGGAATTCCATCTGTCATCAATTCAGCCAATTATGTGTATTTCCTTGGCTTAGAAAAAGTCCTAACTCTAGATCATCCAGATGCAGTGAAACTTTTTACCCGCCAGCTCTTAGAACTCCATCAGGGACAAGGCCTGGACATTTACTGGAGGGATAATTACACTTGTCCCACTGAAGAAGAATATAAAGCCATGGTGCTGCAAAAGACTGGTGGACTGTTTGGATTAGCAGTAGGTCTCATGCAACTATTCTCTGACTACAAAGAAGATTTAAAGCCATTACTTGATACACTTGGCCTCTTTTTTCAAATTAGAGATGATTATGCTAATCTGCACTCCAAAGAATATAGTGAAAACAAAAGTTTTTGTGAAGATCTAACAGAGGGAAAATTCTCATTCCCTACTATTCATGCTATTTGGTCAAGGCCTGAAAGCACCCAGGTGCAGAACATCTTGCGCCAAAGAACAGAAAACATAGATATTAAAAAATATTGTGTACATTATCTCGAGGATGTAGGTTCTTTTGAATACACTCGGAATACTCTTAAAGAGCTTGAATCTAAAGCCTATAAACAAATTGAGGCATGTGGTGGGAACCCTGCGCTAGTGGCTCTAATAAAGCACTTAAGTAAGATGTTCAAAGAAGAAAATGAATAATATTAAGCCATTCTCGATTGGGCCGGATAGCTTCTTTAAGTTAATTTTTCTTTTAGCCTGTCACCTTTTCACAAATTTGGACCAAGCTTTAGTCTTCAAAAACTGCGTAAATAGGGATGGTGTGAGTGAAACTGTTCCAATGTAGAAACCCCTCCGTATATGTAATACAGAGTTGAAAGAATAAAAAGGATTCACATTTATATAGATCTAATTTGAGTGTCAGAAGTTGTGGTGGCAGGACATTGTGACCTGTCTGCCATGCTACCAAATGTTCTATTGATTCTGTCAATAAAAAGGACTAGCTTCCAGGAGTTTTTATCTAGGTACTTCCTAGTCATGCTACATTGGCAGTTCCCAGTTCATCTTCCAAACCGATGACTACTTGAGACTGATTTCTTTAGCTAGCTGACCCAAAGACCACAAACTCCTCTTTTTTGCCAAAATGCTGCTACTAAGTATATTTCAGTATCATCTGGAATTCCCCTTGCTAAAGTATTCTATGAAAAGACTGAGCAGGTGAAAAACAGGAAATACTGTGTTCTCTCTCCTACCGTCTTCTTTTTTTTTCTTCCACCTTCACCCCACAACCTTGCTTTTTTGTTGGTTGGTTCAAACCCAGGGCCTCAAACATGCTAGGCTCGTGCTCCACCACTGAGCTATATCCCTACTCCTGTAAGTTCTGATTTCTAACCAGAGTCCCATTTAATGAAATTCACATGCTAATCCAAATTCTCTTTTTCTCTTTGTAACATTTTTATTCACAGACTGTTTAGTATCAGGGTACAGAATTGTCTTTCCATTTGAATTTCTGGCTTTGTTCATTTATTTGCAGTGCTAGGGATCAACCTCAGGGCCTCATGCATTGCCAAACAAGCTCTGAGTAGTAGTGCTGAGTTATAACCCCAGTCCCCATCTGTCCGGTTAGGAAAGAAAAAAATATACAGAATAAGTTTTAGGAGGGGGCTTCTTAACCTGTCATACTTCATGGTCATTGGTAGTAGAGATCTTTAAAGAGCTGTTTGAGTACCTTCAGGACAAAAATGGGGAATTGCCCTTATCTTTCCCAACCATATCACCACCACCCTTGAAAAGGCAGTAGGTACTTGAATGGAAAGAGAATAGACATCTTTAATCTCTGATTACAGGAAACAAGTGTTGCCTTCAGAGTGTGGCTGAATAGCAATAAAGGCTTTACCACACTGATCAGCTTTTTGAGATCCCTAACCCTGACCCAGCTGTTCCTGCAGTGTAATTTCCAGACCCATGCCACTGGCACATGATGTGGCCCAAGAGGTATGGGGTAAAATACCTTGATTTCTCTATTAGAAGTTTTGACATCCTGCGGCTGAGGATATGGCTCAGGGGTAGAGTGCTTGCCTAGCATGCATGAGTCCCTGGATTCCATCCTTAGCACCCCCAAAATAATAACAGAGGGGTTGATATCCCAAAATTGAAAGTTAATGTTTTCCAAGCTGGGTGCAGTGGCTTGCCCCTGTAATCCCAGTGGCTTGGGAGGCAGAGGCAGGAGGATCACAAGTTCAAGAAAAACATGATTATTTTTAAAAATATGCTGACTATAGGAAGAAATTAAAGCATTAACATTTAAAGACTGGAGGTGTAACTCAGTTGTAGAGCACTTGCGTGGCACCACAAAAAAATGATAAAGTATACTGGTGAATACCAGTAATCCCAGCTATCTGGGATTACTAAATAAAAAGGACTGGCATGATGGCACATATCTGTAATCCCAGAGACTCTGGAGGCTGAGGCAAGAAGATCACAAATTCAGTAATTTAAGGTCCTGCTGAAGCTGAACATGTCTAATTCCATAATGACACTAAACAGTCTGTGACATAAAAGTGGGGACAAGGCAGAAAGATTGTAAATTGAGGCTAGCTTGGGCCCTTCAGTGAGATCCTGTCTCAAAAACAAAAAGACCCTGGTTTCAGTCCACAATACTGCCAAAAAAAAAAAAAAGAATTTACATAGAAAGAATGTTTATGTAATTTTTTTGTCCTTGCCTAATCAAAATAATTTTGACCTGGTGCTAATTTTATGATTCTTTTGCCATTTTTATCTTGCTTTTGCCATTGACAGAAATGCTTGGCGTTGAATTGGGTACGTTTTGACAAAAATTCATTTTATTAAATAAAACTCCATTCTTTTCACTTGAACTGTAGTCAGAGCTGTTAATATAGAAGAGATAATAAGTAGTGTAAATCAATATGAATCAATTCATCTGCTTATGTTTATGATACAGCAATTTTTTTTCCTGAATAAGGGAAAATCTTGTCATGATCAAATAAGAATTGGGTTTTACCATTTAGTAAGAGTATTTGCCAGGTGTGGTGGCACACACCTGTAATCCCAGCTACTCATATTTGAAGCCAGCCTGAGCAACTTAGCAAGACGTGTCTCAAAATAAATAAAAAGGACTGGGCATGATGGCACATCTGCAATTCCAGAGACTGGAGGCTGAGGCAAGAAGATCACAAATTCAAGACAAGCCTTAGCAACTTAGAAATCTTTAAGCAACTTACTGAGACCCTGTCTCAAAAAATAAATAGCACTGGGGATATATAGCTCAGCGGTAAAGTGTCCATGGGTTGAATTTCTAGTATCTAAGTAAATAAATAATAAAAGGGTGGGGGATATGGTTTAATAGTTAAGCACGGCTGGCTTCAATCCCCAATACCAAAAAAAAAAAAAAAAGTAAAGGTAAAACATAATTTTTCTAGTCAATACAGCTCCAAAAGACAAATTGATTTCATTTATTTTCCAAATTCAAAAGAATATTATAAAGGTCAGTTACCTGAGCAAGATTTATTTTTGTTGAAATGAGGTCTCACTAAATGGCCAAGGCCAGCCTCCAACTCTGCATTCTGCCTCAACCTCTGGAGTAGCTGGAATTAGACATGTTCAGCTTCAGCAGGACCTTAAATTCAGCTGCTCTTCTCTGTTCTGCTCTATAGACCTCTTCCTACCTTACCTCCTTCTGTCCCTAACTACACCCTATTATCATTCACTTAAGGGAGACTTTTAGATCACTTGCTTCCTTTCCTTGGCCTAAAAAACCATCTACTTTGTTCTTGCTCTGTTGCTGAGTGCTTCTAGGGAATGTTTTCAGAACTGCTGTTGTGGCCATTATAACTTACTATATATTGCAGTCCAATAACCCTTTATTTTACATCTAATCTTTCCCAGAGAAGATTTCAACTATCAATGTCCCCTGATTTTTTCCCACTCTTCTTTCATGAAATGTAAACTCTCTTAATTTTCCTCCTATTTCAAGTCTGTCTTCAAATAGTCTGCCTTTGGTCCCCCCAAAAGTTTGACTTGCCCTAAGCCAAAGGAACTCCTGATTCCTTCACTTTCTATATCTATCTTTTTTTTTGGGGGGGGGGGGTATTGGGCATTGAACTCAGGGGTATTCAACCACTAAGCCACATCCCCAGCCCTATTTTGTATTTTATTAGAGACAGGGTCTCACTACTTGGCATCTCACCATTGCTGAGGCTAGCTTTGAACTCGTGATTCTCCTGTCTCAGCCTCTTGAGCCACTGGGATTACAGTCGTGAGCCACCATGCCTGGATTCACTTTATATTTTGAAAGCCTTGTTCCATTCCATCTTATATACTCAAGATTTATTCATTGGCTCTTTTCAATCAATGTATTAGGAGGAGGAAAGGGGGGAAATATTCATGAAATGTCTTTCAAGCACGAGATATTTATGTTTTCTTCAAGTATTTGCAAAGCAGCACCAGGACCTTGAATCAAGCCAAAGCAGTGGGCTTTTCTGTAAACACTGTCTCCAATGCTTCATGCACTCTTAGATGCTGTTAAAAGTTTGGAAAGCACTTGGTTATTATAATAACAGAAAGTTTTCTTCCTGTAATGTCTCCCCATTTCAGTCCATCCTTCTCCCAAGTATGCCACAATAGCTGATATTGAGTGTTTACAGAAAAAGACAATAAGGGGCCCTACAATAATGTGAATTCAGTTATAATGCAGTTGGCACTTGGCTCCCTCAACCCCTACACTCCCACTTAGCTAACTGCAAACTCACTCTGGTAATTTTAGTAATTTGTAATTGAATATATTGGACATAACCTACAATGTTATGGCATAGTTTCACTATACATGGGTTGGTTAAAAAAAAAAATAGTGCAATAAGCCAGGCACAGTGGCACATGCCTGTAATCCCAGAGACTTGAGAGGCTGAGGCAGGAGAATCTCAAGTTCAAAGCAAGCCTCAGCAATTTAGTGAGGCACTTAGCAACTCATTGAGACCCTGTCTCTAAATAAAATACAAAAAAGGGCTGTGGATGTGACCCAGCGGTTAAGTGCCCCTGGGTTTAATCCCCAGTACCCTCCCCCCACAAAAAGTGCAATAAGCAATAATCTAATAAATTTCAGAATTAACCCTTTAGTTCAAGTGAATTACGTACAGTGTTTCATACCACTGATTAATGGGCATTCTGTCACTGAGATAGCTTGGAAACATTTGTCTTACCAACCATGCACATTTCTTTCTTTCTTTTCTTTTTTTAAATTTTGAGATGGGGTTTTGCTGTGTTGCTCAGGCTGCCTTGCTTCCCAAGACTCAGGGATCTCTCCCCCTCAGTTCTTGAGTGCTGGGATTATAGGTTCATGCCACTGAGCCAGCAGCTGGCACATTCTTTTTAAAAGTACTCTGCTACGGAGAATTACCAATTTAATATCTTTGAATTACATATTATATCAGTGTACACAAAGAAAAATATATGCAAAGATATTAGAATTACTATGATGAGTAATAGAAGATACTTGGACTTCGATGGTGAAGTAGTAGTAATGGTAAACTGTTAAAAGTGGTTTGTAAATCTTAACCAAAACTTGATGAGTTGCTCAATAGAAATTGTAAAATGGAAATAGTTGAACATTTAAGAGTTAACAAGTTTTCAAGAGATTTAGCCTAATAAATACTCTTAATATATAGATGTCAATGTCTCATTTTATTTCTGATACCAGGTTTTGAGCCCAAGGGTACTTAACCACTGAGCCACACCCCCAGCCCTTTTTTTATTTTATTTATTTACTTTTAAATATTTTTTTAGTTGAAGATGGACACAATACCTTGATTGATTGATTGGTTGATTGATTGTTGTGCTGAGGATAGAACCCAGCTCCTTGTATGTGCTAGGTGAACTCTCTACTGCTGAGCCACAGCTCCAGCCCCTCTTTTTTATTTTTTGAGACAAGGTCTTGCTGAGTCACTTAGGGCTTCCCCAAGTTGCTGAGGCTGGCTTTGAACTCATGATCCTCCTGCCTCAACTTCTCAAATTACTGGGATTAAAGGTATATGCAACTAAATCCAGCAGATGTCGATTCTTTATAAGAAACAAATGGTTTTATTTGTTTAATGTATTTATTTGCAGTACCAGGGATTGACCCAAGTGGTGCTCTACCAGAGCTACATCCCCAGACTTTTAATTTTTTTTTTTTTTTTTGTTTTACTTTGAGACAGACTCTCACTAAGTTGCCAAGCCTTGGGCTCAAACTTGCAATCATACTGTACTGGAATTACAGATGTGTGCCACAAATACTAAGTCAATTAACCATAGAGAATTGAACATAAAAAACTGAACTAAGGAAGCTGAAAATGAAGCAATTTTTCACAATTAAGATGTCTGTATAACAAATAATCGTAAGGATGTAACTGAACAAACTATTCCCTTCCATCCAATAGGAAATCAGTGGAAGTGGCTTTTAGCTAAGTATTTAATAGGTACCTTTCAAAGTGCAACTTAAATATGGCCTTCAGTTAAGGTAATGATTTTTCAAATGCGTAAGACTTGCTCAACTGGAGTCTTTTTTGTTATTCCCAAGACACAAGAGGCCCTGAATAAGCTGCTGACTTCACTGTAAGGCAGCTAGAAAACATTTATTCAATATGGGATTATTTATTTACTGGTAATGGAGTCTAAACAGGGGTGCTTAACCAATCAGTCATATCCCCAACCCTTTTTATTTTTTAATTTGAAACAAGGTCTCACTAAGTTGCTGAGGGTTTTGATAAATGGCTGAGGTTGGCCTTGAACTTGCAGTCTTCCAGCTTCAGCCTCCCAAACTGCTGTGATTACAGGCATGTGCCACTGCACCTGGCTCTACACCACGACTTTTAAAAGAAAAACACAAGTTACAAATGTCTACTGTTGACCTGGGTCACTTCTATATGATTAATGAATATACGTAAAATAAATGAGGCTTGAGCTTTATAGCAAACACCCTTTGTTGTTTATTGGCTATATTCTCCCACCCAATTCTCTCTCTCTCTCTTTTCTTTTTTCTTTTTTTTGGTACTGGAGAGTTAATTTAGGGGCACTTTACCACTGAGCTATATCCCTAGCCTTTCTTGTTTTTTTATTTTGAGATAGGGTCTCATTAAGTTTCTTAGGCCCTCACTAAATTGTGGAGACTGGCCTTGAATTTATAATCCTCAGCCTCCTGAGTTGCTGGCATGTGCTTTCATAATCTATCTTTGCTCCCATATTTTTCAATTTTTTGGTTGTCCAGGGCTTGCACATAATAGAATAATACTCTGCCACTGTACTGCATCCCCAGTTCTAAATTTCTTTTATCTAAAACATTTAATCTTTATCTTTCCCCCAGCCTAGTTGATACATAGGTTGTGAGTATTGAACTCTGTAGTAGTTAGGGCTCTTTCCATTCTAAGCAACTGAAATTAAAGTCAAACCAAGTTAATCATAAAAGGAATTAGCTAGACCTTATAATTGGAAAATCCAGGAGTTTTTTACTTTAGTTATTGTTAAGTCCTGGGGGTTAAATCACTTATTCTCTCCTCATTTTTCCTCTTAGTTCTACATTTTATTCTTTTTAATGTTGGCCTCATTCTTTGATGCTAAAGGACAAACTCTTTCCCATGATAGGAAAAATGGTCCCTGGCTTCCAATGTCTTTATCAGCCAAGTACCATGATCTCAAAGGCAAAAGCTCCTGTTTTGACTTTAGCAGTGAAGTCATAAGGAGGCCTTTCATTGGCTGGGCTTTAATCTTGTTGCTATCTTTGTGATATGCAACACGTAGATAAGGGAGCAGGGTACGTGGAATGCTCTCTCTCAAAGTAGCTGCAACCCCCTTTCAGTTTTGGCCCTACCTCTCTGGTTTAAGCTACTTTTTATTTTCCTCTTCATAAATGGGGACTGAACTCAAGGGTGATCTACCACTAAATTATATCCTCAGCTCTTTTTATATTTTACTTTTACTAAATTGCCCAGGTTGGCCTTGAACTTGGTGATCCTCCTGCCTCGGCCTCCCAAGTCAATGGTATAGTAAGTCATGCATCACTGTACCCAGCACATATTGTCTAACTCACACCATCAAGCATACATCTCTCCAGGATTGGAATATTGCATTTCTCTTTTCATTGCTAGATCTTCACTGCAAAGCTAGTAGTCACTAAATATTTACTTATTGCATGAATGATGGGACTCAGAATGGATTGCAGTGCAAAGGGTTAATTTTTTCCTACAATGTTTGAAGTATGATTTTTACAGCTATTGGGATAATTAACCCTATGAAACTATGCTGTACAAAAATCAAAGGATGTGGGGACTGAGAAACGACCTTGGTGATATGAAGTCACTAATAACATTTGAGTAGGTGATTTTGGAAGAACTGGAGGAAGAATAGACAAAGTGTCAGGCTGGAAAGGATTAAAGAGAAAGGGATGAGGAATAAGAGACAAACATATAGATTTTTGGGGGGGAAGACTTTATTTCAGGGGAGCATATTTATTTTGTATTGCTGGGGCTGTAACCCAGGGCCTTGAGCATACCAGGCAATCTCTCTACCACTGAAAGAAGAATTTAGAGGACAACCACTTTGAAGAAGATAACATAGTTGAGGTAACAGTGTGCTGATCAACATGAAGAGAGAAGACTGACAGTAAAGAGGTGTCATCTTTTCATTCTAAGAAAAACTGGGTAAATGTTATCACAATTAACAAAGAAAGTAAATTATTTTATAAAGAAAGATTCATGTTTTATATTTTTGTGGATCATCTGAATTTAGTGGATGAGGTTAATTTTTTCGGGGCTGTAATCTCAGATACTTAGGAGGAAGATTACAAGTCTGAGGCCAGCCTCCAATCTCGAGCCCGGTCTCAAAACATACATATCCACAGATAGAGCTCTAAAGATATAAAATAAATGTGGAATGTTATCTGAAGTCCTTATTTGAAGTTTTATATCAGTATTGGAAAAGTGCGACAATGAGGATTGGCTCAGAGGATTCTCCAAGCAAGAGTGGGATGGTGCATTCTTACTGATAGGATTCCAAACAGCAGTTTCTGAAAGTTTATTTTTAGGACCTAAGATTCACTGTATATGTCCTTTCGTTAACCAACAAAAGCAGCTTCACAACGGGAGTCTCTCCCTCCTTTGCCAGTTGAAATTCTGCTCAACCTTGACGTTCAGCATGCGTGTTGCAGCAGCCTTTGGTTGGATTAGTGACGCCCTCGATAATTTCCCGCTTGTTTTTGCGGCGGAGGCGACCCACGACCCGGCTCCTGACAGGCAAGCTCTCCAAAACAGCTCACGCTTAACCCTGCGTCGCGAGCTGTAATCACGTTCCAGACCCCGCGCAAGACGTTCCGCTAGTGTCACTGCCGGGTCCTCACCACGTTGCGTTGCGTCACCACGGCACGCCAGGCAAACGCTCTACCCGAGCCATGTCCCCAGCCCAGTCTCTTGATTTTTAACCGCCGAGAACGGCGACGGTGGAGACTGTCGTGCGCAGGGGCGGCTTTCCCGTTCTGTCTCCGGTACTCGCACTGCCTTCCACCCGCCTGTGGTCCTACTAGCCGGCCTTCCTTTTCCGCTAGGGAGGCCGGCACGCGCGACTGCGCACTGCCCACGTATTACACACCTGTCTACGTCAAGCCCGACTCTCCAGGGCTGGCAACCCGCGTAGCGAGGGCCCTTGGGCCAGAGCATGCGCGGTCATTGGAACGCCCTGTCCGGCGCCGGGGGCTGGCCTTGGGAACACTTGTACGTTCTCAGCCAGCTCCCGCGGTCGCCGCTCGCTCCGCGGGGCGGGACTTCCGGTATCCCCCATAGCACTTCCGCCCGCGGCCGGAAGCTCTGCTGCCCTCCGCTGTCAAGGGGCAGCCGCCGAGACCACCAGCTGCTGCTGGCAGGTGAGCCTCGAGAGCTGGGCCGCGAAGGCCGGACTGGGGGCTCGCCTGGCCGCCCTGTGCCCTTTCCCTTCCTGGACTTACCCGGGCGGCAGCCCGGGCTCTGAGGTGCCCGCGGGGACGCCGCCGTCGCTGGGGAAGGGTGGGGCTGCGCGGGTCCCCGGCCGCGGTCGGCGCCCCGCTAGGAGAGCCGGCCTGCCGGAGCCCGCGTCGGCACCGGCCTATCGCACGGCCCTCGGCGCCAGCCGGGGAGGAGCATGGTGTGGCAGCGCCGCCCGCGGAAGCGGCTGGTGGCGCGGCCGCTCGCCTCACCAGGTGCGCAGGCCCGGCTGCCTCCCTTTGCTGTTTGTTTTCGTGGCTTTTCCCGGCATTTTCGTTTTATATGAGATGTGCTGTTATAAACAATATGCCGCTGGGGTCCCCCCATCAAGGTGACGGTCTGCCTTTTGAATTGCAGGTTTATTGTATTGAACTTAATTGTCTCTACTCGCTTGGGAGTCCTCTTGACTCAGCTTTCTCTCCTTGAGCTTCAGCAGCTGCTGTCAGCACGATCTGTCCACTCCGAACCATCTTTGCGTGTTCAGATTGCGGTTACCTCTCACCTGGCCTAAGGACACCCAGCTGGACTCAACTTTTTTTTTTTTTTTTTCTTTTTAGTCTGTTAGCATCCCTAGAGGGATCCTTCTGAAAAAATAAATCAGATGATCTGCCATTTCACTCAGTAAAGCCAACTGTTTGGAGACCTTCATGCTGGATGTCCTCTCTACTAATCTGTTGACTGCTGTGTGGCCTGCCTCCTGGCCTGCCTCCCCAAGCACTCCCCCAGGCTATCTGCACTTTTTTCCTCTGCCTGGAATGGTCTCAGTGATTCAATCCCTTCTCTCTCTCTTCCAGGTTTTGGAATATTACCTTCTCAGGGAGGCCTTCGTCTTTAACAGATCCATTGTGCTTATCTTTATCACTTGTTTCTCCCCAGTAGCTTCATGGGGACTGGGATTTTGTTTTCTTTCTTTCTTTTTTGGATACAGGAATTGAAAACAGAGGGGCTCTTTACCACTGAGCTACATCCCCAGTCCTTTATATTTGTTATTTTGAGACAAAATCTTGCTAAATTGCTGTTGCTGGCCTCAGTCTTTCAATTCTGCCTCAACCTTCTGAGGCCCTGAGATTAGAGTCCACACACAACAGGTCTTCTACTTTTAAAGAATAACAGTTATGGCTGGGGATACCCAACAGGTCTTCTACTTTTAAAGAATAACAGTTATGGCTGGGGATACAGCTCAGTTGGTAGAGTGCTTGCCTTGCATGCACAAGGCCCTGGGTTCAATCCCCAGCACCACACACAAAAAAAGATTAACAGTTATGGTCTGGGCATAGTGACCCACTCACATAATCCCAGCCAGTTGGTAAGCTGAGGCAGGAGGATTACAAATTCAAGGTCATTCTGCGGAAATTAGTAAGACTCCATCTCAAAATAACAATCACAAAAATAATAAAAATTTCAACTAATATTGCATAATTGAGATAAAATGAAAGCATCTTTGCAAAGTGCATAATTTAGTTTTAAATTTTTCCTTTGTTGATGATACTCAACCCCTGAATTCCTCTCATGTTCTCCAGTTTTCTCAGTCTGAAAAGCCTGTAGACTCCTTCATAGACTGTTTAATTACAGAAAATAAAATACATAGGATTTCAGAGGTAACTACTTTCATGAAATAATTATCAAAATATTTTGAAACAGTAATATAATGTGTTTCTTTATTAACACATTAAGCGACAAGATCTACGTGTCAGGTCTTTTTATGTTTGTCTCAGGTACTGGAGATGGATCCCAGGGCCTGTGCATGGTAGGCATGCTCTATCACTGAGCTATTGCCTCAGGCCTAGTAGTTCTAAGAAATATTTTAGTTTTGAAATAGTGATGGATATAAACTATACTTTGAGAAATCTGTAACAGCTGTAATAGGATATAAAAATATGATTTCTAAAGATGAGAATCACAGATGCTGCTAATCCAACTTGTGATATTTTATGTCTGTGTACGTAATTAAGGAAAGTGCTAACTTTCAGTTAAAAGTTAGTAAAAATTTTCAGTTAGAAAGTTTTTTTTTTTTTTAAGTCAATAATGTGCCAGGTTCTCTGGTGCATGCCTGTAATTCTAGCAGCTCAAGAGACTGAGGCAGGAGGTTTGCAAGGTCAAAGCTAGCCTCCGCAATTTAGCAAGGCCCTGTCTCAAAGTAAAAAAAATTAAAAAGGCTGGGTATGTGTCTCAGTAGTAAGTTCCCTTAGGTTCAATCCCTGGTACCAAAAAAGTAGTCAATAATGTTTGGGTTTTTTCCTCCCCCCCCCCCCATATTGGGGATACAGCCCAGGGCCATGCACATGGCAGGCAAGTGCTATACCACTGAGCTACAACCCTAGCTCTTTTTAATTTTTTTAATCTTTTTACATTTTTGAGGCAGGGTTTTGCTGAGTTGTGCAGACTGGTCTACAACTTGGAATCCTCCTGCTTTAGCCTCCTCAGCAACTATGATTACAGTGTTCACATGTTGGTGATTTACTTCATCACAATTAATCAGGGTCACTCTAGTTCCTCTGAAGATTGAGGCAAGAGCCGGACACAGTGGCAGATCCTTGTAATCACAGGGGCTCAGGAGGCTGAGACTGGAGGATCCCAAGTTCAAAGTATCAGCAGTGGGGAGGTACAAAGCAACTCAGTGAGACCCTGTCTCTAAACAAAATACAAAACAGGGCTGGGATATGGCTCAGTGGTTGAGTGACCCTGAGTTCAATTCCAGGTACCAAAAAAAAAAAAAAAAAAAAACAGTTTGAGGCAAGATTTATCTTCACTATAGCTTTTTTCCTTCTGTTCTTTTCTTTTTTGGTCTATGTTTGTTACTGTGGATTGAACCCAGGGCTTTACACATTCTGGTCAATTGCCCTATCACAGAGCTATATCCACAACCCTTTTTTATTTGAGACAAGGTCTTAGTGCCTTGCTGTTGCTGAGACTGGCTTTGAACTTGCGATCCTCCTGCCTCAGCCTCCCCAGCTGCTGGGGTTACAGGCATGCGTACCTTTATTTTATTTATTTTTTATGTGGTGCTGAGGACCGAATCGAGTGCCTCACACATGCTAGGCATTACTTAGCATAATGTCCTCAAGATTCATCCATGTTGTAGCAGGTGCCAGGATTTCTTTTTAAGGCTGAATAATATTCCTTTGTGCGCACACGCACACCATATTCATTTATTGAAGGACACTTCAGTTACTTTGATCTTTTGGCCCTTTGTGAATAATGCTGCTATAAACATGTAAGTGCAAATAGCTGCTTTAGTCTATGCTTTTCTAGTCTTTTAAAATTAATTTGAGGAATCGTAGTTATTATTAAGACTGTGAGAGAGCCAGCTGTGGTGACTCCTGCTACTCTGGTGGCTGAGGCAGGAGGATGGCAAGTTCAAGGCCAACCTTGGCAATTTAGTGAGACCCCCATCTCAGAGAACAAAAGAAACAACAGCAATGAAAAAAACATCAGACTGATGAGAAAATAAATAAATAAACCAGTAGGAAATGGGCAAAGTACATGAATGGGTAGTTCACATAAAAGGAGAGATACTCAGCTTCCCTCATAATACTCCTGATGGGATTGTAAATTGGAACTGCCATTATAAAGGGACATTTGGTATTAGGTACTCAAATGTAAAACGCATATGTCCTTTGACACAGCATTCCCAGGGTTTTGGCTGGTTTTGGGTAATGGGGATTAAACCCAGGGGTGCTCTATCACTGAGCCATATCCCCAACCCTTTTTATCTTATTTTGAGACAGAGTCTCACTAAATTGCTGAGGTTTGTCTCAAACTTGAGATCCTCCCTCCTCATTCTCCTAAGTCATCGAGATTACAGATGTACACCACTATGCCTGGCTCACACTTGAACATTGAAGTGACTAATGTGATGATTCTGTGGCCCTGTTCAAAAGTGTTTATAGAATAGCCAGGTGTGATGGCACATGCCTGTAATCCCAGCGGCAGGAGGCTGAGACAGGATTTCAAGTTCAAAGCCAGCCTCAGCATAAAGCAAGGTGCTAAGCAATTCAGTGAGACCCTGTATCTAAATAAAATACAAAATAGGGCCGAGGATGTGGCTCAGCAGTCAGGTGCCCCTGAGTTCAATCTCTAGTACCAAAAAGAAAAGAAAAAAAATGTTTAATAAAGGAAGTATGTATCTCAGTTGTAATAAAATCTGTATACATGTTAATGAAAATTAAAAGGGTGCTTAAAACTAGTAAAATCCATTCTTAGGGTAATGTAATTATAGTGAAATTTAAATATTTATTTAAGTGTTATGGACAGAAGATGGCGGTAATCAGAAATGGCTTTGGTGTTATTTCGTTGCAACCTTAATCTCCTGCAACTGTCTTTCCCATGCAAAGGGAGAAAGGTGAATGTATTGTTAAGTCTATGCTGGTGGATGAGTTGTATCCTGACCATTGTATACCCAGACAGGTGACATGTAACATTTGTAACATGATTTTCATTTCTGGGTGTTAAAATTTATCGGTGGAATTTGTAAATGAATTATAGGGAAAATTTGGAATTTTTTTTTTTTTTGGATACCAGGTGCTTAAACACTGAGCAACGTTCCCAGCCCTTTTATAGACATTAAATATATGTAGAGACAGAGTCTTGTTAAGTTGCTTAATGCTTTTCTAAGTCTGAGGCTGGCTTTGAACTCCCGATCCTCTTGCCTCAACCTCCCAAATTTCTAGGATTACAGATGTGCACCACTGTACCCAGATGAGAACTTGGAATTTTTTTTTTTAATTTTAGTTGTAGATGGGCACAATCTCTTTATTTTATTTATTTTTTTTATGTGGTGCTGAATCCAGTGCCTCACACTCAAGCACTCAACCACTGAGCTATAATCCTAGCCCGAGAACTCGCAATTCTTATGAGGATGGTTTAAAGGCCTGTGAATATTTACCTGGTACAAAGGTTTGAGACATAAGACAGGTAGAGGGAGAGCAGAAATGATAACATAAGGATGTCCTTCAAATATTCCAGTGTCCGCTGGAAAGGGAGTGCATTGGTGGGTCACAGTTGGAGAGGGCAATACTAGAAGATGATGGGTAGATTTCATGGTGCACATGTGCATGCACACGCATGTGTGTGTATGTGTGTGTGTGTAGTGTGTTTAGGGATTGAAACTGAACTCAGGGGTCCTCTATTACTGACATACATCCCCAGCTCCTTTTTTTTTTAATATTTACTTTTTAGTTGTAGTTGAACACAATACCTTTATTTCACTTATTTATTTTTATGTGGTGCTGAGGATCGAACCCAAGGTCTCACACTTGCGAGGCGAGCCCTCTACTGCTGAGCCACAACCTCAGCCCCCCCCCCCGCAACCCTTTTCATGTTATTATTTATTTATTTTTAAATACCTTTATTTATTCATTTATTTTTTTACGTGTTGCTGAGGATCGAACCCAGTGCCCCATATGTGTGAGGCAGGCACTCTACCACTGAGCCACAGCTCCAGCCCCTCTTGGTTTTTATTTTAAGACAGGCTCTCACTAAGTTGCCAAGGCTGACCTCAAACTTGGGATCCTCCTTTCTCAGTCTCCTGAGTTTCTGGGATTATAGGCATAAAGCTATGCATCCTGCCTATTTCTTTCTTTCTTTTTCTTTTCTTTTTTTTAAAGAAGTTGATGGATCTTTATTTTATTCATTTATTTATATGTGGTGCTGAGAATCGAACCCAGTGCCTCGCACATGCTAGGCAAGTGCTCTACCATTGAGCCACAACCCACCCCCACCCCACCCCCGTCTGTTTCTTTTAAGACAAGAATAATCTAACAAGGAGAGTTACTCCAAAACTAAATGGTCTGTCTTAATTCATTAGCAAGCACATGTGTTTAAAAAAGGCATCCCAGTTTAATAAAGGTTTCAAGGCATCCAGATTGGCCACCACAGAAAAGATCCCTCTCAGATCCCCAGTGCAGGCAATTACCGAAAATCTAGGTGAGCAGCTAACTTCAGGACAGTTTGAACACTAAAGTGGAGGTAGGAGTAGGGAGGATGTAAGTGGTGGTGTCAGCAGAGGGCCATAGAGGTGCAGTGGGGCCAGTAATGGCATCAAGTAGGTTCAACAACAGGAAGCAGGGACTCGTTGACTGGTCAGAGAAACAGAGTAAAGGCCTTGGAGCTGAGGCATAGTTCTTGAGACATGGATCCAGTTTTCAAGTCATCACCGAAGAAAAATCACAGCATCAAGAAACATTATTTGAAGGGTCAAGAGCTTGGGCAAGATCATCAAAACACTGACTTAATGGAGAGCCACTTGATGATTGACCATAGGTGTCTTTTTTGTTTTTTTGGTAGGGGCATACCAGAGATTGAACTCGGGAGCACTTGAGCACTGAGCCACATCCCCAGCCCTGTTTTGTATTTTATTTAGAGACAGGGTCTTACTGAGTTGCTTAGCGCTTTGCTTTTGCTGAGGCTGGCTTTGTATTCACAATCGATCCTCCTGCCTCCACCTCTCCATCTGCTGGGATTATAGGCATGCGCCACTGTGCCTGGCCAAGCATAGATATTTTATATCTGCTGATGTAATTGGTCCTGTAGCTGTAGCATGCTTGTGGGAATGAAAAAATTGCTACTGGAGATCAGAGAGGATCTAGCACATGGAACTTCATAATTCGTGAATTATGTGTACATGTTAAGAGTGTCAGTGGAATGGTTTCCTAGTGTCTTCCTCCTCTTGTAATTGCTCACTTGGTTTTACTCACCCATTTATCACCACCCTGTTCTTTTTCACTGGTAGCCCAGTTTTCAAGGTGGGAGGCTAGGGCTGAGCCCCATCCAGAACTCCAGACTGATGGTAGGGCTTTAAGAGTTTCTGGTTAGATAACTCCATGCACTCTAGTTAATGGAAATTCCTTGTAGGAATGGAGTTCTACAACTACTTATTAATTCTCTCTCCTCAGGGACTAGAACTCAGCTTCTGAACATAGCCTTGGCCAGACCTCTTAGCAGCTCTGTCTCTGTACTTCCTAAAACTCAAGGTTCTGCCACCAGTTCCTACCAGCGCATGGATCTTACCTCAAAATCGTCCAAACATTTCCTACCATGTTTAGGCTCTGGAATGATGCTTTTGCTTTTCAGTGCTATTGGGCAGGTTTGGATCTAGATCTAGAGATTCCGGCTCCTTGCTGACTGTCTTCCTTTATTCTTTTTTTGGCGCTAGAGATTGAACTCAGAGCCTCACGCAGACTAGGCAGACACTCTGCCACTGAGCTACAATCCCAACCTTGTCCCTCTCCCCTTTTTTTTAGTGTTTCTGTTAGAACATTATAGCTTTATGTAGCAATGGGGTTCATTTTGGCATATTCATAAATGTGTACCTTTTCTCCCATTTTTCAATAAATTCAGCTCCATTTGAAATAGGATTTTTCTCACAAGAATTGGGGACAATATATTTTATGAAAGCCAGAGGACTTGATTAACAGGAACTAACACTGAAATTTGATAAATTTACGTTCTGCAGTCTGAGATGATAATGCTCACACTTCTGGAATATGGGCGGACGTGACATAGACAATTCCAGGAGCAGAGGAAATGTCTCCCATTCTCTGTGGTGGGAGAGGTGCACAGGTGTCGTGCCAGAGCCTCCAGTAGCCCACATACAAGCAAACTATGATTATGACCCAAGAAGCTGTGATTCACAATCTAAGTTTTTATTACCTTCATGTATTACATGATAATATTATTAAAATATAGAACTTTTGTTCAGTAGACCTGTAGCATACATCTAAAAATCCTTGCACTGGCATGCATGAGGCCCTGGGAAAAGGAAATTCTTGCACTGCTACATTGCTAACCTTTTATAAGAAAAATCAAGTTTTATTCTGAGACTGAGTTTGTGAACCATATCTGTCCAGCAAGAAGAAGCCAAGGTTGTTGAGCTCTGATCTTGCAAGCTCTCTGCAGCATCCGGCACTGTTGCTCCTCTGCCTCTTCTGTAAGCTTTGCCTCTTGAGTTCCAAGACCCCAGAGTCTGGCTTTCTATTTTCCTTTCTGGCTCTTCTTCATCTCACTCCTTAGGGTTTACTTCCCTCTCCCTTTCATTGGGGTTCTGCCTCTTTCCCCCAATGCACCTTCGGTCTCATCCACCCTTACTGTATTAGTTTCTGATGACTTCTAGGTACCCGTTTCTTTTTTTTTCTTTTTTTGTTACTGGAGATTGAACTCAGGCACTGAGTTACCCTGAGCTACATCCTTTTTATTTTGAGATAGCATTAGGTTGCTGAGATTGGCCTCAAACTTGCAGTCCTGCCTGCTATAGCCTTCCATGTTGCTGGAATTATGGGTATGAGCCACTGTGCTGGCCAGATACCCATTTCTGTTTACATGCATGCACAACATGTCTTGAGCTGCAGACCCTCATCCATCCTGACACTTTAGATACCCAGGCACCTTTTAAGACCTTGTCTTTATTTTTAGAATTTTATGTGTGTGTATTTTAAATTTAATTGGTTTTTGTTTGGTACTGGGGATCGAGCCCAAGGGCACTTTACCTCTGAGCTACATTTCCAGCCCTTTTGGTGTTTTTTTTTTTTTTTTATTTTGAGACAGGGTCTTGGTACGTTGCTTTGTCCTGGCTGAGTTGCAGAGGCTGGCTTCAAACTTTGATCCTTCTGTCTCAGCCTCCCAAATTTCTGGGATTATGGGTGTGCCCCACTCACTGCTTCTAGCTTTCTTAAAGAAATTTTATTAAATTTTTCTCAATGCTATGATTTTTTTTCCTCCCCTAGATCTCACATTTTGGATTCTGGCTGTCTTATAATGAGTGACACTTTGACATTAGATGTCATTGGTCAAAGAGTTGAAGTAAATGGAGAATATGCAACAGTGCGTTTTTCTGGCGTTGTCCCTCCTGTGGCAGGTAAGTGGTGTGTGTGGGAGGGGGGCAGTTTTTTCTGTGTAGGATTCTCAGTAGCACTTTTTTTTTTTTTTTTTTTGGTACCAGGAATTGAACTCAGGGGCACTTAACCACTGAGACACATCCCCAGCCCTTTGTTGTATTTTATTCGGCAACAGCATCTCACTGAGTTGTTGAGACTGGCTTTGAACTCGAGGTCCTACTGCTTTAGCCTCCTGAAGCCGCTGTAGATTGTAGCTGCTGGGATTACAGGTGTGCACCAATGCACCTAGCTCAGTAGCACTTTTTAATATCAATTTTTGGGAAATTAACCAATTATAGACACTTACACGTAGATTTATTTGGCTGATGATATCATGTGGTACACATGGTTTTGTTTAATTGTACGCTATTTAATTATTTAGTACTTCTGTTTTATATTAAACCGACCAAAAATGTTATCTGAGGAAATCTTAAGCAATCAAAAGTCTTGAATTCTTGTAATTTGCTACTCAAAAAATAAATAATTTTTCTACAAAGTCCTTTGCCATTAATCTATATGTAAATGTATTTATTGTAAACTAATATACATGCAATTTTTGTCACCTATTTTCATTATTTGGTGTATAATTTCATGTTTCTATAAAAAGCATTTTAGTTGGGGTTATTTATTTAAGTTGTAGGTAGACACAATACCTGCCCTAGTCGGATTTCTTAATGGTTACATTTAATAGAGTATATTTGATTATTCTCCACTTTTGGACATTGCTTTCTAGGTTTTTACTTTTGTAATATACACTTATTCACATATTTTAATCAATGAATATTTGAATATTTTCTATATGTTCTGAACTGGCCTGAGTAGGTACAGGGAGACTCAGTGAGAAATTTAAACCAGAAGTTCTCAGTGTGTGGCCCCTAACTAGAATCAGCTTCATCTGATTACTCCTTAGAAATGTAGATTCTTGGGCTTTACCCCATATCTACAAATACTCTGGGAACAGAGCCCAGCAATTTTGTGTTTCAAGAAGTTGTTGAGGGCCAGGCATGGTAATACATGCCTATAATTCAGGAGATTGAGGCAGGAGGATTATAAGTTTAAAGTCAGTCTCAGCAATTTAGCGAGACCCTGTCTTAAAAAGGACTAGGGATGTAGCTCAATGGTAGAGTGCCCTTGGGGTTTTATTCCTAGTACTGCTAAAAAAAAAGTAGTTCTCGGGGTGGGGCTGTGGCTCAGCAGTAGAGTGCCTGGCACATGCAAGGCACTGGGTTTGATCCTCAGCACCACATAAAAATAAATAAATAAAATAAAGATATTATGAAAAAAAAATAAAGTTGTTCTCTAGGGCTGGAATTATAGCTTAGAGGTAGAGTGCTTGCCTAGCATGCACAAGGCCCTGGATTATTTTACTCTCAGCATCACAAAAAATAAAAATACAGCCTTCCAGAAGATTTTTATGTGCATTAATTTTTTTTTTTCTTCTTCCTTTTTTTGGGGGGGTGGGGTGGGGGATGTGGGGATGTACTAGAGATTGAACTCAGGGGCCCTCAATGACTGAGCCACATCCCCAGCCCTCTTTTGTGTTCTATTTAGAGACAGGGTCTCACTAAGTTGCTTAGTGCCTCGCTTTTTTTTTTTTTTTTTTGAGAGAGAGAGAGAGAATTTTAATATTTATTTTTTAGTTTTCGGCGGACACAACATCTTTGTTTGTATGTGGTGCTGAGGATCGAACCCGGGCCGCACGCATGCCAGGCGAGCGCGCTACCGCTTGAGCCACATCCCCAGCCCCAGTGCCTCGTTTTTTGCTGAGGCTGGCTCTGAACTCACAATTCTCCTGCCTCTGGAGCTGCTGGGATTACAGGCATGCACTACCATACTGGCTGTGCATTAAGTTTTAGTTTGAACCCCTGCGTAGATCACTGTGACTCTGCCTTCTTGGAAATTGCCATGGAAGGCTTTAAACAAGCATGTAAGACGGAGAAGGGGTCCTCCTTCTGCCCCCATTTGACTAGGATGATTGATAAATGGGAAGAGAAAGTAACATTTAAATAATAATGACTGTGTGCCAGGTTCTGTCATGTATGCTCTTTATTTTGAATATTATAGTAACAAACTTAAGATATGGATGTTATAGTCCCGTGTTTACAGATGAAGACACCAAGTCTCAGATCTCAAAACTTCCATATAGCAGAACTCAAATATGAGTCTGCTTCAGAGCCCATGCCATTTCTACTCTGCTGCTTTCCAAGAACATACATATTCTCTAGGTACATATTATATAGGCAGATTGCCATCTGCAGGTTGAATCAATGTGCAGTACTTGGAAATTTTTAATACCCAAGTTCTTTGGAAAGCAGAATGGGGTAGAGATTTGCATCCAGAAAGCTCAATGTTCAGAAAGCTCATTAGGAAGTACTCTGGAACCAGTACTTATGGAAGGATTGGGCAAAAGGATTAGGTGGGCTGTTGCAATCCTCCTGCCTGAGCCTTCCTAGTCACTGGTCTCAACAAAGGGCTCGGCATTCCCCTGTGAGAGCTCTGATGTTAGAGGTCATCTGGTGGAATTGTACAAAGATGTAGACAGTGAACATACATTTAGTCATTACTCTCAGGGGTATTTCACCAGATGTGGTTGTAGGGCCATCATGGCAGCTAAATGCATTGATGTGTTTAAAGCCAATCATTTAAAGCCAGTCATTAGACCAGTCATTGATCATATTGTTAGCCATTGTTATAAGTAAGCATTTAAAAAAATTACTTAGGAACAAATTCTAATGTTTTACAAATGGATTCTTATGATTGGATATAATATCCCGTGGTAAGCATTACTATAGATTGCAGAGTGTTATGCATGAAAACTGTTAAGATGGAGGTAAAGATGGGCTGCTATGGGAGGCAGATAATAGTACTCCAAAGATGTCCCCAAAACCTGTGGTTATGCTAAGTTACATGTCAAAGAGGGTTAGGGCTGCAGGTGGAATTAAGTTTGCTAATTGGCTGATTTTAAGATTGGAAAATTATCCTGGTTCATCCAGGTGGGCCTAGTGTAATCATAGGAAGCATTAGAATCGGAAGAGAAGGCAGAAGAGGCATTGGCATTGTCAGTGAAGTGATGTGGGATGGTTCACTAGCCACATCTCACCTTGAATGTGGAAGAAGGTCAGAAGCCAGGGATGTGTGCACCCTCTACAGCTTCGAGAGCTGCCCTGGTATGATAAGGAAGCTGTCAAGAATGTAAGGTTCATTCTTCTGGTCTGTTTTTTTAAATGGCAAATAGCATGTAGAGGCCATAGTTTGGGGTCCAGAGGTACTCATCGCTACCAGGATGATATTGTTTCCAGGCATTTTTAGTGAATAGAGATGTATCTGGAGGATTCATTCTTAGAAATAGAATAGATTTAAGGAGGGTTTATATGTATTATTATAAGTTTTCAAATGAGAGAAAAGGAGAATAGTGTAATGAACACCTGTGTTTACTTGTCATGTCTGTTTAACAATCGTCAGCATTTTGCCATATTTGTTTTATTGCTATTTTTGCTTAATGTGGTTTTTCTTTTTTCTTTCTTTCTTTCTTTTTTTTTTTTGGCACTAGGGATTGAACCCAGGGGTGCTTAACCACTGAGCCACATCCCTAACCCTGCCCTCCTGTTGTTTTTTTGTTTGGGGGTTTTTTGGGGGTGCTGGTGCTGGTGATTGAACCCCCAGAGCATTATGCTTGCTAGGCAAGCACTCTACCAACTGAGCTATATCCCCAGCCAGCCTAACCCTTTTTTTAATGTTTTCTTTAGAGACAGTCTCACTGAGTTGCTTAGAGCCTTGCTAAGTAGCCGAGTCTGGCTTTGAAGTTGCAATCCTCCTGCCTCAGCCTTCCTAGTCACTGGGATTATAGGCATGTACCACCACACCCTGCATTGCTTAACATTTTAAATTATATACATAGTAGAATTTTATCCCTAAATTCTCACTGTACATTTTCTTATAAATAAGTACATCTTCTTATAAAATAATATGTACATTTTATACTTAATTTTTTTAATCATGCAGTTTAGGTTATTAAAATAGCTTTGCATTTTTTTAAAAAAAATATATTTTTAGTTGTAGATGGACACAGTACTTTTATTCATTCATTCATTCATTCATTCATTTATGCATGCAGTGCTGAGAATGGAGCCCAGTGCCTTATACATGCTAGGCAAACACTCTACCACTGAGCCACAACCCCAACCCTAGGACTCCTCTTTTTTTTTTTTTTAAGGACTCCTCATTTTTAACATGCTCCTTAGTGGATTCTAGTGCCCATGCTTTGAGAGGGGTTGTTTTTATCCTTTAGGAAGTGCTAATATTCTGGTAAAAAGTGAAATCACCAGAAAGCCGCATAGAACCTCTGGGCCCTCTCTCTAGCTGCCTTTGCAGAACTGAGCTTTTTACCCTGAGCCCTATTGAGGCCTATGTGAGACACAGCTGCTGTGAAACATCTGTGAACCGATGATGCTGCTGTTTCTGAGAGTAGCTTGCTCCCTACAGAGGGACTCCTGTGACAGGAGCTGAGCTGTTGGCTCAGGGAAAAGGAAGGACATCTTTTCTAATGAACTGAAAGGATTCTAACAGTGGTCAAGAGAACTGCATCTTGCTATAAGGAAGCTCAGAGCCACATCTTCATCACTCTTTCTCAGTTATTCTATTCTAATGATTTTCCACCCCTCCTTTTTTGTTGATGATTTTTGATCTTTCAGTATTATGTTTTTCTTTCTCCTTGAAGTGTTTGTGTTTTTTTAATTGTGTTTTTGCAGCTCCTTTGAAAACATTCTCAAGTTATAGGTTATAAAAACAAAAGGCTATCTTCAGAGGCATTGGAAGATATGAACTCAAGACTGTGTAGGGTGATGTTGAAACCAAACTGCTTTGTAATTTCCAAGAGCCTGAGATTGTTTTACACTAACATTGAAATAACATGATACCAGATATTGTAGTATAGAAAATTTATTTTGGTGATAAGCTGTTGTCCATATTCCAAAGCCCTTAGGGGGGGTGCCTTTTTGAGTGTAATATAGAAATTAAAAGAGAATTAATCAGATAAGCAATGCTGCTTAATGGGGGTGTATGGTCTGAATTGCTCAGATTTACTTAGATATGAGCTATCCCCATATCACTTAAATGTAGTTACATGTCTTTAAAAAAAAAAAAAAATGTTAGTTGTCTCAGGAATTGGTCAGTCCAGGAAGCCAAGGAGCAGAAGAAACAACAAGGCTAAGGTTGGCATTGCCCATCCTCATCTTTTCAGAGGTCTCAGTCCATACCGGCTGGCTGCATTGCTCTGGAACCAAGGTGAGGCAGAACATCGTGGTGGAAGAGGAAGGCAGCTCAGGACATTGACAATCAGAAAGCAGAACAAGAAAAAGCTTCTCTCTCACCAGGGACAAAATGTATAACTACAAAGTGTACTCCTAGTGACCTGCCTCCTCCATCCATACCTGCCCAGTTATCACCACCCAGTTAACCATGTCAGTGAGCTAATGCACTGATTAGGTTAAGGTTCTCATGAGAGTCATTCGCCTCTAAAGTTTCTTGCATGGTCTCACACTTGAGCTTTTGGGGATACCTCATATCTAAACCATAACAGATAGTTAAGGGAATCACAGTGAAGGTTGGCCTTGCCCCTTCTACCTGCTTCAGCTGAGAAGTGACTTATTCTTCATCAGGTGAAAGAATGGTCTTATGAAGTGCTTTCTTGTTAACAACCATCAACTCAACCTATTCTGAGAATTTTCTTGAAGACATCAATAGTTATAATTACTTCTCACATAATGGCTTATTATTTGACAAAAAATGGATTAGAGCCAGGCATGGTGGTGCACACCTGTAATCCCAGTGGCTTGGGAGGCTGAGGCAAGAGGATCACAAGTTCAAAGCCAGCTCAGCAATTTAGCAAGGCCCTAAGCAACTCAGTGAAACTGTCTCAAAGTTTAAAAATAAATCAATAAAAAGGGCTAGGGATATGTCTCTGGTTAAGCACACCTAGGTTCAATCCCTGGTACAAAAAAAAGGGGGGGGGATTAGAAAGCAAAAGATCTGGAGCTGGGGATGTGGCTCAAGTGGTAGCGCACTTGCCTGGCATGCGCAGGTCTCTGGGTTCAATCCTCAGCACCACATAAAAATAAAATAAAGATGTTATGTTCACTGAAAACTAAAAAACAAACAAACAAACAAAAAACTCTCATATTCTCTCTCTCTCTCTCTCTCTCAAAAAAAAAAAAAGATTGTGTACTTTGAGCATGCTAGGCCATGGTCTGGTCATTATTTGGCAAGTCATATGTTTTCTCTGAGCTTCCATTCTTTAAAATAGATCATTTCTGCCCTGCTTATTAACAGGGTTCTTGGGAGGAGAGAGATGAGGCACGAGCTCTTTGGAGTGCTTTACCAGAGTTTTAGTCAGGCCTCACCTCAGCCAGTTGTTCAGCCTCTTTCCTCACCTTTAATCTTGTTTTCCTGACCATGCTCCTGCCCCAGACTCTGGGCAACACTGACCCCAGCTGTGCTGGATGATTTCTGGTTCCCACAACAGGTCCTGGGATCTCCCTGCCTTGGTCTGCATTTCCCCCCACAGCAGTACCAATAAGCACCCTTACCTGTGCTCCCATAGCACCCGTACTTCCCTTCATGTTGGCCGCTGGTCTACAAGTCTGTCCTGCTAGACGACTGAGGTGCTGTAGGGAAGAGACCGTCTTGTTTGTTTTCTGTCTTGATTTCTCTCCATTGTCGTCTGTCTCCTCCTGCTTGCTGTAGGTTTGATTTTCTAGTTTTACCTTCTAGCCCTGAACATTTTGAGACAGATGATTTATTTTCAGTTGTCATCTAACTTATGAATCTAGACACGACTTTAGGCTGCATTCCACAAATTTTCACGTGTAATCTTATGTCATTCTGTTCAAAATAGTTTCTAGTTTATGTTGTGATTTTTTGGGGGTGGGGGGAACACAAGATGATTTAGAAGAATATTGCTTAATTTCTAAACATGAGGATTTTCCTTTTTGGTACCTGGAATTGAATCCAGGGGCGCTTAACCACTGAGCCACATCCCCAGTCCTTTTTATTTTGTATTTTGAGACAGAGTCTTGCCAAATTGCTGAAGCTGGCTTTGAACTTGTGATCTCCTACCTCAGCCTCCCAGGCTGCTAGGATTACAGGCATGTGTCACTGCACTTAGCTGTTTTGATTGAAGTTCTGAGCAGAAGGTTAAGTTGTCTATTCCCATTCTTCCTCCCCCAGTGTTGTCTGTGGGATGTGATTTCCATTACAAATTTTATTTACTTGCAGGAAAGTGGAGCATCCCTCTGTCATCCTTTGTTACTCATTTGTTTTTTCTTGTTCTGCTAGGACTCTGGTTAGGAGTGGAGTGGGACAATCCAGAGAGAGGAAAGCATGATGGGAGCCATGAAGGGATTGTGTACTTTAAATGCAGGTAACTTTCCTTCTCAGTTGGCTTGGTCATTTGGTCAGGATCCTGTTGAAGCATTGAATGGGAAGGATGGAGAAGCAACAGCATAGTTTGGTTCATGGGGTGGTTATAGGTACAATTTGGGAAATATTCTGAAAAGACACCTCTTTGATTTGTGACTTAATCATGCTGTTTGTAGAGTTTTTCCCTCTTTTAAATCGACACTTTATTTTTGTACTAGGGATTGAACCTAGGGGTACCCTATCCATGAGCTACATTCTCAACCCTTTTTATTTATGTATGAATGTATTTTGAGACAAGGTCTCTCTAAATTGCTGAGGCTGGTTGGTCTCAAACTTGTGATCCTCTTCCCTCAGTCTCCTAAGTCACTGAAATTACAGGTGTGTGCCACTGTACCCAGCTTAAATTCTGACTCTTAACTTTCCCTGTGGGATTGCTTTGTCTTTTTCCTTTCCTTTTTTTTCTTTCTGTTTTGTGGTACTGGGGATTAAACTCAGGGGTGCGCTGCCACTGAGCTACATCTCCAACTCTTTTTATTTTTTCAAGAAAGGGTCTTGGTAAGTTGTGTAGCCTGGCCTCAAACTTGCCATCCTCCTGCCTCAGCTTCCTGGGATTATAGGTGTATACTACCATACCCAGACTTTTTTTTTTTTTTTTTGCCTATGTGTGTTTGTGTGTGTGTGGTAATGGGATTGAACCCAGGGGCCTCACACATTACAAATTGTATTTACTTGGCAACTAGTCTACCACTGAGCTATATACACAGAATCAGATCCGAAGCCTTTTTTTTCCTTTCTTTTTTGGGGTGGCTACGGGTAACTAGGGATTGAACCCAGGGGCACTTAACCACTGAGCCATGTCCTGGCCCTTTTTATTTTTTATTTTGAGAAGAGTCTTGCTAAGTTGCTTAGGGCTTTGCTAAGTTGCTGAGGCTGGCTTCAAACTTGTGATCCTCCTGCCCCAGCCTCTCAAGTCATTGGGGTTATAGGCGTGTGCCACCATGCTCAGCCTTTTGTGCTTTTTTGACTTTTTCTTTTTAATTGGGTGACTGTAAATCTCAATGATGCAGTAATTTACACTCATTAAGTGAATAATGGAGGTGAGAATTAGCCTGAATATTCAGTAAGAAGAAATGATTTTATAAAATCCAGAGTATCCAAGTAGTGGAATGATGAGGCAGCATTTAAAGTTTCTATCTAAAGTGAGTCACGTATGATTTCATGTGTCTACTAACATGCTTAACTGCCTGATGTTGGAGAAATTCCTTGAAGCTCTGAGCATGGTGGCTTTCAGACAGGGCCATCTTCTACACTTCTGTCATTTGTTTTCCTGACTCTCAGTGTCCTACAAGGATCTCTTACTATCAACCCATTTTCCTGAAGCATGTGCAGTGAGCAAAACGCTGGCCTAGGAATTGGAAGCCTCTTGACTGCTTTTTCATCTTCCTGACCCGGAGCGAGGCCAGACTTCATCTGAGATGAAGACCAGAATCAGATAGCAAATGCTTTCTGGTTCACCATTTCCTAACTTAGAAAGTCAGATTCGATAAGCCAGGTGTTTTTCCAAGGCTACAGTCAGCAGAGGATTAAGATAACAGTGTGTGTGTTTAGCCAGGTGTGGAAATAGAGATATCTCAGCCAGGACCAAGGCCTCCCAGACCCTGTGAGGGACTGTGCATTTTGAGTCTGCCCCAGCCCAGTTCCATTTTCCAAAAGCTTGTCCGAATGATCGTTGGCTACATGGTCTCTGGATACAGCCATAGTGTCAAAGTCTTGGTCACTGAGCAGAAAAATCCAGAGTTGTTTGAGGCCCTGGTGCATGTAGGATTGACGCTGAAGCACTGAGGGAGCCTTGAGACAGGGGTCTGGACTCAGTATTAGTACTTACCCCTGCCACAGCCATGTTCTTACCTCACCCATGTCTGCTCACCTTCTCATACTGATATGCATTTTACCTTACTAGTTATTTTTCTTTCATTTCATTGAAATGGGCATTTTATTGGCTGAAAAATGTCCTATATAGGTAAAGTTATCTATGAATTTCGTGTCAAGATTTGAGGCAGTACAGGGCTGGGGTTGTGGCTCAGTGGTAGAGTGCTTACCTAGCATATGTGAGGCACTGGATTTGATTTTCAGCACTGCATATAAATAAATAAAATAAAAAGGTCCATTGATAACTAAACAATATTTAAAAAAAAAAAAAAAAAAGGATTTGAGGCAGTATAAAAGGGACCATAGGGGTAAATGTGGAAAACCACTGGTCTAGAGTACAAGAATATAACTTGTCCTTACGTTGTTCATCCTTCTGCTTAATGTTACTTTTCATCCTTCTGCTTAATGTTTCTTTTAATTATAACCTGACTTCAACTAGTGAAAACTTTGTCAGGATCCTGGAATCTTCCAATCGGCAAAACAGAGTTCACCCCTCATAGTTGTCATTAAGCTAGTGCAGATATCTTAATATGTCCTATACTTTGCTGGAGGATCCACAAGTTTGAGACCAACCTCAGCAATTTAGAGAGGCTCTGTCTCAAAATAAATAAAAAAGATTGCAGATGGAGCTTGGTAGTAAAGTGCCCCTTGGTTCAATCTATAATTCCAAAAAATGAAAAATTTTCTTTGGAGTCTTTTATATTTCAAATTTTACTTGAACTGTCATAATAACAATGAGTATTAAAAAAGTGTTTTGCTACTGTAAACTTCATTTTTAATGTTTAGTTGCTATTTTAGCCAGTTCAGGTGGCAAAATTGTGGTGTCACTGTTTTAAATGAGCAAAAGGTAAGTGAGAACTGTCATAGCTAAGGTCTCATCTCTTCAGTGTCTGAATATCAAGTGACTGATGGCATGTAGCAGTGCAGCCATGGGCCTAATGGATTTTACGGAAGTTAGTTTGCATCTTCTGCCTCTTACAGATTTACCCAAAATTCATGGCTGTGAACCAGTATCAACATCTCCCAGGTGCTCCTGCTCTCCACCTCTGTCTTTTGGGGACATGAGAGGTTCGCACCTGATAGTTGGCCTTGTTGCTAGACGGCAGAGTTTTTTCCAGTTTTCTCCTTTCAATCTAAGCTGCAGACTGCTCTAAGCAGAACTGTGTGTGTAGGTCAGTATTTCACCCACTCGGCTTTTACTTCAAAGGTTCTATTTCCAAGCAGTAGTGTGATTTCTCTTTTCTGGTGAGAATTAAATTCTAAAATGTGATTTCTGAGCACTCAAAAGGAGAATCTAACTTTAGTCCCTAGCATCAGAGAGAACATACTGTTTCAGACCATGTCCACATACTGGGTACCTCAGGAGGCAAAGCCCTTGATTTCTTCATCTTGTATGAGTCACAGGTTGTGGTGAAGTGTTTTGAGGCTCTTGGATGAGCACTAATGGACCAGCGTGAAGTATTCTGGTATGATGTTAGAAGAGTGTTAAGAGCCATTAACAGTGGCATTAGTTTGCAGGCAGGGTACACCTGACCAAAAGGCAAAAGTAGATCTGCTTTGTTTTTGAAAGCTGCTCTCTAGTATGGACAGAGTCATGATTGTTATTCAAAGCAGCCTACAGTTAGATGCTTATGGGCCATGCTGCTTCCCTCACTCGCCAGGTCAGCTCCTTGGGATGTAGTACTAAGGGGAGTACATAGTGCAGCGCGGGGAGTGCAGGAAAGCCAAGAGTTCTTTCCCCATGGATGTCAGTTAACACACATTTGCTAGAAAGGCTGAACATGCCTGGGACAAATGACATTTTCAGAAAGACCAACAGCATTGATTAGACACTCACCAGAGATCCAGTCTTTTCCAGCATCCTGCACCCAAAGCCCAACAAGAAAGAACTTATTCTGGGAGTTTAGAAATCTGTTGGGGACTTTCACCTTTGAGTTGCTGTCAGATTCAGCAAATGAAACTCCCAGATGCACAGTGAAACTTGGATTTCAGATGTATACTAAAACAATTTGCTGTCTGACTGAAATTCAAATTTAACTGGACTTCCTGAATTTGATATGGGAGCCCTACTGGGGAAATAAGGCAGATTGAGACTCTTTGAATTTCTTGAGCACCTGCCATTTCCATGAAGGCCACAGTTAGGAGCTGTTGTTGTAAAAAGAGGAAGAAACTTGAATAAGCCAAGTGCTTACAAGATAAACATGTTTGGATCCTCCTCCTTTATTTCTATCTCTACCAGGACTTTTCTTTTTAGACAAGAGTTCAGAATTTCAGTGTTCCAGTGAGCATGTAAATGTCAATCTAGAATTTCAGTAGAGACTGTATAAATCATTACAGTTTTTGTTTGTTTTTTTGGGGAGATTTGTTTTTGTTGATAGACTCGTGCCCAGCTTGCATTTTTCATTGTTTACTGAGCTGTTTTGTTTTTTTAAGAAACCTGCTGGGTATGTTCCATAAAAGATTGCTATTTGTCTGGTATAGTGGTGTAAACATGTAGTAATCCAGCTGCTGTGGCGGCTAAGAGGCAAGAGGATCACAAGTTCAGGGCCAGCCTGGGCAACTCAGAGAGACCCTGTCTGAAAATACAAAATAAAAAGGTCTGGGGATATAACTCTGTAGTAGAGTGTCTCTGGGTTCATTCCCCAAAACTGGGGGGAAAAAAATCAAAGATTAATCTTCAGTATTGGCCTTTAGTCTGTAAAGGGCCTAGCATCTGCTTTGCGCCTCCTAACACTGTTCCTAACTCTTTCACCTGGCCACCCACAGACTTAACAGTAATAAAGAGCTCTCCTTCTCCTTCTCCTTCTCCTTGTAGATGGACAGAATGCCTTTATTTTGTTAATTTTTATGTGGTGCTAAGGATCGAACCCAGTGCCTCACGCATACTAGGCAAGCACTCTGCCACTGAGCAACAGCCCCAGCCCTGAAGATTTTTTTTGACTCTTCATTGCCACTGTTTTAAGAAGTGTAAATGTAGGACAAAAATATAAACTGCCATCTGTATAAGAACCACGCTCTAACTCTGCCACTGGAATTCCATAAACTGTGGGATTTGTAATCTGTATTCTTATAAATATACTAGATTTGTGAGGCTTTGGGGTGTTTTTTGTTTTGTTTTTTGGTGCCTGGGATTGAACCCAAGTCCACTTTACATTGAGCTATATCTCCAGTTCCTCTTTTTTTTTTTTTTTTGAGATGGGGTCACACCATGTTGCCTGGGCTGGCCTCAAGCTTGCAGATCCTCCTGCCTCAGCCTCCCAAATTGGTGGGATTACATGCGCCACCCCACCCAGATAAATGTACTAGTATTTTTACTGTGAGTTCTTGTAGTTTATTTAAATCACATCTTTGAAAAGTAACCTTTATTGTTTCTGATATCAGTACTTTATTTTTATAGGTTTTTACATGTCAAATTCTGCCTGATGCCTATATTAGGACAAAAAAAAGAAAAAAAAACTAGTGCTCTTTTGGTGTGTGTATGTGTGCTACTGGGCAATGAACCCAGGTTGCTTAGCCACTGACCTATATCATCAGCCCTTTTTATTTAAAAATTTTTTTAAATTAAATTAAAAAAAATTTTACTTGTTGATGGACCTTTATTTTATTCATTTATTTATATGCAGTGCTAAGAGTCAAACCCAGTGCTTCACACATGTTAGGCAAGTGTTCTACCACTGAGCCCCAGCCCCAGCCTCCTTTTTATTTTTTATTTTGAGACAGGGCCTCCTTGTTGCTGATAATGTCCACAAACTTGTGAACCTCCTGCCTCAACCTCCTCAGGGATTATAGATTTGTGCCACTGTCGTGTGAAAGCTTTTCTAAAAAAAAAAAAAAAAGCCAAACTCTTATTTATCTTTCATCCTTCAAGGCCAAACTCAGCTTCTACTTCTTTATGGAATATACTCTAGTTTTTTTTTTTGTTGTTGTTGTTCTATGAATGATTTTGGCACCAGTTAGAAAATATTTTTTAAGCAGTATGGAGATTTCTTGGAAAGCTGGGAATGGAGCCACCATTTGACCCAGCTATTCCCCTTCTTGGTCTATTCCCTAAAGACCCAAAAAGAGCATGCTACAGGGACACTGCTACATCGATGTTCATAGCAGCACAGTTCACAATAGCAAGACTGTGGAACCAACCTAGATGCCCTTCAATAGACGAATGGATAAAAAAAAATGTGGCATTTATACACAATGGAGTATTACTCTGCATTAAAAAATGACAAAATCATAGAATTTACAGGGAAATGGATGGCATTAGAGCAGATTATGCTAAGTGAAGCTAGCCAATCCCTAAAAAACAAATGCCAAATGTCTTCTTTGATATAAGGAGAGTAACTAAGAACAGAGTAGGGACAAAGAGCAGGAGAAGAAGATTAACATTTAACAGGGATGAGAGGTGGGAGGGAAAGGGAGAGAGAAGGGAAATTGCATGGAAATGGAAGGAGACCCTCAGGGTTATACAGTGGAGGAGGTAGAGAGAGAGGAGGGGAGGGGAGAGGTGGGGAGGGTGGAGGGTGGAGGATGGGAAAGGCAGCAGAGCACAACAGACACTAGTATGGCAATTTGTAAATCAATGGATGTGTAACTGATGTGATTCTGCAATCTGTGTATGGGGTGAAGGTGGGAGTTCATAACCCACTTGAATGAAAGTGTGGAATATGATATGTCAAGAAATTTGTAATGTTTTGAACAACCCACAATAAAAAATTAAAAAATAAAAAAAAAAAGAAAATATTTTTTAAAGTATGAAAAAATATATTGCATTACAAAGAAAATTTGTTATACTGAAATGTAGTGATCAAGGTAGTTTTAAAGCCAGAGAAGTTGGTGCGTGCCTGGAATCCAGCTACTTGGGAGGCTGAGGCAGGAGAACTGCAAGCTGGAAGCCAGCCTGGGCAACATAGAATTTAGTTCCAAATAAAAAAGGATAGGGATGTCGCTATGTAGCTTAGTGATAGAGTGCTTACCTGTTTAAGCCTTGAGTTCAATCCCCAGTACTGCCAAAGGGAAAAAACACTATTTAATGAGTATAATAATGTATATTTCTCTCTCTCTCTCTCTCCCTCCTCCTGCTTTTTTTTTTTTTTTTTTTGGGTGGGGGGAGCGTACTGGGGATTTAACCCAGGGGCATTTAACCATTGCCATACCCCCGGATCTTTTTATTTTTTAATTTTTAGTTATAGATGGAGACAATACCTTTATTTTACTTACTTATTTTTATGTGGTGCTAAGGATTGAACCCAGTGCTTTACACATGCTAGGTAAGTGCTCTACCCCTTTTTATTTTTTATTTGAAACAGGGTCTTGCTAAATTGCTGGGGATGGCCTCAAACTTGTACTCTTCCTGCCTCAGCCTCCCAAATCACTCGGATTCTAGGTGTGCATTACCGTACCCAGCTATATTTCTTCATTCAATAACATTAAGTAATAAGATCTACTAGTATATCTAGTAACTACTAAATTTTGAAGTAGTGATAGAAATAGGCTTTTCTTTTTTTTTAAATATATCTTCAAGAAGTATAACATGATGTGAAAATATCTCTTTCTGTTGATGCCATAAAGTTGTGGACATTACTTGATTTGTTGCCTGGGATTTATGATTAAAAGGAAATAACTGAATTTTAAAAAATATTTTTTAATTGTAGATGGATACAATGCTTTTATTTATTTATTTTTAGGTGGTACTGAGGATCAAACCCAGTGCCTCACACATATGAGGCAAGTGCTCTGCCACTAAGCTAAAGCCCCAGCCCAGAAATACTGAATTTTGATTAGAGATTATTGAAAATACACCTCCCCTCTTCTTCCAAGCTTGTTTCAATTAGCTATGACCCACCACTGTTCTGGTGGCTCACAGTGGCTGTTCTGTGCTGGGAGCTGGATAGCACTTGGGAGATACTTTTCTTTGCTGTAGTTGTGTTGGCTGCAGTGTGTCCCTTGGGTGGCCTGACACGACTGGGGTCTAGTATTGTTGCTGACTGAGGGGCTCTGGGTCTCCTGTGAATAGGCTCAGTCTCTCTCCCCCATGAACTTTCCTCATTGACTGAGCAGCTTTACTGTCTGTGCTGTTTGCCTCCAGGTAGGCAAAGCAGGAAACATCAAGCCTTCTTAAGGCTTAGCCCTTAAGAAGTTAGTTACTGATTGAATCTAGTGCAAGAGGAGGAGAGAGAGAGGCTCCACTTGTTGATGGGAACAGTTGGCAGAATCCCATTGCCAAAGGCATATGGCCTGGGAGCCAGCTGAAGAGATGCTTTGCCACAGTTCACTTTCTGGTCACAGCAGCTCACACCCTCCCTTTAAATGTGGGCTAGCCTGCTTGCTTTAGGATAGTAGCAGTGATGTTGTGTTGGTTCTGGGATGATGAAATTCTGCCAGGAATTACTATTAAAAATTGCTATGAAACCTGAATAAAAAGTATGGTAATCTGTAGTTTTGTAGAATTCTTCCCATTTATCTGCATTTTAAAAATATATAAGTGATCATGTAAAGGATTTTGAACATAATCCTACCATCTACATTTTAATTCCTTTATTTTTATTTGTATTTAGAAGTGATTCCTGTCATTGTTTCATGAACAATTTGTTCAGTTTTTCAAAAATCTCAATATTTTACAACTTTCAAGTATTACACTTTTATTTTTTAGTTGTAGATGAACACAGTACCTTTATTTATGTATCTGTGGTGCTGAGGATTAAACCCAGGGCCTCTCTCATGCTAGGCAAGTGCTCTGCCACTGAGCCACAGCCCCAACCCTCAAGTATTATACTTTTTAATGACTACATCTTTCTGGTTTACTTAATAGTCACTATCTAGTTGGTCATTTTTATGGCTTCCAGCATTCCTCAATTATAAATAAATAATATTACACAAAATATTTGCAAATGCAATTTTGTTTTGTTTCTAAATTATTGCTCGCTAACAAATTCCAAGGAATGCAAGCATATAATCATAGACCTACCCAACTTGTAGTCTTTGAGGTTTTATAATTTTTCTTCATTTTATGCCAGAAAAATTTCATTTAATTTGTATTTCTTGTCATTAGCAAAGTCAAGCTTTGCCCTGTGAGTCTAATTTTGTTCCCTCTCATGTTAGTTGTCTATTCCATCTTTCTTGTGGGTTTCTCTACAGGGATTTTATATGCTTGTGTATCCTTTGTGTCATACTGATTATACATTTTTCCTTATTGTTTTTATTGTGTGCTGGTTTTGATTTTTCAGCATGTAGACAGTTTTGAAAACCTTAAGAACATTGTTATGGCCTTTATTGGGAGATGAAATTTTTATGTTCCATTTCTTCCATTTTCCAGGCACCCAACGGGAGGATCCTTTATTCGTCCAAATAAGGTAAATTTTGGAGTGGACTTTCTTACTGCAGTTAAGAACCGCTATGCATTAGAAGATGGACCAGACGACCATGGGAAAGAGCAAATTATTACAATTGGGAAGAAACCTGTGGAGACCATTGGTTTTGACTCTGTGATCAAACAGCAGAGGTAAGTGGAGCTGATAGTGGTAAAGCTAAGTTTGGCATTTTTTTCCAACTTCCGGGTCAAAATTGCCCAACTGCCTGTGGACACTCCTGACTCTTTCAAACTGGACTATCCTTTCTGCGGAAACAGCACACTGAAATATGAGGAATCTGAGGATTCAGTGTTCCAGGAAATTAACATCCTTATTTAGCACAGGGTTGTATTTTTCTGGATTGGCATCGAAACACTAATTTGCCCATTATTAATATTTTCACCATATCATCACTGTGGACTATTCTATAACTGAGGCTGATATTTCAGCCCTTTTCCAATTCATGGTTCAGCTTATGACAGGTTAGGTATGGACACAAAGCGACTTGCCACTGTGTGGTAGAGAGAACAGGTACCACCTGTAAGGTTGGTTTTCTCTTCTGCACATTTAACCTTAGGAGCTTTGGGACCTGCATAATCCTGGGTCTCATCCCAACCCGCTGAATAAGAATTTGGGGGTGTATACTTTAAGGAATTTGCTCCTGAGAAGTGCCTCAGTCTGGGAGGACACTAAGTAATGTCTTTTACAGCTGCTGTGCCAGCGCATTCTCTTTTCTCTGAAACTGTGCATGGTAACCCTGTGCAGAGGGATGTACTGCTTGTAGTGATGGATTTGGAATTAGAGAGTGGCAGCTGATGTTTACACAGACTCAGTACCATTGCACCAGAACCTGGCAGGCTACTCAGGGAAGGGACAGTAATGCCCTGATGACTGACTGAACCAGGCATCAACACGGCAACCCTGGTGTGTGTGTGTGTGTGTGTGTGTGTGTGTGTGTGTGTATATATATATATATATATATTTTTTTTTTTTTTTTTTAATCTCTAGCAGTATTGGGGATGGAACCCAGGGTTGCTCTATCACTGAGCCACCCAGGCCCTTTTTTCTTATTTTGAGACAGTCTTTTGGGGGGTGGCAGGAGAGGGAGCTACTGGGACTGAACTCAGGGGCACTACATACCCAGCCCTTTTTTGTATTTTATTTAGAGATGGTGTCTCCTTAGCGCCTTGCTTTTTGCTGAGGCTGGCTTTGAACTTGTGATCCTCCTGCCCCAGCCTCCCAAGGTGCTGTAATTACTGCGCCCAGTTTGCGACAGTCTTGCTAAGTTGCTGAGGTTGGCCTTAAACTTCAGATCCTCCCGCCTCAGCCTGCTGAGTCACTGGAATTACAGGTGTGCTCTTACCCTGCCTGGCTCACACTTGATCATTGTAGTGATTAATGTGATGATTCTGTGGCAGTGTTCAAAAGTATTTATAGAAAAATGTTTGATAAAGATGATATCTCTCTCTTTTTTTTTTTTTTTTAAAGAGAGAGAATTTTTTTAATATTTATTTTCTAGTTTTCGGCAGATACAACGTCTTTGTTTGTATGTGGTGCTGAGGATCGAACCCAGGCTGCACGCATGCCAGGCGAGTGCGCTACCGCTTGAGCCACATCCCCAGCCCATATATGTCTTGATTGTCATAAAATCTGTTTACATGTTAATGAAAATTGAAAGGGTATTTAAAACTAGCAAAAATATTTTTTAGGGTAATTATAGAGAAATTTAAATACGTAAGTGTTATGGTCAGAAGACGGTAGTAATTAGAAATGGCTTTGGCGTTTACTTCATTGCACCTTTTAATATAGGAGAACGTTATTCGTATCAAGTTTCATAATATGCAAAAATGCTTTAATCGTTTTGTGTGTGTAGTGGAAATATGGTCTGCTTGGGAATAGTTTCTCTCCAGATGTGGAGTGTGGTTCTCCTGGGGTGGGGAGGCATGGGGGTGCATGGAGAGGGAGACCAGGGCCAGGAAGCCTGAGTGGTGTTGGTAGACTTTCTTTTCGCTCTTCTCTGTAATGCTGCTTCATTTTAGGTTGTGGATGTTGGTTTCTTTTTATATCTGAAATGCGTGTTTTTTCTAAAGGGCTATTAGATAGCCTATGTGCTTGTGTGTACATATGAACTCTTATATGTTTCTCATGCAGTCATCTGAACAACTTGCAAGAGATTTCTCTAAGGAACTGTGCAGTAAGTTGTGCTGGTGAAAAAGGAGGAATTGCCAGAACATGTCCTAGTATCCTTTTCATGGATTGCTTATTCCTGAACCTGACTTTGGATTTGATAATTGTGCCAGACATCGCTAGTTGCATACTCCATGTCCATTCTCCCAAATTTCCTTCCCGTCAGCAACTGTTTTTCTTGGGGCAGTTGGTACCCAGATAAATTAGCTTCTTTGACTCTTGCTTGCAGGTGTGGCAATGTGACTCACTCTGGCCAGTAAGATGTAAGGTAGAAGTTTCTAGATGGGGCTCTTTGCAAGGGGACACACTTACCCATTGCCTGTACCTCCCTCACACCTGAGTGCAGGTGGTATGCCCAGGGCTTTGGCACCTGTCTTGCAAGTGTGGAGAAAGACTGGAGTGCCTGGAGAGCAGTAACATAGAAAGGGAACCAGTGGCTTTGAGGGTGCTTCGAGGCCAGTGCCCCAGCTTAACTGCCCTGTAGTGATGTCCTTTCATGAGGCAAAGAAGTGCTGTTTTGCTTTCAGGCTGCTGACTGCAGTCCAATTAGTCATTACCTCTTCTCTGCCTTCTCTCATTGTGTTTTTACCATGTATTCCTTTTATGCCCATAACTAGGACAAGGTAAGTCAAATGGCAAGTCAAATTGACCTTCAAGTTTTCTCCCAGTTCTCTAAATCAGCCTGAATGCTACATAATAATTTATGTAAAATGTAGCAATTTATGATTAATTACTTTGGTTTGCAATAAAGATCTCACATAAAGGAGTTCTCCTTAGCAAGCTCTCTCCTGACGGTGTGACTTCAGGAGTTAAGCGGAACTCCTCCCCTAAACACTCCCCTGGTGGTCTCTTGGGACCTGGGGATGCTGTAACATCTAGGCTGGTCATTGCTGTCATGAGTAGCCCTCTCTGATTCCAGTGTGCTGCACAAATATGGTCACTTTGTGTGTAAGTTGGACGTGGAGGAGCGACTGGTAAGGAGCAAAATGCTACAGAACGTCTGTAGCATCTGGCTTCTGCCTGCCCCACTCCTAAATGATTTCAGAACATCAGGAACCAGGTGGTCCAAGACTCTTTCAGTGTACAAGAGAACATCTGGTCAATAGGCTGTTTGGCTGAAGAGAGATGTTAGCAGCATACTGGAGAATCAGCATATTGCTTCTTTACATTGCTCTTTCCCAGGGAAAGAGACCCCCAACACTCAAAGAGGTTCCAAGAGTTAATCACACTGTGATTGGTCTTTGCAGAAGTGATCACTGTCTAGTTCTTGAGCTCCTGATGACATTGAAGTATTGCTGTTGTGTGGAATGCAGCCATCCTCCTTTGGGTTGATCTCTCTTTTTTTCCTGGTACTGAGGACTGCATTCAGAGGCAGTTGACCACAGAGCCACATCCACAGCCCTATTTTGTGTTTTATTTAGAGATTGGGTCTCACTGAATTGCTCAGCACCTTGCTTTTGCTGAGACTGGCTTTGAACTCTGGATTCTCCTGTCTCAGCCTCCCGAACTGCTGGGATTACAGGCGTGTACCACTGTGCCTGGCTGGGTTGATCTGCCTTTGAGGTCGTTCACTGGACAGGCAGCGGAAAGGCTATAGACCTGAGCATGTCAACTCCGAGTGCTCTTCCAGGGGAAGAGATCAGCCACCTCCTGCCTCACCAGCTGGCTCTGAACTTGGGGAAGAGAATCTGTGTGCAGGAGCAGGAACTGTTAGCAACAGAGATCCTTGAACACCATGTGTGTGGGGCGGGGGGAGGGAAGGGAGAGGGAGAGAGAGAGAGAGAGAAGGAGCACTGCAGGAAGTACCTTTGCAGTGTTCAGCCTTGATTGGAGAAGAGCCATTCCACGTGCTGTGTACTGCCCAGTAGAAATATGCACAGCCCCAGCGCCCCAGCGCCCCAGCCTACATGGTGGACTTCAGGAGCCATGGCCTTAATCTCTTTCTAAGCAGCCTGTTTCCCTGGTTAGCGGGGATGGCCCAAGTTTAGGACTGCGAGGCAATGAGAAGCACCCTGCACATCGGTCCTAGGTGGATACCACTATCCTCCAGGATGCAGTGGCTGTCAGTACCTTGGGGCAGCCTGAGAGGAGCCTTTGGAACAGCAGCAGGGACAGCTCACATCTGTCGGAGCTGAGGGGCCATTGTGTTGCCAGGTGGTGGGGTATCCCTTGGGTACTAGAATGTTTACTGGTTTGGCATTCCATGCAGTGTGGCTACAAGCTTTCACTTCGGGGTGGTCCTTGTTTCTTTGGGGCAGAAACTCTCATAGCCGAAGGCCTGGCCTTTCCTTGCTCTTTCCCTGTTTGACACCAGGGAGACCTGGGCCTGTGTGCTCCAAAGCAGTGTGCTACTCAGTAGTGCCTAATTGTGAGGGGAGCATCCTGTCCCTAGTGTTCTCAGCTCTTTTTTTTTTTTTTTGCAGCATTAGGATTGAACCCAGGGGCACTTTGCCACTGAGCTACATCTCCAATCCTTATTTGAGATAGGGTCTTGCTAAGTTGTCAGGCTGACCTCCAGCTTGCAGTCCTCCTCCTGCCTCAGCCCCCATGTTGCTGGGATTACAGGTGTGTGCAGGAGTGACTTTTTAAAGACCCAGGTCAGATCCCATCACACTACTCCAAACTCAATTCTCATTTTAGGCAGAGGCTGGCAAAGACTTTAACATAGCCCCTAGGGAGGGCCCTTTGTGAACTAGTCTGGCACCTAGAGACTTTTGCAACCTCTTTTTTTGTGACACTGGGGATTGAACCCAGGACCTCATGCATGTAAAGCAAGCATTTTACCACTGAGCCACATCCTTAGCCCCTTTGAGACCTCTTTTTCAGAACCCCAGCCCTCTCTACTCCTAGCATGTTGAAACTGGCTGTCCCTGTCATAGGCTGAACCCATCCTAACCAGAGACCTTTGCTCTTGTCATTCCTCTGTTCTTGCTGTGCTTCTTCAAGGTATTGTTTCCCCAGTTGCTCCAGGTCTCTGCTCAAATGCCCTCTTATAAGAGGTGGTGGTCTTCCCTGCACAGTATATAAACTACCATCCTTGCCTTCCCATGTGCCCTGTTTCGTCTTGAACACACCGTGAAGACACATGCTTATCACCTGACTCTCCCCCCACCCAGATGTTTCTTTGCCCACTGCTGTCCTCCTGGCCCTCAGTAATTACTTGTAAGGTAGATGAGCGAACCGAGTAATGGTTACCCATGTCAGAATCTAGGGTAAGGTCCAGCTCTTTCAGCTGGCAGTCCTTTCCCTCACTGGAATTCTTGGAGCCAGGGCTCTCTTAAGGCATAGTGACCATCTCTGGTTAGCAATCATGCTTGCCCGTCAGCTCTGGTGCTTGCTCAGAGCTACTTGTCCTGCTAGCTTACTCTTCTCTGAATCCCGGTACCAGTGACAGTGGGTGTCACTATTTCCAGGGTACTAGAGACCCTCTGAATTCCCAAATCATTCTTGATACTTTTGAACTTGTGTTCAAACTAACCCCTGCCCCCGCCCCCCCAGCCTCCAGATGATGCCATGTGTTTGGAGATTCCTGTGGGTCACAGTAACACGGATATAGGAGGATGCAGGAGAACTGTGAGAATGGTGAAGCCTACAGCTACAATGCAGTTCTGAGGGCCAGGCCTCGGGTTCAGCTTGGTGCTTAATGAATCAGTTACCATCTCTGTCGTTTCCTCCTCTTTTTTGTTGGATAATAGTTTAATTATGATACTTGGTTCTTATTCATAAGATTGTAGATGTTTATTTCAAGTATATGACAATGAGCTTTTTAGTTTTGAATTGACAATGGATAATTTAAAAGGTTGAAAAGCATTATGCTGTGTTCACACATAAAAAAATTTCAAGTAGAACAGTGAGTATAAGGTGAAAAGTTAAAGAGCCTGTGCTCCAGAATAAAGAGGTAAATATTTTTATGTCTTCCATGAGTCTTTTGAAACTATTGTTTCTTAACATGTGCTTTTAGATATTACAAGAGTAGATGTGTCAAAAAACCTGTTGTCATCATGGGATGAAGTGATTCGTATTGCTGATCAACTCAAAAACCTGGTGGTTCTTGATCTCAGGTATGAACTCCTAGTTACCTTATTGTTGAGAACCATAAAACTCCTGTGTCCTTCGCCCTCTTAGTATTTCTGGGAATAAGATGGTAAGGCTGCCACCCAGTAGATATTATTAGGTTGTGGACAAATTTGGGCTTATTTAAATTCCCTAAAATTAAATTATTCTTTAAGGGCACATTGATTAGTATAGTCTTTTAGAGGGTCCAATAAGGTGATTCATTAATAAGAAATGTGTTTGACTCTTTATCGAGAGGGGGAGTGAGATAGGTTAACATTAAAATGGAAGATCTTCAGATGTCTTGTAAGTATGACAATGAAATGTGGAACATTGAGGGAGGTGATATTTAGCTGGGGAGGAGAAGATAGGTGATATTATTAAAAGTGCTTTTTCATATGGATGTTTTTAGTGTTATTAGGAATAGTGATTTCATTGGGATACTGTTTAATTCAGTTTTGTTAAAAAGTTTTCATTATTTTATAACTATTAATGTCACAATTTTGTAGTCCTTTCTGAATAGTTTATAATTTTTAATCTCAGAACCTAACTTTCCAAGGATTCAGCCAGGCCTCCTCTTTTATTCCTTTTTGTTTGTTTGATTTTGCAGTGCTAGGGGTCAAACCCCAGGGCCTTGCACATGATAGAGACATGCTCAACCAGTGAGCTACATTCTCAGCTCTTTTTGTTTTGAGACAGTTTCTAAGTTTCAAGGCTGGCCCCAAACTTGCAATCATAGGATTACAAACTTCCCAAGTCTCTGGGATTATGGGCATGTGACATCATACCCTGTTCTTCACTTTTCATTCTCTTTTTGGGGAGGGGGAGCTGCTGGGGATTGAACCCAGGGACACTTAACCACTGAGCCCCAGCTCAGGGTCTCACTGAGTTCCTTAGGGCCTGCTCAGTTGCTGAGGCTGACTTTCGTGATCCTCCTGCCTCAGCCTCCCAATTTACTGGGATTACAGGTGTAATCCACTCTTGACTGAACTAAGATCTGAAAGTGACTGTCGAGGCCGACTACTTTCCAAGATGAGACTTTGTCTTCAGAGAAAGATGTGAAAGGGCAGTTTATCTTATCCATCCTAATAGCACAGGGGCAGACTCCATGTTTAGAGAAGCAGAATTCTAGTTCATGTTCTAGCATGAGATCAGTAACACTTTTGATAACATGATTGCCCTTTGCAACATCCAGAGACTCATCCTGTGAGTCTGGAATCTCACCTTAGAGATGCCTGCACCTCAGGCTTCTAGGCACCTGCAGCCTCACACCTATGCCTAACCCTGTGGAAACACTTTTGCACATTAGCTACTAAAAAGTTGTATGTGGTAAATATTAAGATTAGGTAGCGGTGGCTCACTCACTGTTTTTAATAGCATTTAATTTGGGGTTGAAACAAACCAAACCTCTCAGGTTAAATCCCAGATCATTGCTATCTTCATTGGTTCAGTTGTACAAGCAATAAAGTACACCATATCTTCTCTTTCTACACAGTGAAAACAAGCTGCAGTTTCCCTCTGGCTCACCAGTGCTAACTGGAACGTTTTCTACATTGAAGGTATTAGTTCTCAATCAAACAGGAATTACGTGGGCTGAGGTAATTATGTTTCTTTGGTTTATTACATAGTAATAAGCAGTTGGAAATGTTTGCTTTATAGGGAATTAAAGCACAAATGTGGCTTTAATTATCCAAGTAATGGGATTCTTTATACTGCATAACAGGAGTTAGAAAATCAGAATTTTATATTTAGGAATCCATGTTCTTCCTTGGTCCTTCTCCCTCAGCCCATTTGGATTCGCTCTGGCTGGTGGCCTGATAAACACTGGGACTCCATAGTAATATACAATAAATATGTGCTGAGCTTGCTTTCTTTCTTTCTTTCTGAGAGAGAGAGAGAGAGAATTTTAATATTTATTCTTTAGTTTTTGGCGGACACAACATCTTTGTTTTGTATGTGGTGCTGAGGATTGAACCCGGGCCGCACGCATGCCAGGCGAGCGCGCTACCACTTGAGCTACATCCCCAGCCCAACTTTCTTTTATTTTTTGATATGGGGTTTGAGATAGAGGTCTCACGAGCAGAGACCTCATGATTTCCTTGTAGAAAGTCCAGCTCCTCACACCACTGCTCCTCATAGACAGCCAGACTCAGAAGTGGACTCTGGGGTCCTTGGCACAGCAGCATTTGGCACTCGCATCTGGTACCGTCTTCAGTCATGGTTTCTCTGCTTCCACACCCAAAATATTCTACCATCAAAGCAAGCACAGAAATGCTCAGCTGTGTCCTTTGTCTATAGAGTGCCACAGAGGTGGCTCAGTGGGGTCCCATCACCCTTGACCTGGCCCCAACCCTGCACTCCACTCCCACACTCCTTCTTGGGATAAGATAGATATCGACCAGGTATAGGACCAGGTATAGATTTAGCCTCGGGACAGGAAGGATGCTTAGAAATGTTGAGACACATTGTCTGAGTGGTGCATCCTTTACACACCAGACTGACATCTGGAACTGAGGAAGGGTGCTCAGCACCACTGTGCGTCTTAGGCTAATCAGACTCTGGTAGATGGTGCTTAGTCACCATCTCCAGCTCCACTTTCTGAGCACCTTTCCTAAGCCAGCTACTGACGCCCACCAGCTGGGTTCAAAATGCTCCAGCATGTTACAGTGCAGCCCATCAACATTTTAATTTGCTACCCCACCCGGACCACATGCAGCTGGTGAGAAGTGTTTGAGGCAGTGTTTCTAAAACAGCAACTGCATGGAATTGCTGTGGAACTGTGGCAGTGAGCCTACGGGAAGTAGTACCAGCAGAGGCCATTTAGCCCTGAACAGATTTCCCTTCCAGGTGCTGCAGTGTGCCCCCGGGTGGCCAGTCCTTGAGGAGCTGTATCTGGACTACAACAACATCTTCATTTCCGAAAGGTATTAGGTGGCTCTAACTCAGCCTGCGCCATTTAGTCACCCTGAGCGAGATGGTTAGGAGGATTTACGGATAAGAATTTGAAACAAACTGGCCTTGAGCCTCTGGGACTCAGCCTACTCTGCTGTACCTTATCCTCACCTTCAATAAATCTGTTTTGCCTTAAAAAATTTTTTTTATTAAATACTGATTATTTATTGCCTTCACCAATTAGAAAGTCAGTTGAATTGAGGGAAACTCATGAGGGTGACACCCTGAATTAAATACTTATACTTTTGCATAAATATGTTCAGCTTGCTGTTTCTCAATAGCAGTTCTATAGGATATGCTGGGCACTTTCTCCCATTTCTTTGCTAAGGTTTAAATAATAGATTTATTTATTTATGTTGGAGATACTGGAGACAGCCAAATGCAACTACCACTGAGCTACATCCCAAGACCTTCCTATTTTTTATTTTGAGACAGTGTCTAAATTTCGCAGGCTGGCCCAAACTTGCTATTCTCCTGCTTAAGCCTCCTGAGTTGCTGAGATTGCTGAATAGTGAATGTTTTTTTGTTTTTTTGTACCAGGGATTGAACTTAAGGGCAGTTGATTACTGAGCCATATCCCCAGCCCAATTTTGTATTTTATTTAGAGACAGGGTCTCACTGAGTTGCTCAGCACCTTGCTAAATTGCTGAGGCTGGCTTTGAACTCATGATCCTCTTGCCTCTGCCCCCTGAGTAGCTGGGATTACAGGTTACCACGCCTAGCCTTTTTTAAAAAAAATATATATTATTAATATATTCCACATATACCTTTATTTATTTATTTATTTTTATGTGGTGCTGAGGATCAAACCCAATGCCTCATATGTGCTAGGCAAGTGCTCTACCGCTGAACTACAATCCCAGCCCCAAAAAGTGTGTTCTTTTAAATAAATATGTATTGTTGCCTCTCCTTATCAACACACTCAGTCTCGAGTTTTCAGTTGTATCTATTTCTTTTTTTTTTTAAGAGAGAATTTTTTAATATTTATTTTTTAGTTTTCAGTGGACACAACGTCTTATGTGGTGCTGAGGATCGAACCCAGCGCCCTGCGCATGCCAGGCGAGCGCATTACCGCTTGAGCCACATCCCCAGCCCTGTGTCTATTTCTTTCTTTCTTTTTTTTTTTTTTTTTGGTACCAGGGATTGAACTCAGGGTATCAGTTTTTGTCTTTTTCAATGAAATTGACACAGGTACATTAAAATAGGTTGGAAATCATAATCTAAAGCTTATTATTAATAATTTTGTCAGTAATTTAATAAATATTCTTACTAATCATTCATCTATTATTTTCCTCAAAAGAGTACAATTCTAAAAATGTAAATGTTTATCTCAAAGTTACTGTAAGTGGCAAATTTGTTATTTATTTTTTAGGTGTTTTATAAATGGGATGTTTAGATATAATGGGTTAAATTGCTCATTATTACATCATTAAATTGTGTGAAATAAACACATGTGGGAAAATTTTCGACAAATTTGGATTCAAATTAGTAAGATTTTATTGTACAGAATGGTTTTATTATACAGCTAAATGCAGCTGTTTTTCTGCATTTATAAGAAATAATTTACAGAATTTACCTGTCCTCATAATCCAGTTTCCTCTCTGATAAAAACTTGCAGATATGTGGCACAGTGTCACAAGCAGGATGCTGATATTGATTTGGCCAGGATTATTTGAATCACACCATGAGGGTCTCCCAGGTTCCCTTTTCATGGTCATACCCACTTGTTTCCATCCCAGTGGTCCCTAATACCAAATGCAGGTATTCTAAGGCCACATGCTCATGGCAGCAACACATGCTGAAAAGATGGTGTTTTCCATACAGGCCCAGTAATGTTCTACAGACGCTCAAGCTGTTAGACCTTTCCTCTAACCCATTAATTGATGAAAACCAGCTGTTCCTGATAGCCTATCTGCCCAGGTAATTTGATCCTAAAATGGCTATTACAGTAGGCCTAGTAAATTTTTATAGAATGAATTTTCATATGCTATTACCTTTCTCAATAGAAATATGATAGTGATAAGATTCTTAAATTGAGCTATTTCCTGTAGGAAGTTTTCATTTTAATTCATTTGGAGAATTTACTTGTGAACCACATACAATGTGGATCATGTACTAGATAATTTGAAGAATGGATAATTTGACCTTGGTGATATAATACTGAGGCTGCACTTTGTTAAACTTAGGGAATTGAGACTATTTCTTAGACTCTTTTAGCAAGAGAGACAGCAGTAGGGACACAGAATGACAGAGGCCTGTAGAATCACTAGGCTACAGCATTAAGAGTCCTTCTGCATGCCTTTAATTGGATTTCTGAGCATTTTACATGGAATGAAAACCCAGGGTAGAGAAAAGAATTTATAAACTTAGACTGGTTGATAGTCCATAGCATTTATATTGTTCTGTGTAGTCAACTTTAACATTTATAATTTCAGATTAGAACAGCTAATCCTTTCTGACACTGGAATTTCTTCTATACATTTTCCGGATGCTGGAATTGGTATGAGATTAGTAAAGCCGCCCTCCCTGCCCCCCATCTGTTGTATGTTACTGGGGGTTTAACCCAAAGGCACTCTACAACTGAGCTACACCCCCAGCCCTTTTTAAGATTATAATTTGAGACAGCGTCTTGCTATAGCTACCAAGGCTGGCCTTGAACTTTCGATTCTCCTGCCTTAGCCTCCTGATAAGATGGGATTATAGGCATGGTCCACTACACCTGGCCTCCTTTCCCCTGTTCTTTAGCCATTTCTTTTCACTTCTACCATGTGACTTAATTCTCCTTTTTTGTAGGGTGCAAAACATCCATGTTCCCGTCCCTGCAGTACCTTGTAGTAAATGACAATCGGATATCACAAGTAAGGGCTGCGTCACAGTGCGCCCAGCGCATTATCGCCTATTCCCACTCTTGTGGAGTTCCTAGGTTCCTTCTTCTATTGAAAACCTTTTAAATCAAAAGAGAAATAACTCCTCAGAGTGAAACTCCTCATGCAAAGTAAAAAATATTCAGAGTGAGCTTGGTGTAGCATGTCCGGGCAGGCTGCCAGGGTTTCGGGTGGCACAGTCATGGAAAAGTGTGGTCTTCCTAATGGGGTGTTCTGTGCGTGAAGCTTCTCTGCCTCATGTTAGAACGGAGACTTCTGCTTTTCTGTTGTTAGTTCACGAAATCTGAAAAAGTAGTCTGAAACATTGCTTTTATTTCCTCTTGTTGGGTTTCAGTGGTCATTCATCAATGAGCTAAATAAATTACAGAGCTTGCGTGCTCTGTCCTGTCTAAGGAACCCCCTGACTGAAGGAAGCAAGGAAGCACAGACCACTCGACAGCTCATTATTGCCAAAATTGGTCAGCTGAAGACCCTGAACAAATGTGAGGTGAGCAGTGGTATCATGACAGGATTCTGTTTTTGAGATGTGTCTTGCTATGCTGCCTAGGCTGGCCTCAAAGTCCTGGGCTCAAGTGCTGCTGCCTCAGCCTCAGCTGAGACAATAATGCACAGCCAAGCCTGGCTTTAGATATTTTTTAGACTAGAAGGTAAATTACCAAAAACTGTAAAAAGAAATTATATTTGGATATTGTAAAAGGGTATGAAATGTAACTTTCCTTCAAAGGGTGGTAGGTTGCTTTTGTCCATTTTAGTAATAATGGTTCTTTTCTGACTCCTCAGGAAAGAGGATTACACTTAGTTTAGTGCCAGAAATATCTGTCGCTCTACTGCCCTTGCTGATTTATTTTCATTTGAGCAGACGCAAAGGAGCACACTCCAAAGAGTACTGGGCACTTCCTCCTGTTTCTTTGGAAGAGTTAGGTAGAACGAAGACAAAAGCACAGAACATGTCTCTTCTCCTTGTCAGCCGCTTCTCCCCATAGAAGTGGGAAGGCCAGGCCTGGCCACACTGTGCCATTCCCCAGAGAGGGAACCCCAGGCATCCAGCATCAGCCAGCCTGTGGGCAATGTTCTCATGAAGAAAAAGATAAAACTGGAAATCTTTTTGAACAAACTCTTGAGTTCTGTCAATGTCATCCCTCTAAATTTGATTATGCTGTGCTTGGGCAGTGGAGGAAGGGCAAGGTACAAAACACAAGTGACTGTTTTCATAGACTTGTTTTTATTTCACATCAACATAGATTCTTCCAGAGGAACGGCGAGGAGCTGAGCTTGATTACCGAAAAGTTTTTGGAAATGAGTGGAAAAAGGCTGGTGGACATCAGGATCCAGAGAAAAACAGACCAAATGAAGAATTTCTTGCAGCCCATCCTAGATACCAGCTCCTATGCCACAGTATGTCCACATGACCTGCTGGTCTTTCTCAGGGCAGCACAGGCAGTTCAGTGTGTTTTTGTTTTTCTCCTTCTCTTGGAGTTATAGGTACTTTCCTGGGGCCACTTCAGCAAGTTGAGAGCAGACAGAGGTAAATCAGTGTCATAGTGTCTCTTGGCAGGAGGAGCTGGGAGATTCTGAGGTTCCTGAAGGGGGAGAGTTGCATTTGAGGAAGGCAAAGCAGTCCTTAATGTAAGTCATCTCATCTTTGCCTGTGCCCTCTAGATGGTCAATTTCATGAGTGGTTACCACTCTCCACTCCAGGCGGGGGTGGGAAGCATTCCAATTCATCTCATAGGACTTGGGTTATTTTTTTCCCCCCACTAAAATTTTTTTTGTGGTTGTAGATAGACAGCATGGCTTTATTTTGTTTCATTTTTATGTGGTACTAAGGATCGAACCCTGAGCCTCACACATGCTAGGCGAGTGCTATGCCACTGAGCTACAGCCCCAGCCCAAGGACTTGTATTTTTTATCACCCTGGGGTAATTCTAACTTATGCAGAAGTTCACACCACCTGGTTTCTCCTCAGCTCTTCTGTCCCCAGGCTTGCTCATGTTCCGAGTTTGGCATTTGATGTGTGGTCCCTTAAATTCTTCAGCCTGGCTTCTCAGGCTTTCAAGCTTAAGAATTTGTGAGTCTTTGTCCCTGATGTACTTTTAATTTTTTTAAAACTTCATTATTATTCCACATTTCACTTTTATGTGAATTTCCTTTTTATATATTTTCAAATTCAAGATGAAGCTCACTGCATAAATGCTTCAGGCTGGAACCTTATCTGAGAGGAAGAAAACCTGCCTATGGGGAGTGCTTTCAAATTACTCCATTAGCTGGCCCAATTTCCTGGCCACTCTCAATCACTTGGGTGAGGAGGGAAAGGTTCTAAAACAGATGGCAGCTATGTTGACTATTTCATTGCTCAGAATGCCAAGAGAGAAAAGCAGATCTCTGGGGTGTGTAGAGGAATTCCCTCATCTGTTGGCCCAGAGCAGGAGAGAAGTACAGTAGTTACCCCTATCTGCAGTTGCAAATTATTTTTTTGGGGGGGGCGGGTACTAGGGATTAAACCCAGGACACTTAACCACTGAGCTTCATCCCTAGCCCCTTTATATTTTATTAGAGATGGGTTCTCGCTAAGTTGCTTAGAACCTTTCTAAGTTGCTGAGGCTGGCTTTGAACTCTTGATCCTCCTGGCTCAGCCTCCTGAGTCACTGACATTACAGGCATGTGCCACTGTTCCCAGCTTGCAGTTGCAACTTTCATTAGAAAAAAAGATAACAAATAAAAAATTCTTAGTTCTAAATTGCATACCATTCTGAGGAACGTGATGAACTCCCTATCTTGTCCCCCCAGGACAGGTATACGTTTGACCAGAGCATCCACACTGTATATGCTGCCCACCTTAAAGTCGCTCAACTATGTCCTTGTAGACTTGTTGCAGTGTCACAGTGCTTGTGTTTAAGTAATCCTTATTTTACTTGAAAAGACCCCCAAAGCACAAAAGCAGTGGTGCTTACAATTTGGATAAGCCACAGACAAGCTATAAAATGCTCCATTTAAGTGTAAAGGTAAAAGTAAAATATTTTGAAAGAAAGGGCACATTTACATAATTTTATTAGTTTATTGTTATAATTGCTAGCTATTATTGGTCTACTGTGCCTAACTTTATCATAGATGTGTATATTCCAGATATAAGGCTTGGCATTATTTGCAGTGCCAGGCACTCACTGAGGTCCTGAAACGTCCCCCACAAACTAGGGGTCTGCTGTACAGCAATTTCAGGCAGAAGAGCTGGTCTGCAGTGCGGGCACTGGGTACCCAGTCTGTCCTTATACCATGTTAACACTTGAAGGTGTCCTGTGACTTGTGTCCCAAATAGTACCAGGTTTTTCCCAGACCTTACAGAAAGGAAACATTTTCCAAAGTTGAAACTGTGTGTCCACTTGAAGTGTTTGAAAGCAGGTTAACTCATAGTTGGAGCCAGGACCCTGTGGGTCCTGAGGAACAGTGATGTGATGCACACTGGAGGCTTCTGCCTTGGGAGGTGTGCATCCAATCTCCTAAAAATCAGAGCGGCTGAATAAAAGCAAACTGTTCAGGTTAGCACACTGTGGTTGCTAGGCTTATCCTGGGGAAGGAAAGGGGTCCATTGACATGCACCTCTCATCATTTGTCCCTCTTGATTTCTTCTAAAACAGAATATGGTGCACCTGAGGACGGAGAACTCAAAGTACAACAACCATTTATGCTGAAAAACCAACTACTGAGTAAGAATCCCAAATTCACAACACAGCTTTATATTCTAGGCTGAAGGGATAGCAAAGGCCTGATAGGGATGTGCATTTCTTTTAGGAAGAACTGAGTGAAATGCCTTGAGCTTTAAAGGAATTCTCTGTACCGAAATTCCTTGGGGTGTGGTGTCCTGCTGGGATGGAACCCAAGGCCTTGCACATGCTCGGCAAGCCTCCACTGCTGAGCTACACCCAGCCCCCTGCATTCTAACCTTCAATGTTTCTACAGTTCCCGGGCTTTAAACTCATTAATAGTGTTATAAAGGTGGGAGGGATTTGGAAATCATTGATTTTTCTTTACACTTGAAAATCCAGCTCAGTTGTCAGGAAAGGAATGCTGAAGCAAAAGGCAAAGCAGTGGATGGCCAGTGCTCCAGCTGTTTTGTAGTCACCAGGAATTCATGGAAATGTTAACAGGAAAAAAAAATTTAACATCATTTAGATAGATTTCTTTATCAGGACTGACACAAGTTAGTGTCCTAAACAGCTCTATTATTTGGCAGTGATATTAACTTGTAGGTTTTATTACTGGGATTGAAGTTAGGGCCTCGCACAGTCTAAGCACACTTCTATCAATGAGCTCTACCCCAACCCTGCATGCACAATTTAAATCAGTACTGTAGTAGACATCAATGTAGTCCTTCCTTCTTTCCTTAAAGCACTGAAGATAAAATATCCAAACCAACTTGAACAGAAGGTCTTAGAGAAGCAACTGCCAGGTAAGATGAATGAAACCATCTTTGCCTTCCTTGCACTTGTGAATCACTGGAGTGGGGATGGGTTGGCTCTTGTATATAGACCAGTGATTGAAACCTTTAATTCAATTCATATCTAGAATTATGGACCTCAGGATTTAAAGGTTTTCATTAGTCTTTTGTATTCTAAAATATAATCAGCTGTGCTAATGTCACTCCTCTAGCCCCCCAAAATTCAGATCTCGCATACCTTTTGAAGTATTGGGGATTCTACCCAGGGATACATAACTACCACTACATCCCTTTTTGTTTTTAGGTATACTCTATCTTATACTCTTAAGTTGCACAGGCTAGCCTGGACCTTGGGATCTTTCTGCCTCAGCCTCCCAACTCCCTGGAATCACAAGCCTGGCTCGCGTCTCCCATAACTTTATCAGCTTATCTGGAAAAGTTTTTTTGTTTTTAATTGGGAGCCTTTGCTTGTGATATTTATGGCCTAAGGGGTTGACTGGCTTAGCCTCTTAGAAATTCCTCAGGCCCATTGAGCTTAGTTCTGATCATCATTCTGGAGGCTCTTGTCCAAAGAGAAAAGGAGACATGTCCTAGTGAGGCACTGGCACATTTGTGACTTTATTCTGCTCCCATTCTGCCCACTGATCAGGACTCCACAGAAAACATTCACTGGAATGGTTTCCTTTGGGGGAAAAAAATGACTTTGGAACTTTTAAAAAACATATGGCCAGGAGCTGGGGTTGTAGCTCAGCAGTAGAGCGCTCATTTAGCACATGCAAGGCACTGGGTTCAATCCTCAGCACCACATAAAAAATAAAATAAAGGTATTGTGTGAAACTACAACTAAAAAATGTTAATAAAAAAAATTATGGCCAGCCACAGTGGTTCACACTTGTAATTCCAGTAACTTGGAAGGCTGAAGGTGGAGGACCACAAGTTCAAGGCCAGCCTTGGCAATTTTTGAGACTGTGTCTCAAAATAAAGGACTAGGGATGTAGTTCCTTGGTGAAGCACCCCCTAGGTTCAGTCCTCAGTAAGTAACACATACAGAAAATAAAAATGGGCTAGAGGTATAGCATTCTTGGGTTTAGTCCCAAGAACTGAATTAGTTTTAGAAAAATACTTTTATGTCAACAAATTAGATCAATAAATTAAACTTTCACTCAAAAGACAAATAATTGTTTAGTATACCATGATAATAGTAAACTAAATTCCCAAGATTCCCAAGATTAACTTGATTCATAGCTAAACATTAGCTAAATGTTAAAATACCAAGAGGTTAAATCTGGAGCAGTCAAAACTTGAAGGAGGAATGAAATGCAGATCAGTTTATAGGATTTCCGTAAACTAAATTCACATGTCTGCCCCAGGGCAGTAACTGCACATTAGCAAGCTTGCCATGGCATTGCTTATGGTACGCATGGGTGGTATTTAAGAAGTACATTTATGATCGATAACTGTTCATTTAGTGTTAATCTACCACTGTTTCTCCATTTTAAGTATTTGCTAGCAATCCAATTTCTAGTCCTAGAGTGTATAATTTTGCTACTATTAAAATGAATTAAAATTAGTAGTGACCCTTTCATATTCAGTTTCCAAAGGTAAATGCTATATGGGTACAAAATAACAAAAGAGCCAGAACTCTGTCAGTTTTACTAGCTTTGGATGTCTTTCCTTTTTCTTTCCCACAAATATGGAAATGTTATCATTAAGGAATACTGATACTCAAGAATGCTGCCTTCAGTCAAAGGCTGCAGTCTGGGAATGTGTGCTAACATGGTTCTTTTGCACTGTACACCTGTTCTAGAAACACCTGCCATGTCCATGCACTGTTTCTTTTAATCCTTGGATGAACCAGCAGAGGTTAGAATTACCATAGAAATTATGTGTGATGATTACTGCTTCAGACTTCAGAATCTGAGTCCTGTATTCTATAAACTCAGCAGTAAACCAGATTACAGGGTTCTTAACTGTAATTTTTTTGCCACATGGTACAACTAATGACTAATGTAGATAAATTCATGCTACTTTTTAAAGGGTATTTAACAAAGTAATATTGGCTGGTATGAAAAATTCGTATACCCTTTTTATTAAGTTATGTGGTAATTGCTATAAAAACGGAATACATACATGCTCTGTATAGGCTTTCTAATGGTCTACCTTGTACCACTTGTAAATGGTAAAGATAAAAACAACGTAAAGTTTGATGGCAGGGGCAGGCGGGGCAGGGCATAGTTGAATATAAACTCAAAACAAACATACTATCATGTGAAGTCAAGGAAAGCTAACCAGGCCTAGCTCTGTGCTGCTCGCTGTGCCTGCCACTGGATACATGTGGCTAAGCAAGTTTAAATTCACTAATTTCTGTCAGGTGCTCCATAGCCACGTGTGCTTACTGTATTAGGTAATGCAGGTCTAGAGGAATTGGCAAGTAAAGATACAAAAACTCAGGTACCCCCATGAGAACACAAGAAGCCTTTAACAGGCTTGGTCAGAGAGAAAGAAAAAGAAGTAACTATTTTTATATTTTCTAAATAAGACAATCACATTAGAAATGATAGTTATTTACATACAGGTTGCCACTTTCCTACACAGTGCAGGTAGGCAAACCTCTTAGAAACTTTGTTGCTGGCATTGATTAGGAATGTGTTATTTCCCCATAGTGTGCAGGAATCAGTTCCTCACCACCCTCCGACAGTGAAAGCCAATTCACCCAAATCTTTTGAAAGGTCTAATTAATAATTACAATTTACTCTTAAGTGTGAATATGATAAAGTTTTTAAATACCTACCAAGTAGCTGTATCCAGTACACAAATAAGAAAAGGCCAGTTTTTATTCTAAAATAAAGATCACATTTATTATCACAAGTTGCATAAAAACACACAGCTTTTACAAAAATGATTGATAGAAAAATACTCATTTGACTATGTCGTGATATTTGTGGGAACACCACACTATTGCTGTACCTCCAGCTAAAGCTTCAAAGAAACTGGTTTTCATAATTAAATCTCTACTATTTACCACAACCCATCTTTGGAAAGAAGTTCATACCATGTTCTGAACAGACCAAAGCATTTGCTCAGTTAAATTACATTCCAGGCCTGGTGGTTGCTTGTGTGTGTAACATGGGACACATTTTTGATAATCACAGGATAGCTATGCTGGACCTTGTCCATCTCAGTCTACACCCTCCCTTCCCAGAGGAGGATGAGCTATCTCCTCAGGGCACCTGAGCCCACTCCAAGCTTCTTTCAGTAAGTAACTCAGAAGAAGTAATTACAAAGACTTACAAAGAAAACCATTATTTCACCTGTCTTTTCCTCTGAGCTGAGAATCTAATTTCTGGTTTATCAGATTAAGGAATAATACCTACTGAAATGCCACGAAAACTGTTAGGGGCACCTGGGTCAAACACTGACTTCACTTCCACGAGTTTCCCAAATGACTCAAGTAAGTGGTAGAAAGACACAAGTCTACCTCTACTTATTTTCCTGAGTGAATTGATACCTGACAGGGACAGCTATCATTGCAGCTTGGTCTCATTATGTGACCTGGTTTTACAGGTAGCTGTCCTTTGAGACATCTTCCTTTTCTTTGATAGGCTCCATGACCATTCAAAAGGTGAAGGCATTCCTGTCACGTCTTCTCAAAGTTCCTGTGTCAGAACTTCTGCTGTCCTATGAAAGTCCCAAGGTAAGCCACCCCCAATAGACAGTCAAACTCAATCCTCCACAGTAAGACATGATTAAACTGTCTAACATGGTCCAGTTCTGAGCAGGGAGCACATATTTATTAGACTTTGAGTAACCTGTGGCATGGAGGTCATCTTTTGTCAGGTCTGTCTTACCCCCTACCTTTGTTCTAATTTTAGATGCCGGGCAGAGAAATTGAACTAGGAAATGACCTACAGTCATTACAGTTTTATTCTGTGGAAAATGGAGATTGTCTACTAGTGAGATGGTAACAATCAGCTTTAAAAATTTAGTGACTTGACTGTTCATCGTGACTGAGGTTCGCTGGGAAGAAATGATTTGCTGGAACAGTTCTACTGTCAAATGAGGTTTTACAGCTTGCTCAAAGGATGTACTTTTCACCAGGAAGAGACCATTTGTAGGCTTGTACATAATAGCAGTAATAAAGGCTTTGACTACTCATGATCTTCTGATCTTACTTCATATGTATTTTTATAGCTCCTCACTATTGATTATTAAATAGAAACTAGCTAGTCTAATAACATCTGAATATAGTTAATGTCTGTCATAGACTAGTTTTAATGAAATTCTCTACTGATACTATTTTAAAAGGTTACCGAAATGATTTGGTCACATGGGGGAAGTGTCCCTTAAATTCAGGGAGGCACATCCTTTACTATCATATGCCTGCTATTTTTTCTTCTCAGGTATACTATCTTGAGAGTCCTTAACAAGGCAATCCACAGGCTTTTCTCCATAGTTATACCTAAACTTAGCATAGTATTCACAGGTTCCCAACTCTGACCAACTTAACCAGGGGTCAATGATGAAAGCAAAATCCTCCCTATGACACAAAAACCCTAAGAAGTATATTCATAAAAATGTGTTTTAACAGGAGTACTACATTTATCTTCAGGATTTATCTTAAATGACCAAAAAAAAAAAAAAAGCATTAACAAAAAACCATGGATATTAGTCTAAGTAAATGAACATATTTAAGCCAGGTCCATGACTGAGAATTATATCAGTTCCTTTCCAAGGTCAAACTGCCCATTTCATTCAAGAGCCACAAAATCTGACATTATTTCCAGAAACCCAAAACTTTGGTATAAGTGATCACTGCTCATGTAAGTAAGCACACAGTATTTGTGAGTTTTTTGGCGTGTGTTGTCTAATCAAGCCATACAGACCTATGCAATCCAGGCAGAAATTCAAACTCAGATGAACTATTAATCATGATTTAGAAATACTTTTCCTTTTATAAAACAATTTGGTAATTTTAAATCATTTTCCAATATATAAATAAAAACTACAGTTATTAATTGATTTTTTTTTAAAAGAAGGAAATCAGCACAATTAGTACCACACTGGTTCAGGTGAAGGTGCCAGCCCAGGGCTCTCCTGAAAGACTATCTATTCTACTGCCAACCATGGCTGCTCTTCTCAGACTTACATGGAGATTATCATCCACCTGCCCTTGTCTTCACGCAGCCCGTATGAATCTCTTGTCACCTTGTTGCACACTGACAAGGGTCACCACACATTCCCTTTAGTTCCCACAGCTCTGTCAGCTCGTGAGGGGAGTACTGAGGGGAAGACAGCATTCCTGTCTCACAGGTCTTCTCACACAGCCACAGGCTGTCCTGCAGAGAGGGAGAGCAAGCTGTGAACTGTGCAAGCATGCACCAGGGCGTATTTGTGTATGCTAACGAAGCTGAAATTATTTCAAGGACAAATCCATGTATGAACCAACTCGAGGTTTAAGGAGGGATATCTTCTGTCTCCAAGAAAGATCAGGCCTCACAGTTGTGCAGCTGTGTGTGGATTAACAGTCAGCAAATGGCACCCTATGTACACATCTTGGATGTTGCACTGGACCCCATACATGCACGATTAGTATGTTGTTAGTTTGTTAAAAAAGGGTTGGCAAGTGGAGAAGAAGGAAAAGTTTGGGAACCACAAATGGTGAGTTTCATATTTGCTTTGAGAAACTGGTTGTATAGTAGCATTCATAGCAGCTACAATTCGGATGAAATGCTTGCAGTATTCTGGGAACTATGCCAAGTCTTTACAAACATTACCTCATTTAATTCTCAAGAACCCTGTGAGGCCAGTTGCCTGGCACACACTTGGGATTACAAGCATTAGGGAGACTGAGGCAGGAGGATTGCAAGTCCAAGACCAGCCTGAGCACCTTAGGTGTCTCAAAAAAAAAAAAAAAAAAAAGAGGCTAGAGGTGTAGCTCAGTGGTAGAGCACCCCTGGTTTCACCCCGCCCCCCGCCGCTGCCATTAAATTGAAAAAAATAAAATTAGGTAGGGATCATTTCCCTTTTACAGATGAGAAACTGAAATCAAGAGACTTCACTAAACAACTTGCCCCAGGTCATAGTGCTGGTCAGGTGAGCAGGAGGATCAAGAATCCTCAGCCCAAGTTCTAAGTTCCTCAGCTCCATGGACTGACTTCTGTTTCCAGCAAAACAGCAGAAAGCACACAGAGAAACCTACTGAATCAGAGAACAAGCAAATGCTAAGGTATAATTAAACTTCTTTGGAAAGAAGTTTAAAGTTTGGATGGACTCCGTTAGTGAAGAAGAAACAGCTGAAGTCAGATGTGCCTCAAAGGTACCTGGATCCTTGGGCTTTAAAATAAAGGCCATGTGCACAGGACAAGAGACCAATCAGCAATGGCCAGAGAGCCAACACCCCGGAGGGCCACAGCCTCTCAGGGTGTGTATGGGAACAAAGGCAATGCTCCATCTCAGTCCTGCCAAGTGGAGTGGAGGGTCTTCCTGAGCGCCTGGGGCCGAGAGGCCAATTTGTGCAGCCCACAAAGTCCCAAGGCAGAACATAGTGGACACCCTTTCTTTGGGCTACATTTTAAGATAGGCTGGGGTTCCAAAAACTTGAGGTCACACACAAAAAAAATCAACATATTAAGAACAAGAGCCACAAAGGAGCCTGTAGAAGAAGCACACCAGGAAATCAGAACTGCCAGGCTTACACATTTCAGGTTCTCAGAGATGAAAAGTAAAACATCATATTCAACATAAAGTGAATCAAAGATGGGACACAGCAGAACAAAGAACAGGACCACCAAAGCTGCCAGGCTGACTCGGGCTCATGGTCTCATTCACTGAGTAGAGGGCATGCTGCAATGGGGGGGGGGGGGGGCGACAGTCCCTGCAGCTCCTCTCGGGCACTATGTGTGCCTTCATCTCTTGCACCTTCTGTGCCCAAAGTGGAAGTTGCAAGAATCGAGAATGTAACAACACTCTATGCAACAAAAGCTTGCTTTCTTCCCAGGGCTCCTACTTAGTGATTTGGTCTTTGCAGATTCATTTTTTTCTGGCTCAGCAGTCAGTTTGTTTTAAAAATGCTGTGTTACAACAGAAGAAATGGACATCAGTCAGGAGGTTCCAGAGGTCCTTACACTGCCACACTCCCAGGAACACAAGCCAGCAAAGTCTAAGTTTCAAAACTGCAAAGAATTTCTGATCCACTCTATGAAAACCTAATTCTTCTTTGTGGGTCAGGGAACTTTCATTCATAGCATTTCTTTTTTAGTAGACTCAGAAAAATACTGGATAAGAAATGAGGTGGATAGTTCTGAATTAAATCCAGCATACAGCTGTGCACTATATGGCCTCACGCCACAACTCCCAAGACCACAAGGCCAGCACCCTTGGGCCTGCTTACCTGGTATCTTCTAGGTCCTATGGCTGCCATCCAAATGCCCATGCTTACATCTTCACCCTACACAGGTCCCAAAGTTTAAATGTTATAAAATAATGCCATAATCACTCCCAAATAAACAGTCTTTCCACTCTTTGTTCTGCTATTATTCTGTTAAGGCCAAACATGGATTCACATGTAAAAGCAGTTATCACAGACAGAAAGCACCACACTGCATGGTAACAGAGGGTAACAGAGCAAGCAGACAGCCCCTCCCTCATGAACCTTAGACTCCTGGGGCTAACAGCAGCAAATTGTGGCTCTAGTAACCAGGAGGAACTGCACATTGACACTATACCCAGATTCAGCAGAGAGCAAGCTCTTCCAAGCTTTTCTCCTTAAGAACAGTAATCTTGATATTCACACCGATTATACTTGTGGAGTCAAACGACTCAGGAGCAGACTGGATAGCCACATGTGAGCAACAATAACCCTTGATGGGTGACTCCCACAGAACAACATGCTTCCCCGCGGCAAGCTGGCTGCTGCAGGGATGCAACCCTGGGCTGCTGAGACTTGGACTGTGAGTTGCCTTGGGTTAGAAATCTAATTACCTGATAGGTCTTTAATCTCCCCGAGTTGCTTGCCAGCCAGTTGACAATGTCCCTGGAGATCACATACCCTGACCCACACGCAAATGCAGGGTAAGCTGGGCTGGGATACTCCAGTTCTTGCCACTTTCCAGTTCTGTCCACTGCCCAATTCAATCTGAAACTGAGATTTTTAAAAAACGTGGCTTCTCTGTATTGATCTGACATGTATCCTGCCACTATCAGACTGTGGACTCCTTTGTTATCACTACAAAGGAAAGAGCTTGAAAAGCAGAGAATAATAATAAGAAAAAAACTTAAGGAATTATTTTATCTTCTATTCTTTATATAGAAGACGGGTATATTAAGTTCTAAATTTCTGAATGGGAAGGTAACAGTACTACTGTGTTTTCATTTCATTTATTTATTTAGGTACTGGGGATTAAACCCAGGGGCGTTTGCTCACTAAGCTAAGTCCTTTTAATTTTGAGACAGGGTTTCACTAAGTTGCTGAGGCTGGCCTTGAACTTGTGATTCTCTTGGTTCAGCCTCCCGAGTTGCTGGGATTACAGGCATGTAACACTGAGCCCAGCTGTCATGATTTGGTGTATATTCAAAAACAAAACCCTAATCATTAACTCTTTATAGTGCTCCTGAAGCAGTAGAGAACAGCTGCAGAGACATGTCATGTGTTCATTCTAACACAGAAGGTAGAGAAGCTTCTGAACACAATGTATTTTTAAAGCACAAAGACACAACCACATCTTTTGCTCTCCACCATTATCTCAGCCTGAGGTTTTTCATTAAAAAGATTTTTCTCTCTAATTGCAGAGTACTAATACAGTAACTCAGGCATCTAGTAGGAACTGCATTTCTCAGACACATTCTTCTTGTGGAAATGGCTTGCACATTTTCACTCTAATCACATTTGCTCAGGTACACAAATACCAACGCCAACCATGTTTCACTTACTTTCCCCACCAAACGTTAGGCCCATCCAGATTCTTTTGGGAAATTCTTTTAAACACAGCTTCTAAGTCTATGTAACAGTCATCATCTGTCTTCAGCAACAAACTGAAGCTGGTGGTTTCCACAGTCCTGTTGGCAGAAAAGGGTGTGTGAGTTGGTGCAACTGTGCAAGGAAACACAGCAACACCAGGGAAGACCCATCACCAGCACCCTCTCAAAACTGCCTGTGTGACCGCGCCCAGTGTCTCACTCATGTACCACCCAGAATGCTGGCTTCAGAATGGTACTGCTCTCAATTACAGTCCTCACTGATATTTACTAGGTGATAGTCACAGAAACATCAAACTCATTTAAGTAAAGAAAAAAGAGCACAATGAAAACTCTCTGGCTGAAGGAATATATTTTCAAACAAATGTCTTAGGCATTCATGTCAGGCAGCTGTAACTATTAAACTTTGAACCTTGTCCAGTGTGTTCTTAACGAATGCCTAGCATAATGGGACAAATATCATACTCAGGACATTACTGTACAAGATGCATTCTATGCTACTTTTTATATTCCAGTCAAGCTATTTTATGATTTTTTAAAAAACTGAGTCATAACACTGAAATCTATTTCCCCTTGTAAACCATTTCCAGCAATTACTATTACATATGACCCTTTGGAAGAACAGGAAGGTGACTTAATTTATCCACACCCCAAAAAGTGTGTAATGGCAACTAAGTGGTGACTTAGAAACTCCTGGGTGCAAAGGAGCCTCCTGCTTCAGCCTCCCAGGCAGCTGGGGCAACAGGCACATGGCAATGTGCCAGCCCAAGATGAGCAGCTTTTCTTTTTTTTTTTTTTTTGAGAGAGATTTTTTTTTTAATATTTATTTTTTAGTTTTCAGCGGACACAACATCTTTGTATGTGGTGCTGAGGATCGAACCCTGGCCGTACGCACGACAGGCGAGCACGCTACCGCTTGAGCCACATCCCCAGCCCGAAGAGCAGCTTTTCAACAGGTAGAGTAGAGACTGGAAAAATATAGTGGGTGTTTAGTTGAGCAGAACTCAGCGACCTGGGTGGGAGTAACTCTAGTTTGAGGATCTGGGTAGGTTTGTATCCAACTGCAAAGGTACCATTTCCAAACTCACTGATTTTTATCTACTCCTAGCTGATACTCCCAAGGCAAGGAGCAATGACTCCAGATGGATTAGCTTCTGCCTTGTTTTCGATCAGTTAATACATTCATTCATCAAAATAAGCAGCAGCAGCAGCATCTTAGAAGATGTCTTCCTAAGGAACAGGGACACAGCAGGCCACCTCCCAGGTGTGCAGTGACCTTAAATTTTTATTTTTTAAAATCTCAGTGGTTTGATGTCGATACATTTTTTTTCCTCCATCAAAAGAACAATAAAACAAGTTCTAGCCACCCAACCTACCATCGATAGAAGTTCAATAATTTTGCAGGAACATTTCGGTAAGTGTCTACAACATCCACAAAAACAATGTCACCATGAACACTGCTCTCCTCTGTCAGTAAGGCATCTTCCTCATGGAGGCTCCTTATGTGATCAGCGAGTCTCTGAGGCCGAGAGTGAAGGCTACGCAAGAGAGCGTCACCTTCTGAAAAGACAGTTGAGAAAATCATCATAAGCCAAGATCCAGAACTTGCATGATAAGTTACTAAAGTCTTTTTTTCCCAAGGAGGGGAGGCGTTACTAGAGATTAAACCTAGGGGCATATACCACAAGCCACACTCCCAGCCCTTTTTATTTTGAGACAGGGTCTCACTCAGTTGCTTAGAGCTTTGCTAAGTTTCTGAGTATGGCCTTGAACGTCCTCCTCCCTCAGGCTTCCGAGTTGCTGGGATTATAGGCATGGACTACCACACCTGGCCTTTAAACTTTGAATCCTCTTGCTTCAGCCTCCCATGTAACTAGGATTACAGGATGCACCACTGAGCCTAAGGCAACATCAGGACAGTTAGGAACTTCAGGTAGGGAGATGGGGCTCTAGTCCACACACTGCTAGTGGGGAGCTGTATGGTGGTATCTAGCTAAGCTGAAGATATGCAAGTCCTGTGGCTCAGCTAAGCCCACCTCAAGACGTAACCCTGGAGACCATACTTGACCCGGGTGCAAGGACATTCATCGAAGCTGTGTTTATAATAGTGGGGGAAACCAGACCCCTAAGTCAAAACCAGCCCAACAGTGCTACATTTACATAATATAGCAGTTATAAAAATCAACCTGACCTTGAAGGTTAAAAGGAATAGCTCTGAAAGGTAATGCTGATGAAGCCATTGAATGATATATGTACAGCACAGATGTCATTTACTCAACATTATGCTTTAAAATAATTTTAAAAAATACTCAAGTATGCTGTTTACAGGTATGTTAATATATAGTAGGAAGCAGAAAGACTGGGGCAGGCACACGTCGCCGAGGCAGACGCAGCCTTGGAGGGGCAGAGAATAGCAGGGCCCAGGAGCAGTACCAGGGAGGAGGTCTCAACTGCACCTGGTTTTCCCCTGGTGCCGGGGGCTGAACCCAGGGCTTTGCCCATGCTGGGCAAGTGCTCTACTACCAGCTACAACCTAGCCTCTGTAAAAATTTTTTTCTAATAAATGGCAGTCCTCAAGCACCAAAAAAAAAAAAACACACACAAAAAAACCTCCTCTAATAAACAACGGGAAGCAAATAGAACAAAAAGCAAGCATTTGCTAATTCTTAACAATGTGTAGCTAGATGTTTCTTATTCTTTATTTTTGGTGTATTTATGATATTCCACAGTAAAAATAATTAATAATGTCATTAAAAGACATTTTATTTACCAGCTCACAAGCTGGCAATGAGTCACAGATCATGTATGTACAGGGACTCTCCCCAGATCCTGTGGGTTTAGGGCAGCAGTTCTTTCCCTAGGACACAGTAAATCAGGATTCTCTCAAACACCTCAAGGAACATTTCTGGAAAAAACAAGAGTGAGCTGCCAAGGGGTTAGGAGAGGATCAACAAGAGCAGCCTAGCACTGCATTCTCTGCTGCTCGAGGAATGGTAGGTGGGGCCCGCCCCTGCCACTGTGAGACAGGCGGCACCACGGAACACCCCTGGGCCACAGTGTTCTTGCAGTAAAACAGAGCGGACTAAATCCATGGTTCTGAGGAATGCTTCCTGAAATACAGACTCTTGGGCCCAAAACCTGCAGAGTTAGTAGGTCTGGGGTGGGGCCCAGGAATCTGTACTTTTGTAGTACTAGGATTTGAACCCAGGGGCACTCTTCTACTGAGCTACATCCCCAGCTCTTTTTTAAATTTTGAGACAGGGTCTCACTAAATTGACCTCAAACTTACAATCCTTCTGCCTCAGGCACTGGAGTGGCTGAGATTATAGGTGTGTACCACTGCACCTTGCCCAACTGGGTTGTTACTTTTAGGGAGATTCCCCCCCCCCCCGCCATATATATAATCATCACTGGTCATCTTGAAAATGCCACTCAGCATCACAGTGAGATCCTACTTCACACCCACTAGGAGGGGAATATTAAAAAGACAGACAATGTAAACACTGGGGAGGTGGAGAAACGGAAACCCACACAGTGACGGAAACACAGAACCGGGCAGCGGCTGCTGGGAACGGTCTGGCAGGGCCTTAGATGGCTGCTCAGAATTACCATATGGACCCAGCATTTTCATTCCTAGATATTTAACTACAAAAAATGAAAATATATGATCACAGAAGCTTGTACACGAGCATTCACTGCAGAGTTATTCATAACTGCCAAGAAGTATAAGCAACCCAATTGTGCATCAATTAACAAATGGCAATATGGCATTATATATCCAATGGAATATTATAGTCACAAAAATAGAATGAAGTATGTTGGCCAATAAGGCTGAACCTTGAGAAATTATGCTAAGCAAAAGAAGCTAGGCAAGTACCACATGTTGTATGATCCCATTTGCATGAAATGTTCAAAATAGGCAAATCCACAGAGAAGTAAATTAGTAGTTTTAATGGGTAGGGAGAACAGAATGGGACCAGTGGGTATAGGGTTCTTTTCTTTTTGGCAGGATAGAAATGTTCTTGAATTAGTGTAGATGGTCTCAGAACTCCCAAAAATATTGAATCAACACCTTAAAAGGGTGAATTGTATGGTATGTAAAGCTACCTCAGTAAAGCTATTTTTTTTTTTTCAGTGACTAACAAGATCACGTTTTATGTCCAAGAGTTTAAAAAAAAAAAAAAAAGATCAGGTGTAAGAGGTTCAGTGTGCTTCTCAACAGGCCGACTTACCCTGAATGGTGTAAATGAAGCCACCTGCAACTCCTTCCACACCTTCCATGAATTCATGAGGCAGTGCACCCTCCCCAGCCTGGAAGGAATGAGAATGGCAGTGTCCAGGGCCGCACAGCAGAAAGGAATGCACCGCACTGGACCATCATCTGACCAGTCCTGACAGGACCCCACTGCAGCACGCAGCAGGCTGCTACTTTTGTTATCTAATTACAATCTCTTTTTTGGTAGTGGTACTGGAGATTGAACCTGGGTGCTCTACCAATGAGCTACACCCACAGCCATTTTTTAAATTTTGAAACACAATCTTGCTAAGTACCCACACTGGCCTCAAACTGGAGTCTCTGGGATTACAGGTGGGTACCACCACGCCTGGTTTAACTGCAGTCTTAAGATCATATATGTTCGGTGGCTCAAAGGTGTTCGGAATTCCAACTTAACGTGGAATCATATGTTCTTATATTTGCTACCATAATAGTACTAAAATCACTTTATTTTACATCAACTCCACCCCTTTAAAAATTAATGAAAATTTTGACTTTTTGGAGACTGATAATTCTCATAAGTTCAAATAGATAGGCACATTTTACCTTTCAGTGACCATGCAGAGAAAAGCTTCTCTAAGGTCAGCACTCTGTCCCAAACAGTTCAGATGGAACCCGCATGACCACTGGTGAATTTCAGGGCTAGAGCCAATTCTGTCAAGAGCCAGAAACAGACCTTTCTGCCTGTTAGGCGTGCCTTTATTATTAGAGTCACCTCAAAAGCTGCCCGACACCCCTACTCAAACTGAGTTGTCACTCTGTGTCACACGCCAACTCGGAGTGAGCGTCCATCAGAGCTGCACTACAGCTGCTACTGGTCGGAGTGTTCATGGCCTTTCCTCTGTGAACTCACCTCAGCAGAAGGGATACTGCTGGGCTATTCGCTTTTTAAACAAATCTGTTCAGCAGAGTTTTACTGTGTAAAGCAATTTCGAGGGCCAGCAGTGAGAGAATTCTGAAGGCACTGTGGTAACACATCATTTAATTTAAAATACGGTTTGTAGCCAAATGCTGAAGAAATTAGTCCAGGGGAATGCTACAGAATCCAGCCACGTAGTTCTAACCACCATTTTTTTTTTTTTTTTTGGCTGGTGTGTGATAGCTGTATTTACTGGTGGGATTTGTTGTTACGCATTCGCACTTGCACACACTACACAATAACACAACACAACTTGGCCAGTACTACTCCCCAGCACTTCCTCTCCCTCCCAACCCTGCAGTTCTGTGAAAGGTCACGTACTCTTCATCTTTGAATCGCTTCCACTGTGCTGTGCCGGCCTGTTTGGAGGACAGCATTCTTTGGCAGGGAGCAGAACTGGTGAAAATCCTCCTCTGCCCAGGTGTGTCTCTGCGGAGCTTCCCCTTCCCCCACCTCGAACCTCGACCTTTCACCCTCTGCCACAGTGTGTACTCCAGAGCAGAGCACTGGAGTCTACGTCTGAACCCACTTCTCAACTCTGAAGTAAACTTATTTCCTTGACTGTCTAATAAACTCAAATACTATAGGGAGGCAAGAATTAAAGGCACTTGGCTTAAATAAGGAAATTAAGAGAAATCTATCAACTTCATAGAACTTTCTACCCAAAGGACTTTTCAAAAAAGGGTGGAATCCTGAACCCGGGATGTGAATGGCCAAGGCTGGGAGCTGTCGGACATGCATCTGAGTCTGTGTGCTTAGTGTCCTTCCTCTCCCTGAACACCGAGTTCCCATGACAGACCTGTAGCAGGGCAGGTTCAGTGAACATCTCAGCACGAGCAGCAGTGCGCCACTGTGTCCTCTGCGTCTCTGTCTTGGGAACCCAACCCCGTGAACAGATGAGTACTCAAAGAACTCACTGAAGGCCCCACGCCCACCCCCAACCACTGGCCCAGAGACAGAAGGAGAGAAGGGCCTGACAGCACACACAGGCCTGCCGCCCCATTTTCCTCATCACTCCACATTTCAGAAATCTGCCAAATTTGCATATTTTAAATTTGAAGTAAGTCTGAAAAAATGAGAAAAAGGAGAATCAGAAAATCAGATTTGCTTCAGCAATAAAAATAAAAGCAAATATCCAACTTATTTTCCACTTTTCCCTTTAAGATGGGGTCTCACTGTGTTGTCCAGGCTGCTCTCAGACTCTCGGACTCAAGTGATCTTGCCTCAACTTCCTGAATAGTGGGAATCACAGGTGCATGTCACTGCATCTGACTCAGCATTTTATCTCTAGTACTTTATTTTACACATATATTTTTTTGGCACCAGGAACTGAATCCAGGGGTACTTTACCACTAAGCCAAGTGCCATTCTTTTTTGTTTTTGAGACAGTCTAAGTTGCTGAAGCTGGCCTCCAAATTGTGATCCTCCTGCCTCAGCCTCCCAAGTAGCTGAAATTACAGGTATGTGCCAGGTATCTATAGAATTTTAGCTGACATTTCACTATTAAGGTGAGATAGTGAATATTCTAAACTACTGAACAAATATTCTTAATTATTTAAAAATTTTTGAGAAATAAAATATTGTACTTTAACAATGCACTTTTTTTTGCAGCAATGTGGATCAAACTCAGGGTCTTGCACACGTTAGGCAAGTGGTCTACCACTGAGACACATCCCCAGCCCCCCAAACATGCACCAATCTTAAGGCTGACTCCATATTCACCAGTGTTAGAACTGCAGAATCACACCGAACACTTGAGCATTCTGTCTTCACCATGGCGACTTAACAACACTTACTACTACATATGTTTTAAAGCACATGAGAATCATTATTCAATACTGCCTGGGATGGTATAAATTTTAAGACACTTTTAGGTATAGGAAAAGCCCAAGAGAAGGCTGACTTACAGTAATGACCCGGAGGACTCCGCCACCGTCATGCACGGTCACCCTGTGCAAGTTTCCCGACACGAGCCCGTGGAGGTCTTGACTCTCCCACACCACGGTCCCTTCAAAGCTCTTTGGGGAAAAGATGAAGAGTGAGCCAGTTTCTTTACTGTTGTCATTTGGGTTAAAATAAGTGTTTAGGTTCAGACCTGAGAGAAATGCTTACTCTTTCTCCAAAAGATATCAGTTAAGTTATTATGCTGCAACTCTAACACCTTTTTCCATGCACATCTAGAAACCAACCAGAGTGTATAAGGCTGGGCGGCAGATGCCTCCGTTCCCCTGGCCCAAGGCCTCCCGGTGCAGCCCAGCAGCTCCCTTCAGTGGGCACGGCGCGCCCGCGCCCTGGGTGAATGCATGAGGGTTTACTGGAATACTCCCTGCGGCAGACATTTGGGGCTGCCACATAGCTACCGCCTCAATGCGGGAGTGTTTTGGTTTAAATGTCTATTTTTCCCCGAATAAGTTGTATTTTAAAAACTAAATTCCCAGAGGTGAAATCTTAGACTGAGGTTTGTGTGTGTTGGTACACATCGCTAAGGTGCTTTTCAAAAGTCCTTTTCTATCACTTTATGAGCGGATTTTGAGAATGCCTGGTGTGGGTGCAGGGAATGACCCCTGGTTCAGCTGCATTTCTGATCCCAGGGCTGTTCTCTCCTGATGAAGGCCTGTCCTCTTCTGTGCCACCTGGTTATTGAGTTTTCTCTTCTTTGTTAATCTGTGCAATTCTGCAGAGCACTTACCTTGATCCTGTGTATGCTGTGTGCACTAGAAGTATTTTTTCAGAGTTGTTTGCCACTTTTTTTTTGAAATTCAAACATCCATAAAATGCTTCCTACGGACTCTGACAAGCTTTTTTGTGATGATCACTGCTGAATGCCAAGTTTAGCAAGTTGCGCTTCCCCACCCCAAGGTCCTGACGCCTTCTGACTTCTCTGTGGTCCGTTTTCAACTCTGCAGCTGGCTCCTGACACTGCTCAGGTCTTAACTCCACTTTCTCCAGAAACAGAAGCCACCAAGGCCCAATCTGCCCACCACATCGACCTGTTTCATTTCCTTAATGCCATTTATCGCTCTGCTATTTCTGGTTTTTCCACTGTCAAACTGATGGTTCCCAATGGAACACAAGCATCTTGCTGTTTTTCCAACCACCATGTCCCCAGCAGGAGAATGGCTTGACATAACTAAAACTGAAAACCACTTGCCAAACACACAGTGTGGAATTAAAGCCAAGTAGATGACCTCCATGTGGCACATGAAGACCCGGCTCTAACGTATCAACAGTCTCATGTATGAAATGAAAAGGTGAGGACTGACAGTACCGTTTAATTCAGTCAACAGCTCAGGAAACCAGGCAGAGTGAATCTGTCTCATGACTAGGTCAGTGGCTTACAAACTTTTTTTTTTAAAGCAATAAAACTTTTCTTCTCCACCAAAGCAGACAAAAACACTGCAAGAGCCTGGGTTATGCTGCTCAGGTGCCCTTAACCTTTATCATCTGCAAACCCCTGAGGCACTGTCCCCACCCCCCCTTCCTTGGAGATGACCTTGCAGACACACTGCAGCCTGGGTCCTTGCTTCTCAGTTCTTAATAAAACACAGAGAGCCATGTCTTCCTCTAAGGGCTGCTCTGACGTGCACTCTCTGCTCAGAAAACAGGCTTCTGACTATCAGAAGCACAGGAGGACATGAACTGTCCTTTTCAAAGACTCTACTTTTCCTAGGTGTCCTTAACTCTCTAGCTCAAATCTGAGTTTTAAAAAAACAAAACCTTCCCATAAATAGACAAATATACAGGAGGGAGATAAAGAAAAAAGATTAGGGAAGAAATACACCAAATATATTGAGCAACAGATGGGTGAAGTCACGTCCTTAAACCTCTCTGCATTTTTCCAAATTTCCAACAACAAATACATGTCACTTTCATACATTTCTATACTTTGATAATCATGAAAAAAAAATATAAACCTGGAACATATGACCAACAAGCAAATTTAGGGTCAGTCTTCCTCCAGACACGAGCCATTACTTAAACATTTCGGTATGTATGATTTACCAGGCCTCTGACTGTGTGTTTCAAGTTCAGAAACAAAAATGAAAGAGCCCATATCTTTAAATCACCCTAATATGGAATTATCAAAACACGCCAAGATGAGGTTCCATGACAAGGGAAGGAAGTAACTGCGGGGTCGGGGCTCGGCAGGCTTCCAGCACCTCCAGCGCTGTCCCCAAGGGCTCTGGGTCAGAAAGTGGGAGGCAACCACAGGCACACACAGAAAACCATGAAGAGCTCGGCACCAGACAAGGCGGGGGTGCACCCCCGGGACAGGAAGCCAGAAGCCAGAGGGCTGCAGCAGGAGAGGGCCTCAGGAGGGGCAGAGAGAGGGAGGGAGAGAGAGAGACACACACATACACACACACACACACACACACACACACACACGCGCGCGCAAAGGCTGGGGAAGAGCAGGCACCTGCTAGGGTGACTAGATGGAGAGGGAGGGGCAGGAGGTGCCTGGGCTGGGTCAGGATCAGCTCACCTGAGAAGAGGCAGTGTCCCCAGACCAGAAGAGCTGCGAAGCAGGGCTCCAGCAGCAAAATCAATGCCTCAAAGCCGTGTGCCCACTGGTCACTACAGAGGTAGTGTACCCACCGGACACTATGGAGGACCTTAAAATAGAGTGCCCACTGGCCAGTATAGGGACTGGAGAGCCAAGGATGTGTCCCATGGTGCTGGTTCAGGTGGAGACACCAGACCTAAGGCTGAAGACATAGGAGACAAGAAAGGGTAGCACAGAGGGGATGTCCCCAGTAGGACGCCTGTGGGACGTGCACGTAGAGTTCAGCAAGCAGCCAGTCGAAAGCAGTCTGGGCTGCAGTGACAGGCCACCAGCCCACTGGTGGTAACAGATGAAATGGCCTGAGAAGAATGAGCCAAACAGAAGGCGAGCATCAAAAAGAAAAAGGGGAGATAATGACTCACACCTCAGGAAAAGCCAGCGTGCCAAGGAAAGTCCCTCCTCGTCTGGAGACCACAACCCAAGACTGCTCTAGCCCCACCTACTAGCTGATGCTTGGCGTCTGACCTCTCCCGCTATGCTCCTTCAGTGTACCCAACTCCACTATGCCTGTCTTGACACTCTGGTTAGGTAAGTACCAGAGTTCACTGGCCCAAAGGAGATGACCCCCAGGCCTGGCTCAGAAAACCATCTTTCTATACTGAATCCGCTGGAGCTGCATCTACCTGCCTGCGAACCCAGGCTGTGCCACGCCCTCCCCTCTTCCTCACACACCTGCAGTCCATTCTCTGACGTAAGCTGTCACAACACCAGGAACCTAAAGGAGAGGAGCAACATTTTCATGGCAACTTGTGACAAGACATAAAACTAAAAGAAAAGGAGAAAGCCTGACAAGAGGTTGGAAACGTGCTGTCCATGACGTTGCAAGCTGTCTGCAACCCATTCCCCATGTTCACTCCGGCCTCGTGCTTCCTGCACAGACATGTGTATGTTTGTTTGGGTGGTGCTGGGGATTGAACCCAGGGGTTCTCTACCACTAAGCTGCATCTCCAGCCCTTTGTTCTATTTTGAGACAGGGTCTTGCTACGTTGCCCAGGCTGGCCTTGAACTTGCAATCCTCTTGCCTAAGCCTCCTAAGCAACTGGCCACCGCACCAAGCCATGGTTTTATTTTTTCCCAATAAAGCTAATATGTATTATAGACCATCCAGGAAACCAATTTAATAAAAGAAAATGAAAACCATTCATCTCCCGGGTAGCCCTGTTAAATAACTGAGTTTCTGTTAATGTTATTCAACCATCATGACAGAGCAAGCACATCTGAAAGCCTACGGGGACCCGGAAGTCTCAGGATGACAGGCACACTGCCTTGCACTCGCTACTCAGCCGAGTTCCTCCCTCACCAGCATCAGCAGGTGGTCAGCCTGGACTCACCATCTGATCTTAGAGACCCCCAGCAGTCCCCATGAGGCCACACTGTGCCCCTCTCCACACTGTCCTGTTGCCACATTACTTGAAAGTAAAATAGGGATGTTACAACAGCACAGCCTTAAGCATTTCAGTGTGGCCTTCCTAAGAACAAGGGCATCCAGGGGAAAGGAACAGTGTGCAGCCAGGACAATGGAGGGGCAGACTAACTGCGACCAGCTGGAGCACCGGAGTTGCTCTTCTTTCTCTCCCTTAACCTCAGCGCCGCTGACACTGGGCTGCGCCACTCTTTCCTGTGCGACAAGGACGTGCAACATCGTCCTGACCCTCAGCCACCAGACACCAGCTTGGGCAGTGTCCCCAAGCATTGCTAAATGTCCCCCGAGGGCACACTGCCCCTGAAACACTGCTCTTAAGAAGCAAGACAGGGAGCAGTGGTCTAAGGAGCGCGCAAACACCTCCTGCCGTGTCTCAGCAGCCTCCTGAGGTGGACCACCAGGTCCCTGGAATGGCCTGGGACCTGGGTGGCAAGGCTCCGCAGCCCAGAGGAAACAGGCAATGAAGGCAGGCTCCTCGCAGGGTTGCAAGCCCCAGAGTGGAAGAGTGGCAGCTCCGACTCAGTCACGTGCACCCCCATCCCTTCTCAGACCAGTCCTCTCACACCTTTTGTGAAAAGCAGGCCTTCAGCAGGCTTCGGATGGTTCTGGGTAGTACCCAACACCACGCCAGTGCTCCTAGTGCCTTGGGACAAAGTGACCTTCCCCGTGGGAACCAGTTTGCGGGAGGTTCTGCCCACAATGTGACAAGCCTACAGGAGGGACTCTCGCTGGCCTGCTTCAGTCTAAAGGAGACAAACCAACTAGGTAACCAGGCGATGCTCTCAGCAGCATCCTGGCACAGGTAGCAACACCCGCCGCATGTGAGCCACTGGGTAGCAGCGCCCCAGGTTGAGTCTTGATGAGGCCCACGCTTGGCACACAGCAAAAACCTTCTGGGTAAACATAGGAACTAACTAAAGATAGTTTCTTTCAAAAACTGAGATCCAATGCTTGGCCAGCACTGCTTAGCTGAGCCACAATCTTAATCCAAAATAAAGGATAACTTAACGGTACACGCTGCACTTCAAAAGAAAGCAAGTTCAGGGCTGCGGTGGGGCCCAGTGTGGAGTGCTCGCCTAGCACGTGCGAGGCACTGGGTTCGATCCTCAGCACCACATAAAAATAAACAAGCAAAATAAAGGCAGGCTGTTCATGCCTTAAAAAGAAAGGAAACAAGTTCGTAAATGAAAGAAAAAAAGATACAGGAAACAACAAGATATAGGCACTCTTATATAATGCTAATTATTATTCAAATTGATACAAATCGCTAAAATGCCTTCCAAAAAGAATCATACACGGGCTGGGGATGTGGCTCAAGCGATAGCGCACTCGCCTAGCATGCGTGCGGCCCAGGTTCGATCCTCAGCACCACATACAAACAAAGATGTTGTGTCCGCCGAAAACTAAACAATAAATATTAAAAAAAAAAAAAAAAAAAAAGAATCATACACCTTCAAAACATATATGCCCTTTGGTCTAATAATTCATCCTAAGAAACCAACCAGTGATGCACACAGAAGTGGAATGATGTTCACTATAATTTTTTTCATAACACTGAAAAATTTCAACACATCAAAATGCAGCTAATATTAAAAAATGACAATATTTTCATATAGCATAATTTTACACAGGCATTAAAATAGTGAACTATACGTCTATGAAAAATGTCCATGCTGTGTTAAACTATAAAACGGGGGGGGGGGGGGGAGAGTATAATCCTAACATCTATACATGCACAGAAGTCAAAATCTTAAAATGTGATTATCCCTGGGTTATGAGATTTTGGTGGTTTTAATGGTTTTCTTTAGTTTATCTGCATTTTCTACTGTTTCCCAATGTTTTAGTGTTGTTTTTATTGGAGAGGTTTGTTAAGTGGAAGTTGAAATGTAGGTGAAAGATCCCATGGCGGGCTGGGGTTGTGACTCAGCGGCAGAGCACTTGCTTAGCACATGTGACCCCTGGTTCGATCCTCTGTACCACATAAAAAAATACATAAATGAAATAAAGGTATTAAAAAAAAAAAAGATACCTGGCATTCACGAATCAATACAGGCCGTTTCAACTACTGTGCTCAATTGCCAAGTACTTCACAGTGGGCTGAGGTGGTGGGTGGCGCTGTGTGCATGCCTGCAGCCACCTACCCTGTGGCACACTGTGGCCAACTCCAGGACTGCTGAGGCCCGGCAGGTGAGGCATCTCCAGCACACTCAAGACTGGACACACTGAGTCCCAACCCTTTTTGGTATTTTATTTAGAGACAGGGTTTTGCTGAATTGCTTAGGGCCTCTCTAAGTTGCTAAGGCTGGCTTTGAACTCACGATCCTCCTGCCTCGGCCTCCTGAGCCACGTGGCTCTCATTACTTCTTCAGATAAGCAGACAGTCTGAATTACAAGAATGCCCGTCCGTATCTGTCCGTCCGTCAGCACCTGCACTGGGCTTTCACTAAAACAGTCATGGGGTGTCTACTGCAGCGAGCCAACACGGCCAGGTGCGAGACTCTTCCCAAGTGTGTTCTGAACCTGAGGGCTCACAGCGTCCTCAGGGAAAAGATGCGATGGTTACCTTCCAGTACACCTCACCCAGCACCCGCCTCCCGTCCTGCAGAGCTGCCTTGCCCACCAGCACACACCCGTCCTGTGAAGGACCACACTGGAAGGGTCTTCCGCTGTGCCTTTACCTCGGGTAAGATGAACTGCTCCACGGGCTTGTACCACAGCTTGTTCACCTGCACGCCACAGCTCGGAGGACTGAAGCGCGCAGTGAAGAGGGCCTCCTGCATATGGGGGAGAAGAGACATGAAAACAAAGACAAACGCTGCCCCTTGGTCAGTAAAATCCACAGGCACCCCAACCATGGTCACCAATATCGTGCCACAGAGGTTTCAGCAACTTTGGGGTTTTCTAGTACCATCGTGGCTATTAAATAAACAGAAGATAATTAAAACTGTCACGAGGTTCTCACATACTAATGTAACCCACATGACCTTAAAAGGAAATATGAAATGAGAAGCGTTCAGGGAAGGGAGATGGTATTAGGCCAACTCAGTGTCAGACCCCAGCACTTCCAAGGGTGTAGAACAGACTGAGGACTATAGCTTCCAGAGAACAGAAGGCACTCAGAAACCGCCTTCAAACGAAACTCCAGACTCTCTAAAGGAAGTTAAGAATAGGAGAAACCACAAAAAAGGAATTTGATCTTAAGCAAAACAGGGACTACAAAAAGACAATTCTCAGGATGTCACTGTGAGGCAGGAGCATTTCTTTCTTCCACGACTATTCTTATACACCACGTCACCACAGGGACCAAGACCGTGCAAAGTCACAACCACTGGTGCGTCAGTGGGTTAAGATGACATCTTTCATGAACACCAGTTCTAGAAATGAAGTGAAGATACTTCTGTTGTCTGCCCGTGAACCCTTTAGTATCCACCTTAGACCAGTCCATCCTCAAAGACAGAAACTATGGACTTCTCTCTAGCTAAAAATACAGCAAGGGATTATTCAACACGATCAAAGTATTATGTGTCTGAATTAAACTACTTGACTGATAATGGAAGCATTACAAATAGTTTTTATAAAAAGACTACAAGCACTAAGACAATTGAGTACATCAAAAATTCAAGAGTAATTCGAATCTAAATCAGGACAACAGCAGAATTCAGTGTACTGTTATTTCGGTTATCTATCTAAACTTCAGTATCAATTCAATCTTTTGTGGGGCAGGCGGTACTGGGGACTGAACCCAGGGATGCTCTACCAGTGAGCTGCATCCCCAGCCCTTTATAAATTTCCTTTTGAGGCAGAGTCTTGCTAAGTGGCCCAAGCTGGCCTTGAGCTTGCATCCTCCTGCCTCAGGAGCTGGAGTAGCTGAGATTAGACATGTGCCACCACACCTGGCTTTTTTGCTTTGTTTTGGGTTTTTTTGGGCAGCGCTGGAGATCACACCTAGGCCTGCTACGCAAGTCCTGAACCATTGTACCACTGAGGTACACTCCCAGTCCTTCCATGAAATCTTCAACCACAGGAACACAGAGACTACGGAGTGGAGTAACCTGATAAAGCTCTTCATGCCACAATCGTAATGGCTGGAGTCACTTGTTCCCTCTTCCATTAACACATTAACTATAGGCTCTCAGAGGAAGTAATATGAAAAACTGTAGAATAGAAATTTAATCTTGAAATAGATTTTTACATTATCTATGGCTCCAACATGGTATCCATTGGTAACAATCAACATTAACAATAACAATAGTACAGAAATATTTGAGAAAACAGAGTTCTGTTTCCAGTAATATCAGACTAATTCTCCTAGAGGTAACAATCATGAAATCTGGACAAAACATAAAAAGGTGACCTGAAGGCAGTGGAATTCCACTTAACATAGAGGAGAATCAAAACCACAAGGGACCCTGGGTTCCCATCCCGTCTCTGTCTGAAGGCACAACTCTAGGGTGACTGAGACGGAATGCAGACGTGCAGTCTTTCTGGCTGAAGAATTAAGAGGGTGGAGTTGGCACAGACACATCAGCTAAACAGTGAAGAGGAAACCCCTGCAAGGAAGGGGCCACAGAGGGAGAGCCACGGTCTTCCTGTGGATTCTGCCCAAATCTGTGGCTGCTCAGGAAGCACAGTGTGAGGGCACTGGAGCAGCCCCCCTCAGGTCCAGAGAACTGAACAGAGATTTCAGCTGCTGTCCTTGTCAAGGGAAGCCATGCAGAGCCTGAATCTGGCCAGTGCAACTGCTGAAACAGAACAGGAATCCAGCACTCTCCTAGGAAGACAGCGGGACCCAAGCTCTCACAGCAACTCGCTCCAGCATCTGGGCCACAAGCTGAAGTTACTGGACAGAAGATGAAACAGAAAAGGTCACTGCACTCGAGACAGAAGGCGATTCACAGATAAGCAGTCAAGGATGACGCCTTTATAACTGTAGTCAAGTGTCTGCCAGGGAGAAATGTGCTCAAAGTAATGAGCACACAAGAAGTTTAGAGAAACAGAAACTACAAGAGATAGTTTTCAAATGAAAATTGAAGAAAAGTATATCTAAAACAAATCTAAAATAAAAAATTCATTGGATAGGCTTAATTGCATAATTGAGATGATAAAAGAGTAAGGGAACTTGAGTGCAGATCAACAAAAATTACCTAACTTTGAGGCTGGGATTGTGGCTCAGTGGTAGAGTGCTCGATCCTCAGTACCACATAAAAATAAATAAGTGAAATAAAGATAATGTGTCCAACTAAAACTTAAAAATAAATATTAAAAAAAAAAGAACTTTAAAAAATTACCTAACTCTGAAAAACACGAAACCACTGGAAAAATGAACAGTGGTTCACAAAGGGGACGATACCAAAAGAAGTGTCATGTACACACAGAGGCGGGTACAGGGGCCACATCTGCAATCCCAGTGACTCAGGAGGCCAGCCTCAGCAACTCAAAGGAACAAACAGAGAGAAAAGTCACTCCAAGGCACAACACATCCAGATTGCTCACAACAAAATACAAAGAACCTTAAAGGCAGCCCCAAACGCACACACCACTCTGCGCACATCCACACACAAACAACAACATGAAGGACGGTGCGTTCTCCCTAGCACAACTGTGGCCAAAAACACGGGGATGCATCTTTAAAATACTAGAGAGAAAAAAACCCTGCAAAATTCCATATCCAGAAATTATTCCACAGTAATAAAGCAGAAAAAAAGAATAAAAGTATAACAAGGATATTTTCAGAAAAATGAAAAGTAAATTTATCACTAGTAAACCTGTGTGTAAGAAACACTGAAGGTTATTATTTGGGTTGAAGACAATGATATCAGATAGAAACTGGACACTCATGGAGGAATACAGAGCATCAGAAATGGTGAATATGTGGGCAAGTGTCAAAGAGTATTTTCCTCTATATTCCCTTAACATGCACTGGATGTTTAAACTGTAACAAGTATTGTGAGACTGAGAGCGCACATACAGGAAACCCACGGGCAATGACAGGAAACAGCCGTGGGGGACAAGGGAAACTCTCTGCCTTGGACCTGAAGGGGAAGGACAGGAACAGAAGACTGGAATACATACTGTGATCCTTGCACAATCTCGCACAAGACAATGGGACAAGAGCTGAAGCTAAAGGAAGAATAGAAGTTAAAAACAGCATTCTAAAAAATATTCGGTCAACCCACAGAAGGCAGAAAAGGAAAAACAAGAACAACAGGGGAGACAGAACAAAACACAGCAGGGCTGGGGATGGGGCTCAGTGGAGAGCGCTTGTCCCTCACATGTGAGGCACTGGGTTTGACCTTCAGCACCATATAAAAATACATAAGGGTATTATGTCCACCTACAGCTTAAAAAAAAAAAAAAGAAATAGGGCTGGGATATGGCTCAGTTGGGGCTGGGGATATGGCCTAGGTGGTGGAGTCCTTGCACAAGGCCCTGGGTTCAATCCCCAGCACCACACACACACACACACACACACACAGCAAAATGAAAAAAACTCTTTGATAATTATGCTAAATGTAAATGGAATAAACACTTTCTATAAAACAAACAAATAGAAATTCTAGGACTGGATAAAAAAAAAAGACCAAACTTTACAATGCCCATTAAGAAACAAAACCTCCAGCACTGTATGAAAATCACAGCAGACTGTGACCAAGAGGAGCTTATCCAGGAGCAGGAGACCGAGTTAGTGACTGTGATTCTTCACACAGAGTAAAGGAGAAAACTCTCGGACACATCCCGGGTGCCCACCGGCAGGAACAGACAGGCAAGCACCCCGCTGCAGCACAACCCGCTAACAGAAGACGGAAGGAAAACTCAGTCACACGGTGGGACCAATGAGTCGGAAAACGAGCAAAAGGAATTCGGCAGAGCACTACAGCGCAGTTCCACTCTGCCCAAGTCCTAGGACAGGCGAGGCCAGTGCCTGGCAAACAGTCCCAACAGCAGCAGCCCCTGGAGGATGGGGGATGGGGGATGAATAGACCCAGAGGGAACACAGGGAAATTTCTAGGGGATGTACTTTGAGAGGAGTTTGGGTTAAGCAGGTCTATGCAGTTTAAAAATCTGCACGTTGCACTTTATGCAAAATTTTAAAAACTATCAACAAACATTAAAGTTTAGTGAATGGCAGCATGCTGACGTTCAGGGGTGAAGCACACCCATCCTGAAACCTACTCTGAAAGACATTTTTGAAAGATGGATGAACATAGGTGATAAACAGCAAGATGTGGATTACTGCAGACCATGACCGGTGGCTATGAGTGCTCACTGCATAATTGTCTAGTTTTCTATACATTTAAGACCCAGAAACAGGTCCTCTTAGATACCATGCCATCCTCTGCTTCTTCAAATCAGATTTCCCCAAATTCAGGAACAGAGTGACCTCAGTTCTTGTAAACGCACATCTCCCATACATCTTCATTACAAAAAAGATCTCAAGCAGCTATTAACCTTGTATTATAGATTTTAAGGGCTGGAAGACATAGTAACACTCATGTATTCTAAGAGTCCCAAACTTTTTATATCCATGACTAGATTTTTTTTGGAGGGGAAGGGGATTGAACCCAGGGCCTTGTGCAAACAAGGCAAGCCCTCTACCAACTGAGCTATCTCCCCAGCCCCCTCCATGACTAGATTTTGAAATCCTTGAGTTTTAGGAAAACTTCTAATCTAGTCTAGTTACTTATGTTTTCTAGATCTAACACATTTATTCATAGGTAATCTCTCCCAAACCAGCATTTATAATGTATTGCAGTACCATGTATTCAATTTGAGAGGCAAGAAAAGAGAGCCTCCCTCCAGAGAGCTGCCTGCCCTCCCACCTGCTGTTCGCCAAGAGCAAGAGCTAGGCTTCTGAACAAGGCGCATACCTCCTGTTCCGCCTGGTAGAGCTTGACCGTGATGTTTCTCTGGAAACCCTCGTCGCTGGCTTCATAGAACACTCCCAGGCTGGTAATGACAATCGGGTGGAGCACTCGGAAGCTCACGCTGACGACCCGGGCCTCGGAGAGTCCTGATGAACCCTCCTCAGAAAGGCTGAATGCCTCGATTTCCTGATTCAAAACTATGGAAGTAACGAGAACAGGGGTTTTACACAAACAGATATGAACTTTTCCTTCACCAACAAGAACTAATGGAGTCTCTAATTCCAGCAACTCCATGGAGGCTGAAGCAGGAGGATCACAAGTTTGAGGCCAGCCTGAGAACATAGCGAGGCCCTAGGCAACTAGCAAGGGGCTGAGGATATAGCTCAGAGGTGAGGTGCCCCTGGGTTCAAGTCCCAGTATCCAAAAAAATAAAAAATAACAAAGAAGTGGACTTAACAGCAAAATATAGGTAACTACTTATATGATTTTTCACAAATGGCATTTTTTTTTTTCAATATTTGAAAATCAACGCTGCTCCTTGAAAAAAACCTATTTTGAAATTTAAGAATAAGCTTTCAGGGCTGGGGTTATGACTCAACGGTAGAGCACTTGCTTTAGCACATGAGGCACTGGGTTCGATCCTCAGCACCACATAAAAATAAAAAAATAAAAGTACTGTGTCCAAAAAAAAAAAAAAAAAATGAAGTTTTCAGCCAAATTTAGGTAAGTCATTCAATTATCAGCACAGCCTTAACAGGGTTTTGCACACATGGTGCAGACACACCTGAAAACCACAGGAGAATACTAAATTCAGGTCAACCAGAAGAACTGGATGAATAGAAGTAACAAAAATGCACTGACTGCAGTCATGAAGTCTGGTCTTGATAGGCAAATCCCCCAAATGCTGCTTCTTGTCAGCCAATTTAAGAATGCTTGCTTACTACCACAGATGAGAGAAATCTCCATCGCACCGAGGCTGGCGTTTGACTCCCGCCCCCCACCACCCATCCCAGGCACCTTCACAGGCTCTGGGTAGGGGCCTTTTCCAGCTCGCAGGTCCACAAACTGAAGTGAAGAGACCTTAAGCGATCTACCAAGAGCCGCAGAAAGTGGAAGAGGAGGCACCAAACCCAGCTGCAAGGACTCCAAAGCCCGTGCTCCTTCCCCTCTCCCAGATGGCTGATAGGCACCCAGTCCTTCCCAGTTTACCTCCCCAGGTACTAGGAGAGAATCACCAGAGATCATGTGAAACCACCAATATGGACAAGAACATCAGAGCTACTTTAAGAAATGATATAAAGCTTATGTTTATTTAAAGTTATCATAACAAAGTTCTCACTGTCTTTTAGAGGTGTACAGTATGCACATTTTTTGTAGCTCTAATTAATAAAGATTAATTACTTGTTTTTTTAAATAAAGATTATTTATTTATTTTCAGATAAATAAAAATGGTATTAGGGCTGGGGCTGTAGGTCAGTGGAGAGCTCTTGCCTAACATGTACAAGGCCCTGGGTTTGACCCTAAGTACCACAAAAAAAAAAAAGTTAAAATAAATTTATAAATTTTAAAACCTTATAATTTCTTTCCACACACCTGCAGATCATTTAGATTCTAACCTCAGAGTTTCTAGGAGCTATTTTACACTTGGATCTTCAATAAAATGTGACTAAAGGGAAGTGATGGCTCCTAGTCATGAGCAGGAAGGAAAAGCGGACAGACTTCGGTCAGGAGTTGGGCAAGCACTGTCAAGAGTCCAGACTCCAAACACACTGGACAACAAAAACACTCTTTTGTATATGTAAGAAATAAAGAACATCAAAAGTAGAAGCATGGGCTGGGGTTGTGGCTCAGTGGTAGAGCACTCACCTAGCATGCGTGAGGCCCTGGGTTCGACCCTCAACACCACATAAAAATAAATAAACAAAATAAAGGTATTGTGTCTAACCAAAAAATAAATATTTAAAAAAAGTAGAAGCATATCTGTTAAGAGCAACTGGTCAAACATATCACAACAGTCATATTTTCTGTCTTAAACATGCCTTGCACTCTAGCTCCCTAGACACAGGAAACCCCGTTGCTTTGATAATGCTACTAATCAAACCTTCTACACACCACAGTGTCATAATTAATGCCCAGCATGACCTTCTAAGGCACTGAAATAACTATAAATGCTTTCAGGGTAGTCAAAAGGATAAAGTTAGATTCAATATTAACTTAGATTTTATATATTTAAAAAAAATGTAACCCATTGAAATTTTCTATTAATGCAAAGGTCCATTCCTTCGCTATTACCGAATAACAGCCCTTCAGAATGAAGTTCCAGTTAGCTTAAATGTAAGGGTTTTCCTGGTTGCGGTCTGGTTTTGGTTTTCAAGGGTAACTTGCCGTAGGCTACCACATCATCACCAATACAGCATTTTAAGGAGTTTAAAACCCTTTGGGCTTCCAGTGAAAGCTAAAGGATCCTCTCCCCAGAACAACACAGTTACATACAATGTTCTGCTTACAATATCAACATTAATTAACGTTAATTCATTAGACATCTTAAGTAAGAAACCCCGTTTTATAACACCAGACACAAATAACACGGCCCAATGTACTTAAAAAGCCAACTAAAACCCAACCTCATAAAAAGGCAGGCTCTTTAAAATGAAATAATACAGAGCACTGTCTATGCTGTGCCACTCCCTGGCACACGCACATCTTCAGACACCCCGTGGGGGCAGCGTGTCCTGCTTCCCATCCCAGGAGCCCTCCAGACACTTCAGCAGCCTGCGCCCTCCTTGCAGCCATGTACAGGGGACGAAGGGAAGGCACAGAAGGCCACACAGCCTGAGTAGGGCAGAGCCAGCCACAGAGCCACGCTCTGACCAGTACACTAGCACTGTCTCTAAAAGCGACCTATGGGTCACTGTAAAGGCTGGACAAACCTCAAAATGCTAGAAGTCAACTCAGCCCACTGAATACTGGGAAAAGTTGAACCTCCCTTAGAGTCACAGCTGAACACAACAGAAAGTACTAATAAACAAACACAAGAAATGCTGAAAGAAGAGTTCGCACTTCCTCAAACTGGGCTGTCGAACCCAGGGTCTCTGACATCGACACCCTGTCTCTAAATAAAATACAAAATAGGATGGGGATGTGGGGGTCAAGTGTCCCCAAGTTCAATACCCAGTAACAACCCCCCAAAAAAACAGACTCCATGCCACTTAACTTAGCAACTTTTACTCAATACCTGAGCTGTGGCTGCAGCTTGGAGGAAGACGACCTACCTGGGCTGGAGATGTTAAGCAGTCTGCAGGAATAGGGGTCCTCTCGGTCCTCCACAGGCACGTCACAGCCCCGAGCACCTATGATGAACTTCACAAGCACCCTGAGAGACACGTGGGTATCCACACGTCAGTGACCTTGACCACACCCGTGCCCGCTTCCTCACCCATTCCAGAACTTCTACTTTGAGATGCAAGTGTTCATGAGGATTAATCTCTACAAGACTACGGTATTTGCATCAACACTGTTATAAATTAACTGGTGAAATCAGCAGTTTCCAAAGTTCAAAATTCAGTAATTCAAGATTCTAAGCATAAGGAATTTCCAGAAGCATCTGAATATCCCTGAAGAATACTCTACAGTCTTCTAGTCAAGCAAAATGGGGGAACACACAAACGGCACAGTGCTGACCACAGCACGTGCACTCTCAGCCCTCTGCTGCGAGCTGCACTGACAGCACTAACAGCAAGCAGGAGCAAACAGGCAAGCCACGCAGAAGCAAACTACCCTGAAGCAGCGTCTCAAAAACCTCTGAGGCCACAATTTTCCTTTTTTGCTTTCTTCTGCTCTGGCAGGTACTCCTGCTGCTCGAGCTCAGTCTCCCCAAGGGGAGGCTCCCGCCGCTCCTAGACCTCACCCACCGGGAAGCCTGTAACCGGCTCTTCTCCTCCATACTCAAACGTAGTGAATGTGGCCCGAGCTGCACTCCTGGAGCTCTTCTCAGTCTGTTCACTCTTTCCACTCCCTCCCTCTGGACAGTGTCACTTACCCCCAAGGGTAAACTAGCCTGGGAATGACTCAAACTAGTATCTCTAGTTTGGACTCATCCTCTAAGTAAAAGATCCATAAGTCAGCCACCTTTACCTGCACAACCCACTGGCAGGTGCGTCCTGAACTGGCTAGTGCCGTCTCTCACAGGAATGCTGTGAAATGATGATTAAGCACAGCCTTTATTAAAAATTAGAATTACACATCTTACCATTTAAATATATCAAAAACAAGGAAATGTTCAGATTCACCATTCTCTGATTTTACTATATTTTACTATTGTGCATTTGAGGTTATTTGTATCTACAGCTGTATGATGGAGATGTGATAAAAGACATGTTATACACATCATTCTCCAATTCTGCATTCAGGAATGTCACTTTAGTGGTGTGCGATTTGCTATGGCAGAAATACTTCCACCATGGAAACTGGCAAAAACACAAAGAAGCACTCAACACATTGTTTTCTTGATTGTCTCCATTCAAGAAAGTGTGGAAAAAATGTTAATAATGCAAATTAAACTTAATGTGAAGTACCCATAGCTGTTACACTGTGGATGGGACCCCAAAATTGAGGAAACACCCTCCCAGTGTTCAAGACTATGATCTGATTCAGCCAAGCCATCACTGATTTCATTGTCTGACAGTCAAGTTCTGATATATCTTTCTTTCTTTTTTTTTTTTTGGACACTAGGGATTGAACCCAGGGATGCTTAAACCACTAAGCCACATCCCCCAGCCCTTTTCAGCCCTTTTCATTTTTCCATTCTGAGACAGGGCTTCACTAAGCTGCTGAGGCTGGCCTTGAACTGCAATCCTCTTGCCTCAGCCTCCCAAACTGCGGGGATTATAGCTATGTACCACAGCACCCAGCAAACTCTGACATATCTTAACTGGCACTTCAGTCTTATTTTTATATATAAGTCTTATTTTTTATATATATATATATATATATATATATATATATATATATATAGTTGTATATGGACACAATACCTTTTTATTTTTTTATTTTTATGTGGTGCTGAGGATGGAACCCAGCACCTCACATGTGCAAGGCAAGTGTTCTACTACTGAGCTACAGCCCCAGCCCCTCAGTCTTACTCTTCAACTTAAAAGAGTTGTCAATTGTAACCACAAGTTGGCTAAGACATAAGAGTCAAGCAAACGGGGCTGGGGTTGTGGCTCAGTGGTAGAGCGCTCGCCTGGCATGTGCAGGACCCCGGGTTTGATCCTCAGCACCACATAAAAATAAATAAGTGAAATAAAGGCATTGTGTCCAACTACAACTAAAAAATAAATATTGAAAAAAAAGAAGAGTCAAGCAAACAACAAAAGCATTCTGTGAGAACCGACTGACCACGTGGAATTCACTGAGTGCTATATATTCTATTATCTGTCGATTAAGTGGTGCACATCCTTTGTATCTGGGAAATTTACAATGAACACACATTTATATAGAAGCACTTTCTTCCAGACAGCCAGGCAACAGACACTTCTCAGGACACCCTGCTCCCAACTCAGCATACCGCACTGAGCTTCTTTCCCATGCAAACCATTCTTCTCACTTGGTACTTTGACAAAAGCTAGCAGTCACCCCAGTCCATCTTTCTCTGACCAGGTAAATTCGCCCCTCAGCAGCTCTAAATGAACAGGTCCAGCTCCCTCAGCCTCCACATACCTGCTCTGCTTGCTCGGGCCTCTGTCTACTCCTGCAAGCACAGGAACCCCACCCCATCCCTCTGCACAACCTCTCTGGGTCCCTCCTTCCTTCCCTGGCTTTCTAACACTTGCCCTCATCAACCCCCTCAGCCCCAAACACCCCAGGCCATCTTATACCTATTTACAGTATTGCCCATGAAACACCTTGCAACACCATCACGTCCAGGTCCTTCCAAATCGCGAGCCCTCCAAACACCTGGGCTATCCTGCACCTACATCTGTGTTCCACCACACAGAGCACCGCCTGCTTACAAAGGACACTTGACAAACATGTCAAATTGATAAATGACATTTTCACTACAAAGGCCTAGAATTGAAGAAGGGCCTCAAGGTGTCTAGTGCTGAGTTTGGCTCCAGAGAAGGGCAAGGAAAGTGCGCCAGGCCCCAGACATGCACACACTCCGAAGACCACTGAAGGCAGAAACCCACACATGGCCGGCACAGCATGGGAACAAAACAGGCATGGACAAATGCACTCAATTACTGCATGCATTCACTAAAAGTGGTCTTTAAGCTATCTTAAATGCTTTTATTGAATTCATGTAATTATTCCCCAGAAAGGTGCTTTTAGCTAGTACCTATTTGTATATAGACAGCCATCATTTTCATAAAACAAGCTACCCAGCTTACTAAATTTAAAGCAAGAACTGCTACGAAGGTGAATGAACTACTGGCGAGCATCTGACTGTAAATTCTGTCATTACATTTAGTTCTGAGTTGTTCATTCAAGTGTTGAGTGCCTTGCTCCAGGCCACGCCAGGAGCCAGTAAGACACAGAAGTCAGGGAGACAAATGATGTGTAAACACAGCGTCTAAACACAGCGACTCTGGTGATGTGCAGATGCACATCTAAGTACAGCAGCACACCGGTGGGTGGTGAATGTGGCAATACCACCAGAAGGGAATAAGAGGCGGGCAGGAAGGGGTTGCTATTTAACAGGGAGCCCCACACCCATGCATGAGCCTACGGCGGCGAGAACTTCTAGTGGAAGCAAGGTCTCGACAGGGGACAGCAGGGGCACAGAGTGCAGAGTAGATGGTGGCACAGGGGAACAGAGGCCACTGGACACTGGGGATTTCATTCTAAGCAAGAAAAGGAAGTCGGGCAGGGGTATAAACTACCATCATTTGACTAATTTTAAAAGGAGCATGCTGGCTGCTGTATGGAAAACAGAATGTACAGGGCCAAAGGTAGAAGCAAGAAATCCACGGAAGGGGCTCCTGCACAATCAGGTGAGGATGGAGCAGCGAAGGTGGAAGAAGCCCATTCCAGATCTGACCTAAAGCAGCACCAAGGGATGGGATGTGGCCCGTGAAAGCAAGGAAGCCGTGGTGAAACTGGATTTTGGTCTGAGCAGCTGGTGGAGTCCCTATTTTCCAAGGTGGGAAAGGCTACAGGAAGTATGTATTCTGGAGGTGGTCTGACAGTGGTGACAATCCTAGGCCTTTGCTTGCTGGACAACGATTCTACCATCGTTGGGATCATGACTAAGGAAACCTGTCTTGGAAAGGAATGAAAGCTGCGTGAGGAGGACAGGAGATTCCCCAAAAGCTCATGGCCATTGACAAGAAAACTCACATCCGCAATTCACTTGCAGTGCTACTCAAAAGTGCTAGCTCACTCCCAAGAGGCCCCTTCTGCTCATGGCCCAAGTGTCTGCGCATTGCTGGGGCCCGGCTTCTAAGCTTCCTTTCTGCAGCTCCCTCACTACAAGGAGAACAGACAGGGCCCCATGCTCCTAACCAATGGCTGAGCCACCTCCTGGCCGCAAGAGGGGGGCTGAGAAGCACAGTGTGGCCAGGGCAGTCAGGAAAGGGCATGTGCATGGCGCTCGCCACACCCCAGGCGTCCACCTCTGGGCAGTCAGGGAAAAGCACTCTAGAGTGGAAATGTTTGGGATTGCTAGATGAGGTTAGAGCCAAAATGAAACCACGGTGCATAACCAACAGACACACTCTCCTCCAAGAGCCCATCAGCTTCAAACTGGTCAAATCCACTTCTGGGGCCCAACAATGTGTAAGAGAAGCAAGGTGGCCTCCTATTTCAATCAGCATCTCCAGCTCCCGCAGACAGGGTCTTAACACCCTCAAAGCAGGCAAGGAGCCTGCAGAACACCTACCGCTGACTCAGGGCTGGGTGACGCAGAGAGTGCTTCAGCCAGGTGTTTCTTATAGCATCCCGGAGCTCACGGTTACTTCGAGCTGACAACACACCCACCACCACATCATAGTGACTGGACTTCCACTGATGAAAGAAGGCCTGGGAATCTATAAATAAACAATGAGAAACCAGAAATAAGTTATGTCTCAGTTGCTGTAAGTTCAGTGTATAACAGGAGCAGTTTATTACAAAAGAAATGTCTTTAGGTGTGCAATAAATACAAAGAAAAACACGTCTTTAATTACCCATAAGCCCCCATCCAGAGGTGAGTACTACCTTCCGTCTTTCAATCTTTCGAATGGGGATATCTGCACTCATGCAAGCATGGAAGTTTTTCAAAACAGGTAAGATGCTTGTGGTAAGGGAAAAGGCAATGTGTCAAACAATAACAGGCAACAAGTCAATCAGGCCACAGAATCCTTGTTCTGCCACAATCAGCTGAAAGTTCTTTTAACTTCCTGAGTCTCTGTTTCCTTGATTACAAATGGATATAACAACACTTCCCATAAAGCTCTAGTAAAATTTAATGTGTACCAAGATCCTGGGTTGGCTCCAAGCACAGAAGAGGCCCTCAACAGCAAATGCCAGAAGAAAAGTGCTTCGACAGGTGAAGTCCTGCACTGATATTAGTTATTAAGTTTGTGGGATGAAGTCAAAGGACTTCCATACTGCAAAGTATCAGAACCCTTACTTATGTCAATGAAGTCTACCTAGCAAAACTTTCATTATATACAAATTATTCTAAAGAATAAAGGAGCTGGGGATGGGGCTCAGCGGAGAGCACTTGCCTAGCATGGGCAAGGCCCCGGGTTCAATCCTCAGCCCTGCAAAAAAACAAAAACAAAAACAAAAAAAGAGGAGAAACAACATTTTTAGTTAAAAAAAAAATCATGTAACAAGTCATAAATGGTTCATCTTTCACTGTCATAGTTCTACTAGGCAAGATTACATGCAAACTCTAAAACTTGACTTTAGAAAGCGGATGCAGGCTCCCTCCTTGTTTCTCATCGAAACAGTTTGAGAGCTACCAGCTTATATACAGCTCTGATACGATCCACGTCACCTTTCTCCAGTGCTGGGAACTGACCCAGAATATTGGCAGAAATAAACTATGAGGCCAGGAATCTTTTTTTTTTTTTTTTTGGCCAGGAATCTTTACTACAGTAAATGCGGTGCTTTACAGGATCCAGGTTTTCAGCCCAAAACACAACAAAAAACACCTTGATGCTTTTTCAAAGGTCCAACTAAAATATTAAAATCAGGGTAAGATTATTCTAGGAAAATGTTAAGGCTATTATATTATTACAATAGGAATACAGGAAATGCTTACCTAATTTTCTATATAAAATAACAGATAATATATGTTTACAAAAGACTTCACTTCTAAAAGGAACAGATACTTGTTATTACATTTGTACCAAAATTAATTCTTTTCTAAGTACAGAAATATCTTTAAAATAAACCCAAACTTTCATGGATTAAGCTTGCTTATTAACAGTCCTATTCACTAAATCCTGATATGTGGTAAATGATTACACACAGAAGTTCACTTAATGCTCACAACCCGGCTGGTAGGTACTGACTGACAAAATGAGGAAGCAGGTACAGAGAACTCAGGACCTGCCCCAAGTCAAAAGCTAGTCAGCATGGGGCTGACATTTACTCCCAGGCGACCTGAGTCTAGCCCTTGTCTGTTCTGTTCGGTGTCTGCATAGCCCCATGTAGCTTATTTGATCTTATCCACATCACCAGTTAAAATGGGGAATCAGTGATAGGTGAATCACTGAACGTGCTGTTTAACACATTTTTTTTTTAAAATTCATGGCCCAGAAACATTTTTCTCTCAGATATATAACTATATGGTGAAAGCTGTACCTGTTACTGAAAGTAAATGAATCTGAACTTGGAGAACTGAAATGCATACGTGAAAATTTTGTCATTCCTACCACCCCCTGCATAGAGAAAAACAGTAAGGACTTTCGAGTGACAGGAGGTAGGCAAATGTCATCACCAGTCAAGTCGGACATGGATTCCACTGCCAATGTGCTATGTGACCTCAGCAAGAAGTTATTTACATCCCTCGGCCTCAGTTTCTTTGTTTTCCTTCCAGTACTAGGGACTAAACCCAGGGTGCTCTACTGCTCAGCTATATCCACCAGAACTTTTTATTTTGAGACGATCTCACTAAGATGCCCAAGCCGGCCTTGAACTTGTGATCCTCCTGCCTCAGCCTCCCATGTCGCTGGGATCACAGGCATGCACCACCATGCTCAGCTTTGTCTCATTTCTTAATGACAGAAAACTTGAACAAAAAAGTATTTAGATGCTCTAGTTCAGTCTTTCAAAACGTCATCTCAAAAGATTTAAAGCTGTAGAAAGGTAAAAATTACACTTAACCTAAATGTCTCATTTATCTGATGCCATCAGAAAACAAAAGTGTTTCACAAAAGCAAAATTTCAAAATAACTGAACTATCCATCTGAACACCAAACAGCTATTAGTTTTGGTGATAATCAAAATAATTAGTATTTCGGGCTGGGGCTGAGCAGAGCACTTGCCTATCATGCATGAGGCACTGGGTTCGATCCTTAACACCACATAAAAATAAACAAATAAAATAAAGGCATTCTGTCCTTCTACAGCTACAAAAATAAACATTAAAATAAAAAAAATAAATAATTAGTATTTCGAGATAATGTCTTGCTAAGGTTCTAAGTTCCTGAGGCTAGCCTCAATCTTATAACTCCTGTCTGGGCCACCAAGTCACAACAATTACAGGCATGTGCCACCATACCCAGCTAACCTGTTTTTTTTTTTAGAGAGAGAGAGAGAGAATTTTAATATTTATTTTTTAGTTTTCGGCGGACACAACATCTTTGTTTTGTATGTGGTACTGAGGATTGAACTCGGGCCGCCCGCATGCCAGGCAAGCGCGCTACCGCTTGAGCCACATCCCCAGCCCTAACCTGTTCTTTTTTTTTTTTTTTTAATTTTTTATTGTTGGCTGTTCAAAACATTACATAGTTCTTGATATATCATATTTCACACTTTGATTCAAGTGGGTTATGAGCTCCCATTTTTACCCCATATACAGATTGCAGAATCACATCAGTTACACATCCATTGATTTACATATTGCCATACTAGTGTCTGTTGTG